AACAAAGAAACCCTTATATGAAATTCATGTGTGAGTGTGTGTGTATGGAGGAGGGGTTCAGTTTAAAGGCCAATAATGTATTGGTGTCAATACAAAACTTTTAAAAAAAAGGTCTTCTTAAAATAATAATCTTCCCAATTATTTCCTTGCCAAGGAGTGTTTTTTTTATATGTATTCCTATATTTTTTATTTAAAGAAAGAAATAATATCATTGAATCTAATGATAATGATGGTAATAATAATAATGACAAACATGAGCTCAGGATGGTCGTTGAAACATGCTCACACATGGCACATGTTCAATCATTCATGTAATGGGATTAGGCAACTTTCAAAAATGAACAACAGGAATGTCAAAACTTTGTTTATCTAAAAATGTGGGTCAATACAAAATAACTTTATGAAAAATACATTTGGAGTTAAATGTTGTCTTATTTTATGTCCAAAGAGTGGACAACGTTATGGTTCATGTGAAACCTGAGTTTGCACAGTTTTGCAATTCATCACCCCTAATTAAAAAAATGTTTAATATTTTTTATAAAATCATCTCCACAAACTCAGCAGTACTGGATCTTAAACCAATTAAAAATATAAAATAAATATAATTTAATGTGTAAAAATAAATCTTTCAATGATCCTCTAGTTACATTTGACGAATAATACATAAATAAACACTCTGATGGGAGCCATGCAGCCAACAGTAAACAGAGCTGAATGGCAAATAGTTTTTAAGTTTTACAAATAAGACCCACTGTAAACATGTTGATACATGGCGGGATAACAGTCTAAATGAGCAGGAACTTCATGCCTTCCTGTGACTCACGCTGATCGCCTAAACAACACCCGTCATACAACCGGGCTTGTTGATAACTGATTGAATTGTATGTTAAAAGTTGCTCCAGTCTCCTTTCAACATTAGGCTACATCTGGCGCTCTCCTGTCCTCAGAAAAGCCTTTACAAATGGAGTTGAGCTCCATGACTGAGCAGAAGCCCTCTGGTGCTGGTTTTCCCCTTCCTCCCCCATGCAGTCCCTCTGGCCAGGGAAATCCACCAGACATCAGCTCTCTGGGCTCCCTGCGTCTTTTCTAAACGTGTTTTCGCCGCTGTAGGGTCAGTTATTAACTCGAGAGCGTTTCAATTTAATTTACACATGCAGGCTGGAAAATATGCAGTTGACTCACTTCAAGCAAACATATCCTCACTAATCTGGTCATCGGACATTTTGTCAGAGTGATGCTTTTGGTAAAACTATTCAGCATAAAAAAAATCTCACAATCTAACAATTATTTTATATTATAATAATAATAATAATAATAATAATAATAATAATAATAATAATAATAATAATAATGGATACTATATTTTTTATGAATAAAAAAATAATAATTACAATTAATCTGTTTTATTGTGTTATCAGGCTATCATCAAACAGAGGTCTGGTATGCATTAACTACATTTCATTTGTAAATTCTGCAAAGCTGAATGGCTCCATATGAGAAAACGCGTTTAACCCTATGTGCAGCTAAAGTAGGCTACACAATGTGTTTTTATTGTTTAAACTGCAGTGAGAAACTAACCAATATGCATATCTTAGTCAGCACTTTGAAAATACAACATTTGGAGAAGGAGAAGCTGCTACATTGTTGTTTCCATCTCATCTACACGCAGGCCGCCATCCCTGCCTCTGACCCCGTGTCTGTGCAGGGGGATGCCGGGTAAAACCAGGCAGAGGCAGCGCTGTTTCCCCCCGCTGTTTCCTCCCCTCACGTTGAGCCACGATCGTGGTGATGGAGGCTGCAGGGAAATGCTGGATAACCGCGACTTTAGTGGAAATGTTAATGCACATGTGGGAATGGTAGTTATTATGGAGTGCAGCCACCTAAACCTTGGGATTGGTTGATATAGTAGACCTGATTAAAAACCCCTTCATTCTTATGTGTGTTTGTGTATCACTCCGCTCTTACGTAATAGCTGCATGCTTATATTAATATTATAATGTTATGAGCCCCTGAACCTTTGCACTACCTATTTTTGGTTCATGGAGATTTCGGACCTTTACTGGACCTCGGACCTAAAACTAACATGCACATATGCTGTAAATGGAGAGGTTTGGGTGTATTTTGTCAGAAGATTAAACCCATATTTATATTAAATTTGGGTTTTGTACATTTAAAAAAAATGGATACAAACAAGCTCTCGCATATCTGTTGTTACCCATTAAACGATGTTTCTTCGTGTAACTTAAACTCCATCTAAAGTTAAAGTCTGTACACCCTCACAACTGTTGAAGCGTGAAAGTGCCTACAGCTCACTTCCTCAAAAAAAGGGTCAAAATATTAACACCGAGAACACAGAAATACGAGAGTGGGAGAGAGAAAAGACGAGATTTTATAGTGTCTGTAATCCACCCTGCTTCTCACATCTATAGTTTGTAGAAGTTGGTGTTGGAGAGGGAAAAGCACATGGGCCACACAGAGGCGCGCTCTCGGCTCGGCGCATGGAGGAGCCATTAGATTATACCGACTTTTCTCTGTGGGGAAAAGTTTGTTTGACACCTTAAACAGAAGCTCTGCTCTCTGTTAAATCATATGGGGGCAGCCAAACTCACACACTTTAACCCCGCGTGGTGTTTCGCTGAATTTAATGAGTGAGCCTTTATTTTGAAATGATGAGCTAGAATTAAAGAGAATAAAAGTAACCCATTTTACCCCTCGTAAATAGACTATACACACGCCGATTGGTTTGCAGGGCTCGAGTGTTATCAGGCGCCCACACCAGAGTGTGCAGACTTTACTATGATAATCTAATGGATGACTGTTCAATGTATCTTGCATTGTGTATTTAGACATGCATTTATACATTGTGCCAGCAATGAAAAAGTCTTTCTAAGGAGTCACAGTCCTTGTGCAGAATTAGGGTAATAAGTATGACTCTGATTCTGATTAAATAGCCTATCTTGAACTTTTCCCCTTTTCTTGATGCTTGATGAGTGAGAGATTTTTTTTCAGAATTATTTTAATTTTATGTCGACGGTGTAAATGCTGTTCTCCCCCCCGTCCGCAGCAGGTCACCGTCCTGCAGCAGCAGCAGCTTTTGAGCAGAGTGTGCTCGCTACCGCCACGATTCACCATATGCAGCGAGGCTTCAGACATCAGTTTGAGGCTATATTATCATACAGAGCCGTTCACAAACACACACACCGAACACTGAAAGAAAAATGGGTACAGCAAAGTAATTGCTGATGCATTCAAAGCCTGCTACAACACACACAAATATTGACGAATACCCCCACCACCCGAAAGTGGCTCCAAAACGTCAAAATGTTTGTTTTGTTCATCAATATTTTACACCAAAATATTATGGGTCTGTGAATGACCTTGCGTTAAGGGGCGGTTGACGGGCAAATACTTTACAGCTGAGAGATTCAACATAAAAACGCCCTGACAGCTTTTATCGGTCTCCGTGTATTTAATTGTCTCAAAGATCAATGCAAAGTGCTGACCCTAACGCGGCATGTGTCTGTCAGCATTAACCATAACTTTGTTTCCCAAACAGTCAGCGTCAAATATAATTTGGAGTTGAGCTCTTTAGAAAAACATTATCTTTCCTTTCCTATTAAAACCAAATATGGCCTGTCTTGTTCTTTTTCACGTATTCTGTCTATTGTTATTCTATAGAAGTTACAGTCTACTGGTTCCCAATCCGCACTGGAATTTAACCCTGAAACACCAGCAGCAGTATAATGGCTTGTCTCTGCTCCCTGTATGGCCCCTGCAGGCTCTAGCAGCAGCAGCAGCCGTGCCGGGGCCAGACAGCATGCCAGCCCCGGCTCCCCCTTATCAACCTCGGGGCTTTGGCCTGGACCGTATACCGCAGAGTCCCATTAATCAGGGAAACATCACGTCAAACATGGCAGACTGAGGGAAAGGGCAAGTCTGGTCAAAGCTTCTTAGAAAAAGTTGCATGGTCCTACATTGCACACAATATTGTGAGAGTCGAATAGCCTTTGGGTGAGTTTTGCAGTATTCCTGTGTGTCCGTACAGCAGGTATGTTTGTGGATTGTTAGTTTATTTTATTGTATTTCACCCCCTATGGTAGGATCACTATACTCTGGTTTCGGCTTTTTCTACAATACCCAGGTATATAGTTGCAGTGGTGCTACAGTACTAATACTTAAAGCTGTTTATGGAAGGGAATAATGTTTTATTCGACTTGTTGGCCCCTCTGCACACGCCCTTCCTGCAAATGCAGCATTGTTTGCTTTATGAGTTGCTCCAATGTTCAGCGTCCCTGCAGGAGTGTTGTTTAGGTCAGCTCATTGAGGTGTCATATGCTGCAAGTATTACACCGAGTAGGCTCGCACCGCCTCATGTGCAGTGGTTGGAAACGATGCATGCGTAAATGTCTGCGGTTTGCCTCTTGTTATTATTGCAGGCTCCGCAGGCCTACCACTTCTTCCGCCACACACCCCTTAAATATACCGGGAAAGGGATTCCCTCACTACTATAAGAGTTTAAACCAAAGTGAAGATACTGCCATCTTTAAAGGGATATGCACCATCAGTCATCATTAGTTCTATTGTTAGTTTAAACTACCCACAATGTGGATAAGCACTCCTGTAGATCTATTTGGGGTCTATTTCCTTTCAAATCTGACACCTCTTCGCCTCAGGACATACTCCTTATCTGTTATTTAATTGAAGACTGGTTATGTCTAATTTTCCCTAAACGACTTTAAACATTATGGAATTACTCGTGTTACAGAGTAAATGGAAAGACATTTGGGGACATTTAATGACGAAGTAGTGCAAGATATACCCAAGAGCAGCTGTGTTCCCAAAATAAAAGATTGTTAAAGAAGGGAAACCGCATAAAAAGTTTTAAAATCACCTCCCTTCTTTGTTTTCATAGGACTCTCCTATCATTAACTCTGTTTAACCCCCCTTCCAAAACAACATACGATTGTCCAACAGGAAAATAAAGAGAAAGAGACGGATAATTACACTCAGTCGCGTTTAATGAATGCTTCATAATTAAAAAAGAAAGGGAAAGTGCTTCAGAAATCCACCGTTCAAGTTTCCATTTCGAGTGCAGTTGTCCTATATATATTCACAACAAAAAGAAATCAATATACAAGAAAACCCCAGAAAAATTCACAAAAATAAATATTCAGTTTCAGATAAACAACCAGTGACTTCAAATTCCATGTCAAAAACCTGACCTCAAGTATTGTATCAAAAAAGCGAAGTAAATGAGTGAATGAGGAGGGCAGGGAAGTGAGGAGGAGGAGGAGGAGGAGGAGGAAGGGGGGAGAGTGTGCACGCAGCCTCTAGCTGCTGCACGATGCAATTGTTTACATTGATAGCGTCACTGTCAGAGAGCTATTTGTCTTAGCGGTGGAAAGGCCCTCCCAACAGGCCATTACCACCATCTCCGTCCCTCAGCCGCGCATTGTGAGCGCTGCGTGAGAATAGGCTGGTGCGTCAGGGGGGCAAACCCGCACTGCTTTGGGCGCAGGCGATTCCTCTTCTTCCTATGCCTGTGCAGCCTATGCTTTTGACATGCGGATTAAAGGTTGAAAGCTTCGCTCTTGCAACACAGCAACCCCCCCTCAAACCCTGTGCAACCCCCTCCGTTTTACTGCTAGCCTGCCCATATACCAGCTCGTGTCATGGCTTCCAAAAATAGTCAGTTCACAGGCTGAGAATATATAAGTTCAAGTTTGAATTGTCTCATCCAGGCTCAGAATTAAGGCCCACGGTGAACTGGGGCTTCATGACTGCAGAGCAGTGCTTTAATCACATGGCTAAAACATCTACCATATGTATCCACACTGATTTAGACAGAGTGAAACTCACTTTTTTGTACATTTTTTTCCCTCTTTTTTTAACAATCACCCATTAAATAGTTTCTACAATCCTCTGAATGAATGCACCCTTTGCTGTGCTTGTGAGGGGGCTGACATCATTCACGGGCTTTGGGTTTGTTGTGATCTGGCTCGCCATAAGCTGGGCCTCTCTTTGTCGCAGACAGAAAAGCCTGCCAATTAGCAGAGCGCGTCCTGAACTGCCATTAAAAAACATCTACACATTTACTTAAAATACCTACGTGTAGGTGCGACTTCAACCACTTGATTTATTTGTCCTTAAAAAAAAAAAGAAGAAGGTGTGCACACTATAGCTACTACTGAATTTAGGGGCTAAATGAAACAGGTCTGGGGTATACTACATTCACTGAGCGGCCATATTCAAAAGCCTACATTAAAAATGGTGACAAATAAAGGGAGCAATATTTTAAAAGCTGATTGTATTTTGGGCCAATAATAGCAAATAATTGGCGTTTTTTTTCTAGCCCAGATAGAGACAGATGACTCCAACTAAAAATAGAATAATGAACAACAGTGGTTTCACGGAAATTAGCATATTATTAAATTATAGGAAATCAGCAAATGGCATGGTTAGACACTCACATATGGGTGAATCCTAAATATTCAAATAGCAGTCGAATGAATGCAGTTTGGCCTTTGTGTCTGCATCCAAGTCAATTTTTCTTTCTATCAGCATCTCAGACATCATTTCACAGGCTGGTCAGAAAACCCTAAAGCTGAAACCAGACCCCCCAACAGTATCAAAGTGCAATGCATTTAAGCCTATCTCTTGTGCTTTGTCGCATTGTTTCTGAGTAGCCAGAGTAGCTAGAAGGTGTTTCACGCTGTTTTGGTGTTGTTCTGCCCCCACGGTGACTCCTCAATCACATCCCACCCAAGAGCCTTTCTTGGACAATGTTGTTGTGTTTTGTATATATATATTTTTGACCAATGTTCGTGCTCTAAACGCAAATGCAGACTCCCCCTGGCACAAATATGGTGTGCAGAAGAAATCGGTGGCAACGTGGACCAGGAGGGACGTGAATCTGATTCTGTCGTGGGAACTAACGTGCTATGAAGGTCTGAGCCTTATTCTGTTTGATTGTCTGTACATAAGGCCTGTGTTGTGTCTGGGCCTGCGTCTGTGCAAACTCACACGTTTGAAGACCAGGAAATACTCAGCAGAAATAAAAACAAGACTGGAAATCAGATCACAAGGACTCCAGGAACAAACAAACAAACAAAAAGCCCACAATCACCAGGAATACATTCCTGTCAAATCTAATAAAGGCGTAACTGTGAGTATAGATGGACGTTAATAAACTTTTTTTTTATTTTTTATAATTCTCTAAAATTGAACACTTGGACACATGGGCCACTGTGGCCAAGCTGATCAGTATGACAGTCATGACAGGAAACACAGCTCTGATATATATAAAATATATCAAGTGGCACAGAATGGGAAACCCTGATTTTTTTTTTTTGCGTGATTTACCAAGTCAAGCTTGCTCTGCAGTCCCAGATAGATTAAGAGTAGCCTCATCTCAAGGAATGCTGTGGGGTTTTCTTTCTTTTTTTTTCTTTTCTTTTCTTTTCTTTTTTTTTTTTTTACCCCTTTCCTCTTTCAGACAAAGCACAAACCACTGAAACCCTGGCACCATACAATCCAACAGGTCGAGCATAGAAAAGCGAAGAAGAAATAATGATAATAATAAAAAATAAAAAAAAGTCAAGTAAACACAATAAGGAGAACCTAACATATTGCTTAGGACTGATAGCTTATGTAAAACACAAGTTCCTTTAAGCGTAAATCCACGAGCGGTGTCTCACAGTCCTGTGGGCGTTTTCTGAGGCTCCAAAAAGGGGGATCTCGTGGGTTTTCCTCGATCAAACTTCAAAACAAAGCGGAATGTAAACCCATTCACAGGGAAAATAAAAGGGAAAAAGAAAAAAATAATAATAACAAACGCCGATAAAGTTGCGAGCAATTCGGTGAGCTCACGTTAAGACTCGGGCTGCGATTAGGTCTGGAGATTGACGCGGTGGGGGCTTTTGTTTTTGTGATTTTTTTTTAGCTTTTAAAAAACCAGCTCAGTATTTCCTAGTTCTCTGAGCGTGTGGGGGAGGGAGAATCTGGCCGCCCGGCTGCCACCTCCACACGGGGTGGGACGGAGGGGGAGGCCCGGGGCCCCTCAGCGAGTTCAGGGAGTAAGCAGGGCACAAATCCCCGTCGCTGCCAACAACCAGCGACGGCGGGGATGGGAAATTTGCCATGAGGCTGAAAGGCATTTTAGCAGGCGATGCTACAGTGTTCGCGTTGCTGCTGCGTTTGCGTCTGCTCGGTAAATCCTCCGCGGATACTTCCTCGCAGCCCGCGGGACGAAAAGAAGAGGAGGAGGATGAAGAGGAAGAGGAAGAGGAGGAAGAAGAAGACGAAAAAGAAGACGCAGCCTTGTTGACCCTGGGCACGTTTTGTTTTGTTTGCGCCCTGGAAACTCGGGGTTTCTTATTCCCCAGCACCGGAGCCCTGCAGTTTTTGTTCCTGTGCTCCCCCTCGTCCGCGCATGGGCCGTCCTGGGTGCTCCAGCATTCCTGAGGACCACAGGGGGACCTGGGGAGCACATCGGGGCTCCTCTCCGTGGCTTTGACCCCGAAAAAGTCCCCTTGTTTGATGGGATACGGGCCATTGCTGCTCTCTGCCTTATCTCCTTTACATTTGACTACAGTGGCCTGGCTCTGGTATTCATATTCATCACAGCTTTCCTCCACTTTAACTTTCACATTGTGGAGGTTGAAGGGTGGCGTCCAGGCTGTCCTGTCGCCGTCCGAGTGGGGGGCGGCGGTCACACAGGACTCCTCCGCCTCGGTCTTTATTTTTTTCAGTGGAGTGGGCAGTTTCAGGCTGCCAGCTTTCGCCTCCCTTTTGTCGGCGCATTTGGGGAGCTTGTCGTGGTCACACTGTGCGCTCAGTCCCGGGGGGCACTTGGTGGGATGCCCCGGTGTCCTGCGTGAGGGGTGAAAGGTCTTATTCCGGTTGGGTTCCGGTGAATAAGGGGCCGGCTCGTCCACGGGGTCAGTCCTGTTTGGATCAGCCTCAAACGCCCTTTTGGACTCGGTGAAAAAGCTGTCTCCCACTACAGTTGAGTGGAATTTTGGTGGCTGTAAGGGTCCCGAGTCCTTTCTAGTTTCACTGCATATAAATTCACATTTCTGGCGTTTCTCCTGCCTGAGGTCTCCTGTCTGTGGAGTGGCAACATGGCCCAGTGCGTGTTGTTTCTCTTGTTGCTGCTGGTTGTTGTAGTGAAACGTGGGCTGCAGGACCAAAGGTGCTTTACTAGTGTTGAGAGTTTTGGCGAGAGAACCGACCCGGGCCCGTCTGAACCGGATGCTCTGGACCGAAACACGGCTCGAAACGGAGCTCGAGTCGGACTGTGAGGAGCTCTCCTCCTCGTCCGAGCTGACCTCTGAACTCTCTGACTGCGTGTCGTCTTCGTCCTCGCCCTCCTCTTCCTCCTCCGAGCTCCCGGAGTTGCTGGTGGTGGAGAAGCCGGACCCGAAGTCCGAGTCCGGGTACGCCCGGTCCGAGTAGGTGCTGGACTCGGTGTCGCTACTGTAACTCTCCGGGAAAGTCGGCTCATGGTGGTGATGATGATGATGATGGTGATGCTGGTGGTGGTGATGATGGTGAGGTCTGGGGTCAAGATAGTAATCCGGACCGAGTTGAAAAGTCCCAAAAGAAGTCCCGTGACTGCCGGATGACTTGGGTTGCACGAGCAGCACCGGTGGTACGTGCTGGTGCGCGTGTCTGCTCCTGCTCCACGAGTGCCTCGCGCTGTCCCTGCCGCCGCCCCCCTCGCGCCTCCTCTTCCTTTTGTGAAGTAGGTCGCCGGCTGAGCGCGAGAGCCTGGACTGAGCAGCTATGGCGGACTGAAGCACCACCGGCTGCCGGCTCACCGCGCTCCGGAAAAACGAGTGCCTTTGGCTCAAAGTAACACGGTTCCCTGTTATTTTCGCTGTTTCATAGTTTTTAAAGTGTTTGTGACTGGACTTTGTCACCGAACGGTATTCCCGTCCGTGGGTTTTGTGGTAAAATTGAGGTAGTTTGGAGTCGGTAAGGCAAGGAGTCAGCTCTCTCCTCCTGCCGGTTTTGTTGTGAAGCGTCAGAGTCTCAGGGACACCGTGCAAACTAAACCAAACTTTTTCCTTCCACAGCTCGGCGTCCGCACGGAGGAGCCCCGGGGACGCATCCTCACCCCCGGGAGAACACACCGCTTTCGCTTTCCTTTTGTTGGACTTTAACACCCGCTCAGTCTTGCAGGAGATATACAGAGCCTCCACGTCCTCCCGCGATATGAGAGTGCATTTAGCGGCGTGGAAAGCTATTGAGTTTATTGCTTTGAGCTTCCGCAGCTCCTCCAGGTCGCAGTGGTGCTTCTTCACCTTCAGGTGGTCCATGCGCTTGTGCACCGTGGTCCGAGGGATGTTCTTCAGCAGGTCGGTGAAGACCTGAGACAAAGCAAACATTTGCTTGCCTTTGATGAGCAGGTATCCCAATCTCACTCCTTGCATTTCCTCAAATCCACACTCCAGGTCTCCCATGTTTTATGTATCAGCTCCAATGTATTAATCCATGTAGTCACTCTCACTATATTATGGATTTACCAGTGAATGGCATGGGGTCTCGGGCTCAAGGCATCCTGCTCATACCTTTAATCCATCCACACTGCTGCTGCTGCGTCATGAAAATGCAAACTTTGACATGCAGAGTTAAATGGAGCTGCCGGTGTCTAATAGGTTGAATGAGCCGACAGCATCCACTCGTCGCCTCTTGCCCGGGTCCGGCATGGTGGAGGAATGCGACGGATGCGTCCACCAAGCCGGGGCTGCTGCTACCTGCCTCTGCCGGCTCCACTCCCCTCTGGACGGCAGCAGGACGAGGGGTAGGTGTACACCACTGCCTCAGCCAGAGGGATAAAATAGCGAGGAGAGAGAGAGAGAGAGAGAGAGAGAGAGGGAGGGAGAGGGAGAGGGAGTTGTGCGGGTGGAGGGGAGGGAGAAAGAGAGAGAGAGAGAGAGTCCGAGACAGAGAGAAACAGAATAAGAGCTAAAATGCAGCTGCTATTCTGGCTGCTGGTTGAGCCACAAATAAAATGACAGAGAGGGGAGGTGCGCCAGACTGGAGACACCTTCATCAATTAATGCCCTCGGAGTCGACGCCCATTGGACGCCGCTGACAGGTGATGCAATAAAAATGGATATTCCATCCCCACCCCCTTCCACACCCTGCCATTACAATAGTTTACAATTGTGCCCACAGACTCCGCTGCTTGGGTAAATAAGTTATGACAAGTTCATATTTCAATAGCTGAATAAAGAGCTGCTGGAAATCAAGCCCGGTCCATAGTACGTGTACAGCCAGAATAGGTAGCCCGAGCCTGCAAAGTGTCATGATAAGACTGGAATGTATTGTGTGCTATTTCCTTTCGGTCCACATCAAAACGCATGCGGTAGTAGTCCTATATGCAATCGATTGTATGCTGGTAAAATGACTCCACACTCCGGGCATTTTACACGGTTTGGTGTGTGTTAACGCAGCGCAGCTTAAACAAAGACATTTGCTTTTTACACTTGGAGAGCTGCTTTTCCACGTCGAGGCTGCTGCCCTGACCAAGGCTCAACTCATCTGCTTTTGTTGGCTCTAGCTTTTCCTCCATATGATTGTTTCCTCGGTGGTAGACTATAGACTGACCTACTTATCCTACAATATTTGTTCAGACTGCGTAGGACTATATCCATATTATTCACGCTGTACCTTAATAAATCCATCGGCATTTCTAATAGTTTTTTTTTTATATCTCACCTTTTCCCTTTACAGTGGGTGTGTGTGTGTGTGTGTGTGTGTGTGTGTATGAAATCATTTGAAATGTTTTGTGGTGTAACACTGTTAAGATATTGTGAATTTACGCATGCAATTGTTATTGTTGGAGATCAAAAATATACACACCGTCAAACTTCAGGAATTATATTCTTGTAAATTTAGTGGAGTCATGCTAAACCGGCATATCCCAGTTAAATTGTAGCCTACTTTTCACCCTGGTAAAACGTGAACAGTGATTGGACGGACTAAAACTGCAGAGTCAGGGTTGCTTTTCCCACAAGATTTTCCAGACAATGTAGGTTAAAGCTGTAGCCACTTAAATAATCCAATCAAGATCGTCAGTTAAAATACATTTTAATTGGAGATCTTGGAGCTACAATTATAAAAAATGTGTCTAATATATTGCAATGTAGCGTTTATGTTAAAAATATAATGTTACTATCAACAAGTAGCTTTTCATAATAGGGGTGGAGGAACATAAACTGTGGGATTATTGAACATAACAGAGTCACCTAGGGCTGTTTTTGGGAACTCCTTTTGTTCCTGTTGTCATACTACTTTGTACACATTGACACATTTTATCTATGCGCATGTGCATATTATTATCTAAATATACACACACACACACACACACACACATCGCTTTTCCCGGAGCGTGCACATGAGCATATGCGCACATACGCAGGCACACACACACACACACACACACACACACACACACAAAGAACAACACGCAATTTAAAAGACGTATGCATGCACGCGCGCACGCACACACGCAGACTCGCACAGGCTACGTAGAAAGCAGAGGAAACGTACAGGCTGAAGCCGCCGCCCACAACGCTGTCCAAATAATGTGGCTGTGTACTATATTATATAGGCTAATTGTCTGAATTACCGGTAGGCCTACAGAAGGCTGTTTGGAGTCGCTGTTTCGCCCATGAGCCACATTTCTACATTACTCCCTGCGTTATGTTCCCTCTTTGCTATCTAGTAAAACACGTGAATCTCTTGTGGCCCGGTCCACACGGGCAGCGCTGTGCGCGATGGGGCCCAACTCAAGACTGGGCATGCTCATCACCACAGCGTTAAGCCTATTTACTTATTTACAGACCACTGTATGTCGAATAGCGTCGATGTTACCTCGGTGTTACATCAAACAGCGTGTTATATATGTAGGCGTTGTTATTATAGCCCCCTTTTTAAACCTTTGAATATGACTGGATCATGTCCACAAAAACACTGGACTGAACATAATCACTGAGCGTGGTGGTCATGGACAATATCGTGCATACCAGACAAGATAAGGAAAACTGTAATTTTTAATTAATTATGGGGTGAAATACAAACTATATACAGTACCTGTAGCTATCACACACGCATGCGCACGTGTTTGGAGGATTAGGGTCACAGTGTTACACCTTGAAATGTCAGCCTATTTATCAGGACTATGCTTTGTTGTGGACCAAAAGTATTTTTATCTTTTTTTAGGGTTAATCCTTTTGCTTCTAATTTAAGAGCTTACACTATAGTGGCTACGCATATTGTGGCATAGAACCGTTGAGATAATTAAATATTATAATTATAGTAGACTCTAGTGTGACAAATCTCCTACTTATGAAGTAGGTTAAAGTAGGTTATATTTTACTCGATAAGCCCCAGAGAGCTGTTATGCGGCGCACAAGTTACTTGTGGACAGGATAGGCTCAGGGTTGCTTTGAAACACACCATGAGAGATCACTGTGTGCGTGTGTGTTGGTGCGTCTCTGTGCATCTATCAGTGATTATGTGTTTTATATGCTGTCCAATCAATCAGTAAACTGTAGTTTAACTTCCACACACCCACGGGTCATCTGACGTGCATTCTCGTCGCTTTAAATGCAACCAGTGACCTGCGCATTGAGCTCTTCTCGCTGCAGCAAAACTCACTTTTCACGTGCTGATTCTGTATGACAGCATTAATACATGGGGCATGCGGAGTTTCACGGATGCAGCAGAATGAAATGAGAGGAGGGGCAGCTTGTTGAGGTCCGGATCCCCGGGGGAATAACTTGGATCCCAGAGCCACGGTGCACCGTGCCCGGCCTGGGAGATGCAGAGAGGAACACAGTCAAGGCTGTTTTCATCTAACGTCCTGACCACTGCATGTCTCGCTCTTTCGGGAACTTAAGTTTCGTGCTTATTGTTCATACAGTGTAGCCAAGGGTTCTCACTTGAATGTAGACGATTTAAACCAATGTAAACTGCCAATTCTACTCTACTGACCTAAATTGGTCCACATCCAAACTGACCATTCATGTGTGCTCTGCGAAGAATATAATGGTCCTATTGCATAAACACATCTTGTATCACAAAATAATGAGATTACACAGTGATTGTAGACAAACTGTTTGACGTTTGTTGGGCTACTGCAGCAGAGATCAATTAACATCAATTTCTCAAAACTTTTTTTAGTATTGGCACAATACTGTTGATTCAAACTTCAATATTTTTTTCAATTTTATATAAATATTTATACTTATACACTTTATAACCACTACCCCCAATCCCCACAACTACCCCCACGAACACACACACACACACACACACACACACACACACACTAATAATAATAATTTACCAAGAGCATAACAGAACAAAGCATAAATAGCCTGTTCATGAGAATTATTCAGTGAAATATCCATAAATTATTATTATTGATATAAACCATTAAATAATTCCCAGAACATGACAAACTTTATAAATCAAATAAAATAAGGATCTATACCTGCTTAAAAAAAAACAAAAAAAAAAAACCTTTTAAAATAATGATTAGCTACGTTCTTTATAATATATCAGATTGAATTTGCCAAAGCATCTGCGAGTTAAGTTCCCCATTCACTGGTGCTGTGTAGGTGCCCCATGCTGATTCCCATGATCATTGCTTTTGAATTAGAGCTCTCAGCGTATCCTTAGGTCTGAATTGAGTGCCATCTATAAAACGATAATATAATACTGTAATAATTACTGAATGAAAATAACCTTGTACGTATACATATTTGAGTATTTCCAATTAAGACCAGTGACTCTTTGTTATGCGAATTTGTGATGCACCAGATGCCACAGGGCACTTATTCCACCCTCTACTGCGCCAGGATGTCGGCCGGGACCGGAGGGGAGGAGACGAGGCCGAGTGGCCGAGAGAGAGACCTCAGGCACGGTAGAGGTTTCTTACAACATCCCGCTGAGTGCTGGTGGTACGGGGGGGAAACGTCTCAGACGACCCAATCCTACACTTCATGCTCATTCAGTGATGGACACATAGGTTACTCCTGATATGTTTGTGGCATTACCGGAGTTAGAATGCAAGGGATCCACCAAGACTCACTTTGATCTAAAATGCATAATTGAATAATATGTTAACGTGAAACATAAATTAATAAAACGTCTATTTTTAATTTAAAGCATAAATGGCGAGTGTCAGCCTCGCAGTGACTCCTGAGTGCTGTTTTAACTACTTTTTTATTTTCCACTACTTCACTGTGGAAGACCGGCTTAATGGGGGGAGATGGACGGATTACGGTAAGGACACGGCACACACACACAACCAGAGAACACACATGACCAGCGATCCAGTTTTGTGCAGTGTAACCTACATTTTAACAGAAGTGAAATGGTTTGAAACTTCAGTGCACCATTTATGGAATTCTAACGTAGTTCATTTCAATTTAACAGGCTTGCAAAATACACAGTAAGTCCACACACTGCATACAGGCGCAATGTGGGGACGTGTTTTGTGAACGAGGTTTATGTAACTAGTTCATCTGGTGAATTTCATACATTTTTATAAGCTCACTGGCCATAAAAAATCTTTTGGATACAGGCAAGCCTCCAATCTCGTTCACTTTTCCAACACTCATCAAACCAAACGTGCTGCTCCTGTAGCCCCATTTGTTTTGCATTGAGTTTTATGGAGACACTTGGTCAAGGAGGCGCAGGCACTTGTAAGAGCATAGACTTTTTATGACACAAACTCACTGCCCCATGCCAAAACAATGAATTCCTCTCCACCCCCCAACCACCCCGGGAGAATGTGATTTTACATGCAATCCGAGCCTTAAGTGTGTGCGGACAGTGGTGGGGGGAGGGCTCTCTTCACCTTTCACCCCGCCGTGTTGGGACTATTTTTTTCCTGGGCCCCCGTGCTACTCGCCAACCAGAGAGGAGACGATGGGTAAATGTACGGATGGGTCTGAATGTGGTGTAACCAGGAAATAGGTGTTATGGCACTGGGGCGTTGGGGGTAATTCCAGTGTTTGCAACTTCTCTTTATTTTACTCTTTCCCACATCGACAATCTAGCTCAGCAGCGGAGGAAAAACACGAAAATTCCTATTTGAATAGCTGATGCCTGTAAAAACAAATAAATGGTTAGTTTCCTGAAGTGACTGGATTTGACAGGAAGTTATAGTGTCCATTTTTATTCCAGTTGTTCCCAAACAGTCATACAGTGTTAGGATGACAAAAATCACATGACACAGATGGGAACGCACATGGTCTGTCACCCCCAGTACAGCCCTTACAACAGATATTACATTTACCATAAACTGCCATAAACCATAAGAATGACATGCAGTATTAGCCAAAGTATGTCCATACTATATAACCTATAATTACTGCCTAAATGAATATCAGGCTCCATTAAGTTTAATGGTGCATTTACTGGGGTTGCTGCAGGTGAATAACCTTAAATAAAACTTACTGTATTAACTGTATTCATGAAACAAGGAGATGGACTGAAGGGGTGAAGAACTTGTGCATGTGCGTGCTGCTAGCTCACGGCTTTGTCTGTGAAACACTGTTTTCATTGTTTCTATTTAATAGTTGGGCTAAATTTATATGCTACATGCTAGAAAACGGATCAAATAGGCTATGTCACACTACATAGATTTTCTTAACACTAACAATGTTAGGCTGTTTTTTTTAGCAAGGTCTAAAGGCCATAGATTCTACATGACCCATTAATAAATTATTGATTTGTAAAGCAAGCATACAGCATGTGTTTGAGAACACAATTGCGTTAAAATAAAAGTCCTATACTTAGCTGTCAGTAGTCATTTGTTAAAGCTTATGAGCTCAGTCTGTGAAAACATTCCTCCCAGACTGCTTTAGTTTTCTGTGGAGTTCCCCTGCAATGCACACGCACACACACACACATTTGGGATGCAATGTTTAAGGACAATATTCAGATTTTATTACTGGTGTGATTTTTCTAACAAACGTTCCCTCCTCCTGGGTCTTTCTGAGAATTTATAAATGTCGAGAAAACACACAAGCTTTAAAAGAGATGGAGTTAGGTGGACAATCTAGGAGCAGTAACCATTCGAGAAAATAAATACCTGGCAGGCAATTATGTATGTCCACCATTTGTGTGTATAGTGCCTCAACACAATACCATTTCACATGCAGCTTACAAACAAGTCTGTCGCTGTGAAGGCTGCTTTTCCCAGTGTTGCCTTTCCTCACTGAGTATTTTACATGTTTCTCATTCTGCACAGAGAGACCACAAAACTTCACTCAGCCTATGCAAACATGCCCAGAACCCAATCAAGAGAGCCCTCTAACTTTTAAAATCTCAAGTGCTGTTAAGTCACCTTTCTTACAATTAAATGTGGCCCAAAAAAGACAAGAATAAGAAGGAATATGAATGAACACACTGCAGGAGAGCCAGTCAAACCCTTTTATTTCCATCTGTTGTTTCTATAGTTCTCTCAAGCACTTGCAAACTGCAAAATCAATGAAGTGCAAAATACCACAATTTAATGTTTTTTTCAAGCACGTTGTCTCAGTCTTTCCTTTATTTCTGCTCTGTCTCACCCTTGTCCACCTTCAGTACTGTACTGTGCAAGTGAAATAGGCTACCTACTGTGCAGAATATACAAGCAACATTTTTGAAAACCCTGACAACCCTGGCTCTGTCAGACATACATCCTGCTCTACAGGCTACATTTACATACAACAGTTCAGGTTTCTTAACTGTGGTAAATTAAATGAACTATTTCTCTAGCAATAAATATTATTGTCTATTGTGTCTGTTGACAAGGGAATATAGTTGAGACAAGACACCTAATTTTGAAGGACTGTAGCAGAGATCCTCATACAAATACCAACCTGATGACGTACAGTATAAACAACAAAGCTCTAACATACAACATCTAAGAGGACTGCCTGGTTATAATCACAGAACACCTGAAATTATATAAAAGCCCTGAGTGCTATATGTACTTTGAGGTCACCAATAGTTGCTGGAAGCACACAGTGTCGCTGCAATTTTCTGTCTCAGAGACAGCTCTTCTCTGACAACGCAAGGAACATTATACATTATTCGTGCAGACTTTGACTTAATCAAGTGCAAGTTGTAAAAAATCATTTGCCATTTTCAGTGTTTCAGTAGCTATATGGGCCCCTACACAACCGCTGCCCCCTCCTTCGCCTCCCTTTGTTCTCTCCAGCTCTAATAGGTTTTCCCCTGCCACACACAATTCACTTTTTTTCCCCAGCTCCCCATCCCTCCCACACCCCCTTTTAGTGCAGTGCCCAGTGTCGACTGGAGCATTTGAGCAATTTGAAATTAAAGCAAACAATGGGCAGGCACTCCCAGGAACCTCTCGCTCACCATATTACACGGAGGACGCTCGTGTGCTCTTGCGCATTATTGGCAAGTCATTACGTTTCTCTGGAAACCAAGAGCGGGAGCTCGCTCAGAGGAATCGGTGATGCAAGCAGCAGCTGAGTGCTTGGAGTAGCATGTGTGTATGTGTGTGCGTGTGTTCTGGAGCATCCTTGGCAACAGCATGGGGATGCTGTCAAAACAAAACTGTATATTGACAGGTCTGATATGCAGCCTGATGTGGGATTCTCAAAGCCCATTTCATATGTTTTGAAAAATAAAAAAGGTATTCATCCTTACAATGAAAAGCTTACTATACCTTCTCCATTCTTCTATCATTCTTAATCATAATGAAATGGTATGGTGAGAAAACAAAATATTTTAGCTAATATATATATAATAGTTAGTTAAAAGTTCCAACCCAAGCTGTTGATTGTCCAGAGTTGCTGTTATTTATATAAACCATGATTCAAATATATTATGTATATGGGCTATTATTTTGTCTATGAACATGTCCCTATCTATATCTATCTATCTATCTATCTATCTATATATATATGTATTTTTTATTTGTGTCATCTATTGTCATGTTGTTTTAAAGTCTGTGCTGGAAAATGTTTAGAGTTTAATTATATGCAATAAAATCACTACAAACTTGACTTTTAAGGATGCATGTGTGGATGTGTACAAACGACATCTGAAAAAAAAAAAACATTCTGCATTACAGCTTGAAAATTAATCATTACGCCTATGGCATAATAATACGTATGCACAGTCTGCCTATAGGGTATAGTAAAATGATGTAACTAATTTAAATGGCTTCTCAAAGGATAGGATAAAACAAATATTAAATGTAGAAAAATCCCATTAAAAAGGGAAAACCAGTGTCCAGAAGTGTGTGCTTTTACAATTTAAACCAACAAAAGGTTTTCTGTAGGTCATTCAGGCTTTAGATTACTGTAAATATTATTTTCATTATTGATTATTCGGCCATCAATAAAATACTGATTTTAGAGAGTAAACAATTAATTGATTGTTTACTCTATAAAATCGCTCCAATGTAACGAGGGACCGCCATACTCAACCTTTGTGTTATTTTCTATAAAATATATTAAGAAATGCTTATTAAAATTTCCCAGACCCCAGGTTGAGGTATGTAGGCCTACATCTGTGACTTATGATTAATCAATAACCAAACTTGTTATCAATTCATTTCTAGCTATTAGCCTACGACGATCATCACACTGAAACTAAAACCTCTGATTTTTAATCTGGAAATATCCACATTTCATTTCAATGTAACTGCACCAATGCATCACAAACCCATCTTGTTCACTCAGCAGATCAAGAATTGCACTAGTGGCAGTAAACAAACGTGAAACACATAATAAACACTGTAAACACATCTGTTTCCTAAACATTGTGCTTTTAACAGCTGCTAGACTTGGTCGATCTCCAGTCAGTAACACCATCTCTTAGCCTACCTCCATGTTGCTACACTGCTGACAGTGAACCGAGTAAAGTGAGGTATCTTTAGGACAAAGTTTCAAACCCTCTCCGCCATGTGGAACCAAAATGGAACGTTACTCTCGGCGGTCCAATCACGTCCGTCGTTTACTTCCTGTCAGAGGGCACGCACGCACACGCGCCTTGCGTCGTTACGCATTTCCTGTTCTCCACGAAGCCCCCCCGCTCCCCCCTCTTCTCCTCACCGTCGCGCCGTGAAGTGGATGTTTTGGTGAAAAAATACGGTGTCGAAAAGGGACCTAAACACATTTAAAACATGACATTTCGACCGAGTGGGACCTAAGGCGGCGTAGCGGAGGGAAGAGGGCCGTCTGCCGCGAAGATTTCGGTGTATCTGTATATCGTATTCTTCCGCATGTCCGCTTTCTTCGTAGATGGTCTCCGGCGAGCGTTGTCTAGCAGCGGACGACGAGTTCTCGACGAGTAATATGAAGGAGATGATCGGCGGTTGCTGTGTTTGCTCAGACGAGAGAGGCTGGGCGGAAAACCCGCTAGTCTACTGCGACGGACACGGTTGCAACGTCGCCGTGCATCAAGGTAAGCGGTGGCGTTAGCTCGGCTAGGCGCTAGCTGGTTAGCTCGCAGGCTAGTTAGCGTTGCCTTGTTGCAAGGTTATGGTGCGCTCCGTGTGCAGCCGCCTCCTCCGCCTGCCCTCACCAAGGCCAGGCTGAGGTCAGGCTCAACTCATGCAGCGGGGCAGGTCGCTGCTTTGGCTTGGCGGTTCATTTAGCCTCCTGTGTAGTCCGCCATGGATGGTGGTTGGCAGCTGCTTTATGAGCACAGTCCTCGCTGCGAGTCATGCCGATTTATTTTTTTGCCCCCAGAAGCTGTCAAGAGAGAGAGAGAGAGAAAGAGAGACTTTAAAATATGTGATTCGGCCCACTGTTTACTAAAAAATCCAAACTACATTACACACAGAGAGAAAACTTACTTATACGCTGCTTATTATTCTTTGGAGTCCAAAACTTGGTCCAGTTCAAGCAGCAAAACCTTGACTTCTAATGGCTACATGTTAGCTTCTAGTATAGTGACAGAGATGTTGTGCTGCCAAGCCAGAGCCCAAGATGACTCATGATGACGTCCAGTGTTTACAAATTTACCAGCTGGCCATGTGTTCATTTGAAATGTCAGCAACTCTGAACACATTGCAGATGCATTCCGATGTATTTGCACTTGTAACAGGGGTTTGTTTGTAACAATTTGTTACAGTGTTTGGACTGTTGAATAGGTCTGACAGGAGACATCTGTGAATGACCTACTAACAGTCGAGCTGTTATATACATGGCAGAGCTCAGAACTAAGTCAAATGTTAAATCTATTTGACCCAGAAGTTTATATTTGTTGGTTTGAAGTTGCAGAAACAAACCTTAAGCAGTATTAGTGGTGATGAGACTTAAGGTTTTTATTATTAGAGATTCAAATTGTTCCAAATCTCATAGTATTTAATATTTTGCATTAGGGTTGCGTCGTTTTATCCGAGCCCCAGCCTGTCAAGCTGTGTAGAAAACATGGTATCAGTTTGCTTAAGATTAAGCACTTTTTGAAACTGGTGAGATAATTAGATAGGAAATGTATTTTTAATGCAATTTGATACTCTCAATATCAAATGTACCCCATCAATCATCGTATACCGTTTATACTATTATCCCTCAAGGTCTGTCCAGAATGAAAGTTTTTAAGCTTCAACTATTACTAAATGTTGAAAGTGAAACAATGCAAGGCATCGTATAATGTATAGTTTGTCATGTATAATGCTTTGCAGGGACACATATTTTCTAATGGTTGGAAGGGCTCACAGGCAACATTAAGCTTAAAAGCCACATCTATCTCCTCTAGTGAATTGTTGGTAGCAGATAAGCTGTACTGTTCTAGTTAACAATGGACAGGGTTTTCATTCAGATAAGCATCAGAGCTCTGTCATTTCATGTGTTACCTTGTCCAGATGTGCCATTGAACCACAGAAATTAAGGAATCAACAGACATTAATCTGTTGGGGCATTTAAATTGAATAATTTACATATATATCAGAACACTGACATTTATTTAATCAATGAAAGTTAATAATTTGTATATAAAGAAAATGTAAAATGTCGTAAGCCTAATTAAGATCAGGAGTGCTTCACCAAGTGTAGGAGAGTGTCAGAATTTCACACTGTATACTAATACTATAGAATACATACTGTAAACTAATGTTGAGAGAATATTTTAGAAGAGAAGTTGTAGTATTGTATTGCAGTGCACATAAAATGAATACATAGGTAAGTAAGTATGCGTAATGTCTTACGTTAAAAAAAGTTTGCGTAAGATATTTTGTTACTGTTCTATTTTTTTCCGTTTTCTATTACATGTTGCATTGTAGGACAAAAGTATTCATCAACAGCACAGTCAGAACATGTATTTAGCATAAATAATGGCATTTTAAGGTCTCCTTAATTTTGTAATTTTTCTTATGTGAATGTGCTTATATATTGATTGCACCTGAGGTTTGGGTGCACCTACATTACCTAGTGAGAGTGGCTGTACACTCAATAACAAGCACAATCTCTTAACATTTGTTGACAAATGTATAATTAATAAAAACATGTCTCCTGTGTGTTTGAGTGCTCCTCTGAATCTTAAAATAACAAAGCATTCACACACTCTGGCATTGGGTAGCATTTAAAAAATAAAAATAGGTAAAATTGGATCAGATAGCCATACTTTATTAAAATAAAACAGGTTGGCAGTATGTGCAGAATATCTTAACCAAACACCACTTGATGTTTTGTTTGTCTGGTCATCAGTTTCTTCACTTGAACTCAGTAACCTTTCGGTGCGTTGTTCTCCGAAATCTGGATTATAGCTGTTTATTTCATTGGATTATGGGCTCCGGTCAGATCAGAGATAATCTGAAAATGTGTAGAGGTAGGCTATTTAGGGTAGTGCAGCTGCATGTAGGGTAGCAATGCCTGTACTGCAACTTCAAGCCTGAGTCACATAAGGATCATTGAAATCAGGTTATAACTCGGAGTGAAAGAAAGTGGTTTTAAAATTGCTCTTGCGTCTTGTAAACCATACTGTTTGCTAACACAGTGTCAAAATATTAGGAATTGACAGAACTTTGTTGAAAGTATGAAAGTAAAGCAACATCAATAGCAACCAAGTCCTCTGTAGCCTTGTGGCCATGCAGCATCCACACAGCAGCAAATTGTGTCATTGTGAGTATTTTCATATCTCTGACAAGCTTTCTTCAACCTGTTTCATAGAAATGTGTGAAAGCGATCGAGTAAAGATTGTGCACTGTTTGAATGCAGTCTCTCTCTATGTGTGGTACAACAAGGTTGTGTTATGTGTGTTGCCAACACCTCTAACAAAGAATTATCATTGATAACTGTGTTTTGACATTAACAATACCAATGATTCTGCCATGTCTCTGGGGCTTAAAATATGTTGTAGCACCGGAAATTCTGTCAGCTGTCAGTGGCGTGATATAAAGACAACAGTAGTGTAGGATTGGGTGATTGGACACTTTTTTTTAAACCAATTTTTTGGTGCTATTTTTGTCCTTTTTTGTGCTAATTTAGTGATATTCCTCTGAAGGATGAGATCCGCTCAGTGACAGACGGCTACTGCACAGCAGAATGATTGAGAGGATAAACAGCTGTAGAGCCTGTGTATTTTCACATCTGAACTGCTGTTAATTAAGGGTTTATTTCAACTACTGGGAAATACAATTACAAGGTGATTCACAGAGGCTCCAAACAAGTCTCTAACTCTGGGGAAGATGAGGACACAGGACAGGAGAGGGATAGACCAGGAGAGGAGAGCCATGAAGTAGGTAGAGGAGCTAGGGAGGTTGGGGCCAGCACATAGAGCCAGAATATTTTCACATCTAGCTCTGTTAGTGGTAATTGTTGGAATAGTGGAAAGACTAATAATTGTTTCTGTCGAGTTTGAATGAAGTATGCTTTAAGATCAGATCTAAAAAGGGTCTTAGTTCAGTATAAGAGGAGTCTTGAATTCAGAAGGTGTATGTTTGTATTTTTTTCTGTTTTAATGAGGAAAATAGTTGCTTTCTTACTTTCCTTTCTTGACATTTGGTGAGTGTATTTTCTTTATGAGCGCCTTTAGAGCTTGTCGCACATAGTTAACTTGCTGCTTATCTCCCAGCTGAAACCACTGGGACGGTGATTATGGGGTGTCTGGGGGCACTTGCGCAGCATACACGCACGTGACTATATCGGAAATTGACAAATGTTGGACGGTTGCTGGTTGGAAAATTTTAACACATCGCTCAACCCTACAGTAGTGTTTTCAGCAGTATGTCAGATCAAAACACTGTTCAGTTCTGCATTCAGACCAGTTAATTCAGATACAAGTTTTGGCACAATAGTTGGAAGTGGAGATATTTGTAAAGATGTTATCAAGTGTATTCTATAGTATAAAATGTAGTTTTTGTTTTGGTTGTTGTAACTTAATTTAATGCCCCTGTGTCTCTCTTCAGCCTGCTATGGCATCGTGCAGGTGCCCACTGGTCCTTGGTTCTGCAGAAAGTGTGAATCTCAGGAGAGAGCAGCCCGCGTGGTGAGTCACACAATCCATCTATCCATTCATCAGTTATGAGTGAACTCTTGGAATAACACCTATCTATCTGCGATCATTTGTAAAGAAAATAGTGCCAGGTTAGGTCTTGTATCATGTGTCTCTTCAAATAGCTTGGAACAAACGGACAAAAAGTTAAAATAACACAATGTATTTTGAAGACATTGTAATGTTTCATCACCATGGGTAGTCCATATTTTCCACTGTTGGTGGTCCTGTTCAGTGTCGGTTATTAACATTCGAGGGAGGACTAACGCATAATGTTGAGGAGAAGTGCTGATGAGAAAACATCTTTGAGTTGGTTCTGAATGCGAGTTGTCCAGTGTTTCCAATTATTGGAGTTATTATGTGAGGTAACCCAAAGCAATGGAGATGGGTCATTATTTACGACCGCCTGTAATTCCCAATATTTGTGTGCAGCCTGCACAGCAGGGCTGGATGATAACAGAACAAACTAACTATCTTTGGTTTAGCATCATTTAAAATGGACAGCTTGGTGAAAGAAAATCAAATGTTCTAAAATGCCCTCACATGTGAAAATACATTGCACCCACACTAGTGTTTTGGGTTTATTTAAAAGAACAGTTTATTATTTAATATCTAAAAAGATAAAATCATGTCATGCGATTACAGTGGTAGATAATGAACAATAAATATTGGCATATTGCCAGCCTTACTGTTTGGCTTAGTGGATATATATGTGGTGAACTGAACTGCAGCGTAACAGGTCAGATGTTTAGGAAGCTGACGGCTTTATAGAGGCGTTCTTTGGCTTTTTTAAACCAAGAAACCTAAGAAGGAGTTGTATTGTACTAAATTACACTAGTTATCACAGAACACTGGTATTGTTGTCATTCGTGAGACTTGAAAGCTTGCTTGTGTTGTTCAGCCCATTATCGTTTCATCTTACATCCCTATACAGCTTGGTATGAGCTGTAGTATCAAAGGCATTTTAAGTACAGAAATTATATTAGAGGTCTGCACAGACTGCCTGCTACTGCCACTTTTTTCGCCACAGCCTCCGCCAGCAGGATTTTCTGTGGCATGAGCCATCTCCTGCTGTCCTTTGACCTTAGCCTGCCGGTCAGCCTTGTATTCTGTACCAGTTACCATCATATTTCACCAAATGGTTTTTAATCCTGATTGGAAAGCTTTAAAAAAAGATTATCATAAATGCTGTTTGAGTGAGGCCAAATACAATTTGTGTGTGGCATACTATGGCCTGCAAACATCGACCTATATACTGTAGTCTGCATCATAACAGCACATGACAATGATACTGTCCAGGCAGGAATGTGGGCATGGAAAGTCTTCATTCACTTCATTCCCAATTGCTGCAGGACCGTTGTACTGACCCGCTCACCCACACACCTCTGAATCATGTCGCTTAGGTCTGAACTGAATTGTGTTAAAGAGCTTCTATACTTTGGACGTTGTTGTTTTTTTTTGTGAAACTGGTATGGCTTGCTGAGTTTAAACTTAATATGACCTCGGCAAACCTCTAAGGACAAGATTTACTCCTGTACTTGTTGATACAAGCGCTGGGAATGATCTGCCGACTTGCTGTATTCATGTGTGGCACAGGGCAAAGTTTCTTTAGCAGACATTTAGCAGGATAACGAAGTGTTCCTCCAATCTCTTTACCAGATGAAGTAAATAAGGTTTCTCTTTTACATGGTGTCTAAGAAAAGAGTTTATGGCAGAAAGTCAACAATAAGAAGGTCACATACATGTAAATGCTTTGAACATTGCAGAGCTGTTAAGTAGCGTCCAAGTGTACAAAATCTTTACATCAAAAGTAAAGTATTAAACAGCCAAACATCATTCTCCTTGAAGGAATCTGTGTACCATCAACTTCATTCTAGACAAATACAAAATATGGGTGAGGTATTCCTTTTTTAAGGTGATAAAATGTACTCGTACAAAAGTATTTAAAAAGTGTTGGCAGTTCCATGAGTTACATTGTCTGCAAAGTTAAGGTAATACTTTTTAATTGACAGAGTGCTTTCATGAAAATGAAAAATAAATGTAATAATGTAAAGTCCTCAACATCCTACAAATTGTTACTTTAATGAAACAGGGATAGATAATGACCAGTGATACTTGTTTTCCTCTCAGATTTGACAAATAAAGTAAGGGTGTTCCGATCAGGGATTTTTATTTTTATTATTCACTATTCTTAACAACATTGTTTATTAAATATCATTATTAAATTTTGATTTGGCAACTGTGTATTTATTGACAGGCAATATGTTAAATATGACACAACTTAAACAGCAGCCTGTTCCTGGTTATTGGGAGCAGCTTAGAGCTCTGTTTACTCACAAAATACTTTGCACTTGCATTTTCCCTTTCCCCTCACACACACCTACACTTCTGTCTCGTACACACCGGCTGCCCTGCCTCTTTCTACTTCTCTCTCCATCTATCATACAGGCTGTGTATGTGCTCTGTTACTTTCAGCAGTAAGTTGTTTAAAGTCTCCCAAGAAACACAACTCACGTTTTGAATGTCTTCACCCGTGATTCTGTTCTCACAGCAGCAGGTGAACCGCGCATTAACAAGGAGGTTTGTTAATGATGTTGCATATCGAAAATTGAACTGTTGCTTTACCTGCTCCTTGCTTGTTAAACATCCACCAGATCTCTCTCTCTCTCTCTCTCTCTCTCGCTCTCGCTCTCGCTTGCTCTCTCTGTCGGTTTTTCTGTAAAATACGAAAGTCCCTGACCGTTAATATACCGGGTTGCCTGACCAGTATGTCAAAGACTTAATAATCTTCCCGTGGAATGACATAAATGCATCAGCTGATCGCATATAGAGACCGCCGATCAAACTAATAAGAGCGAATATAGGCCGGTTACAATCAGTGGCCGATCAATCGGAGCACCCTTAAAATAAAGCATCCACCCCCTTACCTGAATTGAGTAGTCTGAAATAAATTGATCTGCAGACCTTGTTTTCTGTTGCAGATCACACACACTGCTCTTTGTAACATGTAGTTGAGGCCTTAAGATGAGCAACACCAGCTGATTTCTGAGTTGAGGAAGAGTTGAATTGTCAGGTTTAGAGCAACAGAATAAAATTGATTGAGCACTTGTATTTACTGACACACACACTCACACACACACACACACACACACACACACACACACACACACACACACACACACACACACACACACACACTTGAAGAAAGAAACAGCCATAGGTGGCAGATAATGAGGGTGTTTCCTCAGAGTTTCTGGCCTTCTCCAGTTTATCTCACATGCTGGCATATTTGTCATACTTCTGTGTTTACCTCACCCTAAATGACGTTGACTCATTGTTTCTGACTTTGTGTTTCTTCTTTACCCACAGAGGTGTGAGCTGTGTCCCCATAAAGATGGAGCCCTCAAGAGGACAGACAACGGAGGTAGAATCCCTCTCAGCTCTCACACAGACACACACAGACACACACGCACACACGCATACACATCTGTGGCGAGCCTCTTGTGTATTTTGTCATTAATTGCATGTCACCGGCAAGTTTAAGGGGTGTGAGCGTGCTGGGAGAGTTATGTTGCTGTTTGTTGTGTGTGCTGCCTCTCTCTACCGTCCTTGCCAGTCCATGTTTTATGAGTGTGTGTGTGTATGTTTATGAGGGGGCGGGACAGGATGGGTATAGTGCATGGCCTGTGAGGAGTCTCCTCTCTGGGTTCATTGGGAGGTCAGCTTGGTGGAGACTGTAAATATTCTGTGTGTGTGTGTGTGTGTGTGTGTGTGTGTGTGTGTGTGTGTGTGTGTGTGTGTGTGTGTGTGTGTGTGTGTGTGTGTTTGAGTCAGTCAGAGAGAGAGAGAGGCACAGCTGTGGGATTGTGTCCAGGCCTGCAGGGAGGCATCAGGACAACACTAGCACATACCGTTTTACTACTTTCTCTTTTATTTTACCCTTCCCATGACCCCTCTCTCCCTCTCTTTTTCCTCCCATTTTTCTCTCACCATCTCTTAACCCTACCATCCACTTCTGTGCTCTTGTCAGTTCCTCTTCACTTGTTGATCTGTGTGGTAGTTGCTGTTATTTCAGGTGGGACAGTAATAAAGCAGAGCAAAGGTATTAGTCTGAAATAGGTATTTGATCCGGCAACATATAGCAGGCCGAGAAGAAAGAAAAGACACAGAGCTGTTTGTCCTGGCCTCCTTTTTTTTGTATTTTAAGTTGTAGATAGCCTGTAAATGTTGGTGCTCTCATATCAAGAAGTTAAAGATGATAACATGTTAAAAGACTTTATACAATTAAAGGTTTCAGACATATCTGTCACATTCATAAATTTAAGGAGTTTTGGTGTAAAATCAGCAGATTGTAGTCTTCCTGCAGGACAGGGTACTAAGGACTATTAGAACTGTGGCAGTAGTATGAAACATTTTGAATTAGAGCTTGAGTCTGTCACTCTTGAGCACATTGCTGATTGTACTGATGTGGTTTTACTATTAATTTGACTTGCCACTGTAAGTGCAACAAGAACTTAACTTAGTTTTGTTCTTTACCTGGTGTTGTCTCATGGTTTTACAGTGGTTTACCACAGAAGGCTATAAAGCCATTATCATGAACTGACAGCCATTTGCTTCTTTTTTTTGTTTTATTTGATATCAAAACATACTTCAGATTTGCTATCAACCAAATTGAAGCTCGTTCTCTCAGCACATTGGACTTGATAACTTCTTGGAGAAAGGGAGGTTCGTAAAGAAATCCTTTGTTAGGGTAAAATGCTTAGTTTGAGGAGGAAGGCTGTGCCGCTTTTATAGTCCTGTTTTATAGGCGTCTTCCAGATTCTTGGAGGGACTTCAAAACAACAACATGCCCCCATTTCACACCCGCTGCCTCCCCTCCATCCCGCCCTCTGCCGTCCTCCCCCTGCCCCGCTCACCAGGTCAAAGGCAGGTCAGGGGTTCAACTGTAAGTTTAAGCCTGTTTTTGTTTCCGCTATGGGGAAAAACAGACACCTCCAGTGTGGCAGGAGACTCCCACCTCTATTTGACCTCCTGTTGACCTCCATCTGCTCCTCCTCAGCTCGTCGTCAATTCTGCTGCCACTCCACCATGCCCCACTGTCATTCCACCGCCCCCAGTTAGTCTTCACTGACAGGCAGCTGTGTGTGTGTTAGGGCTCAATAAATGGCTACTTAGATAGATTAACTACCAGTTTGCAAATTAAAATATTTACGAGTCCAGACCACATTTATGTCAAAGAAATATTATCCACTGCTGGTGTTTGGTCTTTTCCAGTTCCGCTTTACATTGACAGCTAACCAAAAGTTAAGTTTCATGGACTGACAAGGAACACATTCAAAGGACTGCTGCCTTTCACTGAGTCTGAAGGCTTTATTTTATCTTCACTAAGGGTCACAAAGAGCTCAGAAGGAAATTCCTGGACATGAGCATTTGTCAAAACTGTACCAGACTTTGTTTAGACTGTGCACATGAAGTCAGAGGAGATGATCTATCATGTAGTGCAACATGATGGGTGACAAGGAGGACCATCATTGGCTGTCAGGGTTTGTTTGATCCACACCAGAGTCCGAGGAGTTACAACTCTAAAGAATGTGCAGAAGAATTCAAATATCCAATGCAGTTTTGCCACATTGGTAAATTTGCAACCAACAAATCAAATGAGTTGATAACAAATATACATTCTGAACAGTTTTCTTACTGTTCAAGGCATTAGCAGATGGTTTATAAATCTTCATGCAAACTCTCTAGCATTTTCACAAACAACATTTTGCTGTCATGTCTGCAGTGGCTGATGCTTGTTTTCTGTCTGTCTTTGCAGGCTGGGCCCATGTAGTTTGTGCCCTTTACATACCCGAGGTAGAATTCGCCAACGTGTCAACTATGGAGCCTATAGTACTCCAGTCTGTGCCACATGAGCGCTACAACAAAGTAAGAAAATCTATCTATGCATTTAGACATGCAGCAAAATCCCATGTGAAATGTAATTATGAGGAACGGAATCTGTTTTTGAATTAAAATGGTTTTCTTAACTGTGTGTGTGTAGACGTGTTATATCTGTGAGGACCAGGGCAGAGAAAGTAAAGCAGCTACTGGAGCCTGTATGACCTGCAACAAACATGGCTGCAGGCAGGCCTTCCATGTCACATGGTGAGACCCATTCACATCACATTAATCTCACAAAGACAAAGAAGGAGATTGTTTCTTCACTCAGACTCAAGTAAAGACTGTTACAATTTGTATACTGTTAACCTTTGAGATACTGTGGGTATTTCCATGCATCTCAGTGGTTCAAGTGCTTAGAATAACCTTTTTCACATGTTAATACTGCCAACATGACATTTTAAATTAGTTCCCTGTGAATGCTTGTGTTGCTGTAGTTTGAGAGTTGAGATTTAAAAACTGTAATGACTAAACAGCCTGCTTCTTTTTATGCCACTTCTTCTTTGCATCCTTGTGTGCATCATATTTCATGTTCAGCTCTTGTTGATACGATGATTCTTATTGTGCTACAGTGTTACACACACATTTTGAAAAGATGTTCTTTTGCATTCATTTGATGTCTTTTTCACGACTTTCTGCCGCAGTGCCCAGTTTGCAGGGTTGTTATGTGAGGAACAAGGGTCGGACGCAGACAATGTCAAGTACTGTGGATATTGCAAATACCACCACAGCAAATTGGTAAGTGTCCTCTTATATTTGTGTCGTATTCCACAGATAGCACGTCTTTTGATACTCTAAACCATAACTTTACATGTCACTAGACAGTATCATTCTTCTCAGCTGAAATATTGATTTGTAGCCTTATCCTATTTTTGCACATATGAGGACAAATAATGTGTTTTTTGATTTGATATTAAGTTTCCAGTGATCAATCATACACTGCATCAGTTAACTCGGGAACAAGGTTGTGTTCTTGTAAAACTACAATTTGACATGTGTCCACAGTAAATGAAAAGTCTCGCTCTCTAGCTTGTATTACACTCATGCATACACTGTCTCTCCCCGAGAACTGAGCATTTAAGTATGAAACCCCTCTAACTGTTGTGCATAACCCCTTGCAGCAGCAACTGTGTTGGTTGCATGTGACTATACGTATATACATAGAGTATCTTGAAGAATTCTGTACCTATTCATTAGTGTTTTTTGTTCCAGTAACTTAAAGCATGGGTGACTAGATATAATACACACATATTGTTATACCTGTACACAGTGAAAAAATATCTCTAAATCCTGTGAATGACTTCACTTCTTCTCTCATTTTCTTCTGTCTCTACTTCTCTTAGCGCTTTCCATCCCTGTCCTTCCCCTCAATAGTACTCTCCTCATTTCTCCACCTCTCCATCTTTTGTCCAACCTTTCCTCCGTTGACGGTTTCCTGCTTGTCCTCTCTCTCTCCTCAGTCAGCTTCCGGTCTCTGTTGGCCTCTGCCCCCCTTTCCCTCCAAGTATCTTTTTCTCCCATATGTTTCCTCTTTCACTAGACCAATGAATCCATCCCCCCACTGCTTGTCTCTCTTCCACCTGTCCTTTACCCTCCATCTACCCCTTTTCATCTACTATTATTCCTCCTCCCTCCCTGATCCCTCTAATCTCTCTAACAGTGGCCCATCGTCCCCTCTACTCTCTCGTGTATTGGTACTAAGCCCAAAGTGGGCACAGCGGGTTCGGTTTGCAGGTGCTGGATGGGGTCCTTTTTGAGCGTGGTTTTTACTGTACAGTCAAACAAGGCTAATCAGCTTAATTGTTATTTATGTATTTTAAATTCTTTGGAAAAATCAAATTTCAGTGATTTTATTTTCTAGGTTTCCTAATGACTTGTCCTGTCACTTAGCTTTTATTATTTGGTCACGAGGTTTAGCAGTGTCTTATGTGCTGCATTGTTTAAATTGGACGCAAGGTTTAAAAAAAAAAAAGTTGCAATGTCAGTTTTTTAGTGTTTGAGAAGCCTTTTTTACTCTTTCTCTAGACAGTATAGAATAAAAAGTATTAAGCATTACGGTTAACCTAAAGAAGACAGTCACAATTGGCATTCACTCCTAAGTGACACATTACTGGTTTCTTGTCCTCTATCACTGTGATCTACCTAATCTTCGTAGTCTGTTAGCCTTGCTCTGACTATGCAGCCAGCATAATGCAAACCTGATAGGTGCATAGCTAGCCATTGTCAAGCAGAATTCAATCAGATAAGAGAAGAATGAAAAGGATAGGCATATCAACACACACATCCAACAACTGGATATGCAGAAGAAATGTGTTTTCAGCACACACATTCCCTGAAAGATGTCCTGCTGTGTTCCAGATTTTGTTCCACCTCTCTCAATAGTTAACAACCTATCACAAGGTGTATGCATGTACACACTCAGCATCAGCTGGGGGAGGGACACAAATATGAAAAACAGGAACGTGACTTGATTATTATGATTTCTGGAACAGTGGTAGGATGGAAACACAAAACAGGCTTTGTGGTGCCCACACACACACACACACACACACACACACACACACACACACACACACACACACACAGATGACATTTTGCAATGTTAACAAACGCTGATGGAAAGACTCATGCTGTTATATTGATCCCGTATGAATGGCTTTGGATGCTGGGGCATAATGTCATTAAGCTAGGATTGTATGGATGACAGGAATGTACGAGATGGAATCAATGACGAGGAAAGCAATGTTGTTAGCAGAGTGGGTTTTATAAAATACCACTTGATGGATGTTTACGGCATGTTAGCAATATATGGTATTTGACTGGACTCAGTCAGTAGCCAAATCTAATTTCAAACTTAGATTATTTTTTTTTTAGTGTAGATTACAGTGAAATTTCTCCTTGGCTAGAGATTTCATCAACACTATGTATGAATAATTTGTAAGTGCACTCGTTGACACATCGGCTTTATTTTTCCAATCATCTACACTGGGTGTTGCTGGCACATGGTTGCATTTGGTTTCAACCATATTCTGTGACTGTGATTGGCAAACCTTATTGCATAACTTTCTATCACTGGCTCTTCCAAAGCGACTGTTAGCAGTAAAAACATGTTTACAGTGCAGTTAAGTTACATTCATTGAATGGAAAATGTAACAAAGCTGAAAATCTATCCCTGAAAAAGGGGCAAAGAAAATGTGTTGCAGAGTGATACAAGTTCATTCTTCTATCTTTTTTGCAAGTTGAGACATCATGTTTTTCTTTTCTATGCTTGTCCTGTAAGGTTGAATGATAATCTAGTGTTTAACAAGAGGTTTTTATTGTTCTTCTGTCGGAGCAGTAAATTCTTAACTCTTTGGTACGTGTTAACTTGCAGTGTGTCAGCATGGAAATCCAGATTTAGACTTTTAAAGGGAGAAAATTGCCATGTGACTCAGACAATGAGCTCTATGTGAGGCCAGAAGAGGAGGATTTATCTCACAATGCACCAGGTTGAGTAAGGTTTACAAGAAATTCCAAAAGAAACAGTCTCTGGTCATAGATGTGTACTTTTGAACAGAGACTGGACAAGACAACACAAGCCTTGATCTTTCCCTGGAGGTAATATGGCTATAATTTGAGAATGTAGTTGTTTATCACCATGGCAACACATACTTTTAGCTGGCTTGGGCTGAGATCGATAACCCAAGACTCCTCAAAAGTGTGCCATAATGCCTCCTTAGACCCTTGTTTTGGCAAAGAAGTTGTAAAACATTTAAACACAACTAATGGTAGTGTGGGGTTTTACTGTTACCCTCAATCCTAAAAAAAATGTGTATGTGTAGTTTTGATGGTAGTTCTACACTTGAATGATTTTGTCTAATGGTTACATTTGGTTGAAAAAAGTAATGGCCTTTTCTACAGTAGAGATATAATATATTTTTGTTTAAATAACCTACTCCATGCTTTTTCTTTTAAACAATTTTTCTAACTAATGTTCGTGACAATGTTTTTTGACTGTTTTTGAATTATCCTTGAGTTCAGTCAGCTTTTTTTTTTTTTTTTTAAATTTACGTTTTGTTTATTTATTTTTTTAATGTAGAATTTTTTTTTGGTCTCATTTTAGCCTTTTTTCCTTTGGACTTCATCCAGTAACTTGGAGTTCCTCTTTACCTTTTAGCGAAGGAGCAGGGGCCGTGGTAGTAGGTCTCAAAGCTTAAGTGACTCTTCCACTCAGTGTATGGATAGACCCCCAGACGAGAACAAGAAGGTAAGACAGCCCTCAGATCTTACCCTCTCTATGCCTTCAACCGACGACTGTGACTCCACCAGAAACATATTGTTACATGCTCACACTGTGGAGGGACAGGCAAATGCGCAGTAAAACCATAGATCATAACAATTTCCAGTACTCCATTACAAGCATTTATGGAGGCCGTCTTTGAATGTATTGGCAGGACATTATTTATGACAAGTGAGGTCGTAAAGACGTATTTTTGTTTAAATTAGTAAGGTTAATGGAAAAAGAGATGTGTGCTTTTGATTTAAGTTTTGAAAACTCATGTAGGGTTCTCTTTTTTGGTAATGTTAATTACATGTTGACAATTAACCAGAACCCCTACAGATGTCTACATTGTCTAGATTTAAATGCTTTGAAATGGATGGTTGGCCTTGAAAGTAATCTTTATTTAATATTTTATCAATATTGAAAAACCTATACCATAGATACAATTCTTGATTTGAGCTTGGCGCAAAATGTGTACCACCTCAAAACGAAAAGAAATTTGTCTTTCAGTTTTACTAAACAAGGCCTTCAATATCGTAGAAGTCCTTTAATTTGATGTCCAAGTAAGCACTGGAATGTTATTTTATAAGTCTTAGCAGCAGTTGCATGGATCGTTTTTTTTTTTCCACTGCTTGTATGACTGCAGCCCACCTACACCCACCAGTGATCACAGCCTCTAATGAATGCTACATTAGTGTGACTTAATCAGTCACAGCTGTTAGCCGAACATGTAATCACAGGCTGCGAAAAATCAGGATTTACAGGAGGTGTCGAGTCATCTGTTCCACTTTTTTTTACCCAGCCTTTGTCAAAACCGAGGACTGGGCCTCAACTGCAGTTAATATAGGTAATCTCCAACATTTGCAGGCCTATAATAGAGTATAGTAGGTAGGCACTATACTAGATACTGAAACCCCCTAAAACCCATTATAATGTACTAACACAAACACATGACTGTCCCTTTACAGTTGAGCTGTTTAGAGAGAGAGTTTTCTGTTCAGTGTCATTGATTCTCCCCACCAAACTCACCAATGTGCCCCATTTGGACAGCACTTTGAAAATGCATCCATCCTCACTCCCTTCTTGAGTAGTGATTACTGGGAAGAGTTTAGAGGACCCAGATTTTGAAGTTGGTGTTGGTGTGTGAAGTCAGCTTTGTCAAACAAACAAGATTGTTACAAAGTGCATTGCAGCAAACAAATGACACTCATTAGATAAGACAAGCAAGAACAAGTACTTAACATACTCCGATGTGTGTGTGTGCGTGTATGTGTGTGAAAATATTTTAGCCAAAGGTCTAGACCACCTCAGAAACAAGACAAGGGGAACAATTGTTGTTGTTTAACAAATGTGAATCACAGGCTGCATGGTAGCTTATCTAGTAGAGCACGCGCCAAGTCCTTACAGTAGCGCCCTTGGTTCGATTTCAACCCTTCCTCCCCGTTTCCTATCTTCACCTGCCCAATCAAATAAAGGCAAAAAGCCCCCAAAAATGGATCTTTCTCTGACAAAAATAAAATTGTGTTCAGTGATGTCTCAGTCCAGTTGTTTGCTTACAGTTCTGCTCAGTCATCCAAAATACTCTCCATCTGTCCCTGATATTTATGGTGTTCTATGTAATGCAGCTGCACAGTGAATACTAAGTGCGTTCATAGAACCAATTCAATTTGGGAACGGGATGCTTTAAATCTGCATTAGGAAAATATTGCCTGTATCAACAATATAAACCAACTGTAAAAACATCACATATAATTCTTACAAATATGAAAGCACTGAGCTTAATTAAAGTATTACAAGTGGCTGCTGTAACTTTCTCATTTAAAATATTCGACACTGTAAGCATATTAGCCGCCTGTTTGCTACAGATACCTTGCTGCGACAAGTTTAGGGTGAAAGCTGCTCAGTGATAGCTATTTTTATTATTATGAGTGTAAAAATAATAGTATAATACATCATGGAAATGGTGTGTGTGGGTGTGTGTGTGGGGGGGGGGCATGGATCTGAAGATGCACCACTAGCGTTTTCAGATTGAGGAAGGCAGAATGAATGGATGGATGCATTTTGAAAGTGATTCTTGGCCCTGCAGTCAGCTCCACCTTTCTAAAATAAGAGGAAGTCAGCTCCTCCATCAAGCTTTTTTTTGTCACATGAATGGCATAACAAATAATTGTTCCACTTCCACCAAATGAAATGCTCTTGTTCTAATGAGATGGTGCATTTATTTTTAAAACTATGTTTATGCAGACAGCTCAGTAGAGATAATTTTCATGATGCTTTGAGTTCCCTTTTCCATCTTTTTTCAGTTGTGGTTCATTGTTTTCGATAAAAAAGCCTTAAAAAGGCAATAGTTTTTCATTGTGTTCATTCATAAAGTAATTAGTGGAATCCAATTTGAGCATTTAGCATGTTGTGTGACAATTTATCTGTATACTTTGTCATTGTGTCAAACAATGCCAGCTTCAGGGTGTGCGTGTGTGCGTGCGTGTGTGTGTGCGTGCGCGCGCAGATTTGTCCACATACTATTCAGCCCCTCTGCCCTGGCTTTTGTTAATACAGCCTTATTTGCATCAGTTTGAGTACCCCCTTCTCTCGCTCTTGCTCTCGCTCTATCCGCATTCCAGGGTCAAAGATGAGTAGGCTCAGGTGTGTGTGTGTGTGTCTCCGTGTCCACAAATGCATTTGATATGTGGTTTGGAGGCTCAGATGTATACACACCTCATGTTAGATCCTGCAGTCAAACTACGGCTAAAAGATCCCCCCACACTGGCCACTTAGAAACAGCCTGCAGGAAACACACACACACATCCATACATACACAATGGCTGGTCAGAAATCCTGCAGGAAACTGCACTGGGGAATTCCTGCCAGGCCAGGGCGGATTATTTTCCCCTTTACTTCCTGTTCCTCTGTCCCCCCCCTCACCCTTTTTCCCTTGCCTCTCCTCAGCCCTCCTCCCCTTGGTGTCTGCACCCTCTCATCTTCCTTGTGAGGCCATTGTGTTGACTTGTGAAGCATTTAAAATACATTTTATATCAAATTACTAGGCCATACTTTCTTTGATTGGATAACATAGCTACATTTAATGACTTTTAATTTATTTTGTAGATCATTTATACATTTTTAAGTTAATTATCAAGCAACGATACAATATCTGGTCCAGCCTCTTAGATGTGAGGGTTTGTGGATATTCTCTGGATATTTGATTATGAATGAATATTTTTGGACTTTGGTCTGTTGGTTGGGCAAAACGAGCAATTTGAAGACATCAGTTTGGGTTCTTAGAGTTATTTATGGACATTGTTCACTGTCTCATGTCATTTAATTGACAAATTCGATAGATAAAAAAATAGCATATAATTGTTCTAGCCATAATGTAATGCATTAAGTTTTAGTAAATGCAAAAAGTTCAATTCCTGTATGTGCCAAGAGAAATTTTTTCAGACACATATTTTCTGGACTGCAAGAGACAGTTATAAGGAACAGGGTTTATCTCCTGGATCAGGAGCCCCGGGATCAGCATTCAACATAGACAGACAGGATTTCAGCCCACCTTTGTATTGCTTATTGCTCTGGAGTTTGTTGATAAATAGACATGGCCATCGTCCTCTGCCACCACGTATATTTACCCCACACAGGCTCAAAGAGCACTCGGACATGTCAAATGATCAGGCTGCTAATGGTCAGCAACAGAGAAAGAGGGGAGAGGACACACTGAAAGGCTTTGTCTCTGCCTGTATAATCAATTGACCTGATTGATAAGGGTGTGTCAGGGTTACATTGTGTGTGTGTTATGTTTCCCACGCCCAGTGCTTCGGTCCCCTCTGTGTGTGTGTGTGTGTGTGTGTGTGTGTGTGTGTGTGTGTGTGTCTGTGTGTGTGTGTCTGTGTGTGTGTGTGTCTGTGTGTGTGTGTGTGTGTGTGTGTGTGTGTGTGTCTGTGTGTGTCTGTGTGTGTGTGTGTGTGTGTTATCTGACCCTCTCAGCTCAGCCTCTGTCCATCAACACCTACCTCTGGAATGTTAATGAAAAACAACAAGGGAATCCCAAAGAATTTACCTCTCTGTCTCTCTCACTCCTCTTTTCTTCAGTATCGTCTCTTCTTTTTGTTTCTGTAGAAGCTGGTTAGGTTTACCGTCTCACTCAAGCAATTTACTCTTTACTATGTTTCTTTTTGGTTATCTGCTTGCTGTGGCCCATTTGTAAGGTGGACACTATTGTTTAAGTAGTTTATAAGCATTTAGTTGATAAGATCAAGAGGAAATTAGGGCTGGGGAGGTTCGAGTAATGAGGCAAGAAGATCCTCAGTCGAATCTGATTTTTTTTGGTGAAGTCACTGTGCTTTTTTTTGTTTTTAGCAGCGTCATTGTACACAACAACACAGGAGCAACAGCAGGCTGTAAACTGAAAACCCTGATTAAATTAACCAACAGTTTTGATAATAATTAAAGTAATTTATCAAGCAAAAAGGGCAAACATTTGCTAGTTTCAGCTGCTTAAATGTGAGACTTTACTATCATATCACTGTAAATTTATTATATTTATTAATCAACTGTTAGTCTGACAAAACAAGCAAATTAAAGACACCACCTACGGCTTGGGCATTTTTCACTGTTTTGTAGCATTTTGTAGACTAAACTATTACTTGATTATTTGAAAATGTAATCGCTGCGTGTTAAAACCCCTTAACAAACAGCACCCCACCGATAGCTCAGTCATTACAAGCTCATGCTGTGAAGCCAAATATTGTTTAGACTCACAGAACACTATTTTAAATTATTCAGATCATCAAAGATATGAAATATGTCAGTTTATTTTGGGAAGTGTGTAACAAATGAGACTGATACAGAAAATATATGCTACTGTCAGAGAGGATTTAGATGATTTCAACTACTAGCTATCTATGAGAAAACAAAAAGGGGAAAATAATTGCTAGTTGTAGACTTGGTTCAAGGTTGTACCCACAAATACACACAAAGACAGAACTCCTAACCTCAAAGCGTTAGTATCTGCAGATGCCAGCGCAGAGAGGTTACAGTGGAGCTGCTATCTCCTGATTTGGCTGATGATGTCTGTTAACTGCCAGTCATAGAGGAAGTCTGGCTAAACTGTCACCAGCCTCCATGCAATCACTCCTCAACGAGACCCTGGGGTAGAAGAAGGGGGAGGGGCGGTTTCTGGTGTTTCAGAGTTGTCATGACACTGAGCATTACAAGCATGTTGAGTCCCATGTCGTCTCTCAGGATCGCTGCATATTTTCGCCGCCTGTCTTTGAGAGCGTGTCTCGCGTGTGTGGATGTGTGTCTGCATGCATGTGAGGGTCCACATAAAATTGTGTGCGAGTCTACATGCACCTGTGTGCTTGTACGCACGTGCAAAGAGGTGTCGGGGTGCGGGGTGTGCGTGTGAGGTGTAAATGCGCTGGCACCCAGTCGCCACATCAGGGGTGCGAGAGGAGGGTGGCGGCGCGTGTGATAGCGAGGGTGTAAATTGAGCTGTGATCGTCCAAGAAGCAGGATATGATTGGATGAAACGACAAGACCTTGTACGCTTCGGCGCGAGGCACTTAGACACACTCTGCTCTAAACTGCAGCGTGCTGAATTCCTGTTGCTTCTGCCCCTTTTTTATCTCTCTCCCGCCACTCTCTTTGTGTTTGTAGATCTCCAAGCTTTCATCTCAGACTGAGCCTTTGAAATACAATGCTCTTTCTATCTCTCTTTCTGTCAGCCACACACATTCTCCCTCTTCTATGCTTATATCCTAATAACGCCTTAGTTTATTTTATTTTTGACATCTGTTTGGCTGTAATCTTCCACAGAACACTTACATATGTGATCCAGTATGTCTCCACATTCAGTATTTTCCCAATGTTCCAAAAATGCAGAGGGCTATGAAATAATGGTTGTTTTGAGTCAGTTTTTCTTTCTGTGTCTGTCTTTCTTCCTCTCCTTCCTGTATCATATCTTAAGCAACTTTACCCATTTCTTTCTCCTTTTTTTTTTATATTCTCCATGCTCAGAAACACAAGGAGCGGGACAGACATAAACCGAAACACAAGAAGACCATGGACATGTCACCCTCCCTCGTCCTTCCAAACATCATGGTCCCAGACAAGGTGAGGGCACCCCTCCACTATGTACTGCTTTGTTTTGGTGATTTGTGACTTGGCTAGTTAAAAATGACAGCAAGGGTGTCTGATGGACTTTTTTTATTTTTATTACCTTTATTAACCTTTGTTGCTCTAATTCTGTATCCCTCAAACATCCTGTCCTTCCGCTGACCTTTCCCCCATTTTTGGTCCTCCCTTTCTCAACTGGCATTGTTTTGATAATTTTTATCCCTGTTCCGGTGCTTCTTGTGGTTCCTGTCCTCCCTTTCCGTTCAACCATAATTTTATTCTTCCTCCCTTTTCCAGACCTACAACACCAGCAGCTCAGGGGGAGGCGTCACCTCTCTGTCAGCACCCTCACAGAAGAGACTGGACGACGGCACCGCCCGTTTCACCACCGCTAACTTTCAAGAAGTGTCAGCCGTTCACTCCGGCGGCGGGTCCAAAGATGGGATGGCTGCAGACGCTGGGAAAGCAGTGTCTGAGGTGAAGAACAAGAAGAACAGCGGCGGAAGTCACGCAGCGGGACAGAGGGGCGGCCGCAAGTCTCTCACCTCCTCAGGGAAACCCCTCCCTTCTGCCGTGGTCACCATGGCAACATCCTCCACATCTGCCTCTGCTTCCACGGGGCCTTTCCACCAAGGTGAATTGATGGCTGCAAATGGTCCTGTATGTTAATTTTCCCACAACTGGGAATTAACCCTGCAGTTAGAAAAATGGAAACACAATGACAAATCATCTGCTGTTCCTCCTCTGCCCACCCACCAAAAAACTGCAAGTGCAGCACATTTGCAATTACAGCAATGCTATTAAAACTCAAATAAGAGGGAGATTCATGTGTTGTGTGTGCGCATGCTGTGTCATTTTCTGGATTTTGGCCAGACCCCAGACTTTTGTGTGTGGCCGTGATAACGGTGCTTCGTCTCGACTGGCCTCTGGCTCCTTTAATCGGGGGCCCTGTCTGGGAGCAGACTAGCGAACAGACTAGCACACACAGCACACACACACACACACACACACACACACACACAGAAAGAAAGAAAGAAAGAAAGAAAGAAAGAAAGAAAGAAAGAAAACATGAGGGTAGGTCAGGACCTGAAAGGAGTCGGTGCTCACACTGAGCTCCTGTGTTTTGTACTATGAGAACCTTGAAGCCCTTGTTAGGTGTGTGTGTGTGTGTGTGTGTGTGTGTGTGTGTGTGTGTGTGTGTGTGTGTGTGTGTGTGTGTGTGTGTGTGTGTGTCCGTCCATCCCTGTGCTTTCAAGGCAGTTCATCTGTTTCACGGGAGGATGAGGGGGGCTGACTGTACAGCAGATAGAGAGCAAGAGAGTAGATAAAATGTTATCTTGTTTCTGCTGCTCCCATGCTGATGGAACGGAGACTCATTTGGAAACTTTTCCAGCTATAATGTCTGTTTCCTCTGTGTTGTTTCTCTCCTCCTCTCACTCCTGGTCTCTCTCTTCCTTTCTCATCTCACATGTCCTTCCTGTCTATCTCCACTTCTGTCTTTCTCTCTATTTCTCACATTGTCTCTGTTTTCCACATGTCTGTTTCTTTCTTCCAGGCCTCCTGTTGACCAGTGCCAGCAAGACTCCCTCTGCTCCTTCCTCCTCTGACTTCCTAAGCTTCTCAGATTCATCGTTGCGTCCCGGGGGTGGGACTACCTTCTCCTCCCCGCCATCTTTCAGCAGCTGCCTTGTGAAGCCGAGCTCGGAGGGCGGAGCTTCAGAGGGAACTACGACACTTTTCGGTTCTCTGATGTCCGCCACTACAGCGTCTGCAGGTACCAGTTATTTGTAATGGTTACATTTTTGGTCTCATTATTACAGTGATGCCACAGTTAGTAATTTTTTTGTAATCTCCTGTTGGACTTGGGTCCTTCAACAGAATGTTGTATGTGAACTTTTACCTCAACCTCTGTTGCATCAATTTTGTCCTTTGAAAGTACTGTAACTTTATGGAAGCACAATAAAATGTGAATATTTGCTTGTTTTCTTAGCCTTCTATTATACTAAACAGAATATATTTGGGTTTTAGGACTGTTAGACAAAACAAGCTGTTTAGATATGCCAGTTTCTGTTCTGGGAAATTGCAATGGGCCTTTTTCAAAGTCTCTGACATTTTGTAGAGCAATAGATTAATTGAGTAAGTAACCAGGGGATTAATTAATAATGAAAGTAATCATTAGTTGCAGCCCTAATTTACAAGAGAACTGATGACGCAGGAAGTGCTTTCCTCTAAAGTAGATTCTTTGATGGATCTCAGGCCAACAAACCACAACAAAAAACACCCAAGACTGCAGGCTTTATGCTTAAATATTCAGTTCTGCTTTCTTATCATTTCAGTGGGCGGGAAGCTGTATGAGAATTCCCATAGTCACACAGCTAGTGAGGCGACAAGCCTCGGTGGGTCCGCTGGCTACAAACGGCCCCAACCCTCCAGCTCAGGCCCGGGGATCGGAGGAGCAGCGGCAGGAGGAGGGGAAGATGGGGTGAAGAAGAAAAAGAAGGGCAACTGGCGAAACAGATTTGGACCTTGCTTCACCACGGATGTGAAGCCTTCGGAGCCAGCTCCCTCCCTGACTCTCCCCACCTCCTCCACAGCCAACACCGCCTCTTCCACCGCCTCCCCGTCCTCCTCTTCATCCTCGACACTCTCAGGCCGGCCGGGCTTAGTTTCCAGCAGTGGATTAGGAGTGGGAGTGGGGGGAGGAGGAGGAGGAGGAGGAGAGAGGGGGCTTGGGGTCATGGGTGTCAGTGGTGGGATTCAGAAGTCCCCGTCACTCCTCAGGAATGGGAATCTGCAAAGCAACAGCGGCTCCACGACCACTGGGCCAGGTGAGGAGGACACAGCAAGTTAACACACACAAAACACAACGTTTCACAACAATGAACAAGAGAAATACTCTCTCAGATCCTTCTGTCTGTCAGTGTCAGTTGCATTTAGGAAAATTATCTTCACAGTTTTGTTGAAGCTAATATGCAGAAATAATTAAATTGTTGTTGGCAGCTAAAATCAGGAAACAGGCTGGTTTAATTCAAGATTTCTATGCCAGTTGTGTCATGTTAGACAAAGAAGTGGCCCAATCCTGCTCAACATAGTGGCATCACAATGATTAAAAGGGAAATGGTTGTGTGGCAGTGTTGTAGCACTTCTTTATGTCCAGTTCCTGGTTTGTGGAGCTTTCTTTCCATTCGCCCCAAATGCTGATGAATTAAACAGAAAATATATGTGGATTGCCTCTGTGCAGCAAAGTATTAACATTACCGATCACAGATAGCAAGGATTCGACAAACCTTTATGATTGGCTCCTTGTGTGCGTGTGTGTATGTCAGAGTGCGGTGGGTCTATGTGTTATTTGCTCACACACGTGGAAGTGGTCTGTATGTATTTTTTTTTTTTTTTCTCATCGTGATCAGTTGCTTGGCAACTGTCTTTATGCTTTGGAGTTCCCCTCTGCTGATGGAAATGGCTCAGTACAGGCTACACATCCCACTTCTCCCCTTTCTTCCAGAATCACCACCCTTTTTTGTTTCAATCCTGCCTCTCAGCCGCTCTCTCTTACCTGCATTCTGCTCACTCCTCAAATCCCCGTCTCACCTGTTGATGCTTTATGCAGCTGACGGTGTACGTGTGTTTGTGTAGTCCCATGTCCAAATGCAAGTATAGAAAATAGATTCTCTAATTAGACCAATATCCACCACTTATCAGGATCATCTTACCCGTTGCTGATCGCCAGTTTTTACACAAGGCTCTTGCTTGAGACGTCCTTCAGGCTCTTTGTCTGTTACTCAGCCTATTTTTGATTTTTGGTGGTTCCTAATTCTAAAATATTTTCAATTGTACTTTGAAACACTCTTCAGACTGATTGATTACAGCTTGTTAAATTATTTATTTGTCTTTAACCTTCAAAATCTATAACAAATATTAGACAATTCCACTCAGTGACAGGTTGATTGGATTGGAGCATCCATAGAATACAATAAATCTGTAGTAATATCATGTTTTTCCTCATAGCAGCATTGTTCTGTTGTGAAGTATGAGATATTATGCGGTTGCCAAGTGGGAGTACACAGATTCTGATCAAAACATTTGTTTGTCTACTTGCATGTGCATTGGTGAACTTATGAGACAAAATTATTTTATAGTGTAGCCATCTGATGATAATAATACATTTATCAGATGGCTACACTTTAAAAATTAGTCAATTTCCCCCCAATTCAATGTTGTTAATTGTGAATTGACAAATTTTCTCATACATATATTGCTTTTATAAATTATATGTCACTGAGAGGAAACCTGTTATTAAACCAACATTAAATGCAGCAGTTAGACTTTAGAATTATTGTATCACTGCAAGTGCCCAAATGTAGTTGTTGCTAATAATATGTAAGTACAAGTTGTGTCGACCCATAAAAAGTCATGCTTTCAAGTGTGTGTTTAGTAGATATTACATATATTGGTAGCTTTGAGCACAAGTTGGTGAGTCAAACCTTAGGACTGGTGCTGTTTGCTTTCCGAATATAATCTTTTGCAGCAGTGGTGGTTAAGGATAATTTTGTTTGTGATTCCACGTCCATCTGAGTTTTTGGTGCTCGTGCTTTTCCCTACAGCAGTGGCGGCATTTCTGACCACAGCTGGTGAAAGAAGATAGGGAAAACAACAGTGGTGGTTATGTATGGCTGCGCATTATATCTGTGTATGTGTATGTGTGTGTGTGTGTGTGTGTGTGTGTGTCTGAGAGTCATGTGTTCGTCTTCCTACTGTAAATATTTAGCCGAGGGTTAATGCAGGGCAGTAATGGGGAGGATCTTGGCGTTTACCCCCCTCCCTCCATCCTGTCTGCTGACTCCACCGTGCTGATGGATAGATAGTTAGCCTGATAGATATGTGTTGGATGGTGGGGAGAGGCACGGGGTTAGATTTTGGCTGGGTTAATGTTTGACGGCAGGGGGGTCACCGATGGGACGGACGAGCTGGTAGAGCGCAGTGGGGGAGGAAAGATGTTTGGTGGACATGAATTTATTCAGGCCGGTGGGTGGTTGTGTTGCATGTTTTCTTCTGCCAGGGAAATACATTTCTACATTAGAAGAAATTATTTTGAGAATCATGAATAAAAACAGTTTTTGGTCACTGTAAAATTTTAATTCACAATCTCAAATTTTTACTTTTTTTATGTGATTGAAAGTTCTGTTTTATTATACGTATTGTATATGTGAGTGTGAGAACTGTGATGGATTGAGTTTAAAAGTATTTCTGGAAAACAGAGAATTCATCCAAAACAAAAATTGTTAAACAAAAAAAAATCACAAGCTGAAGAACACACACACACACACACACACACACACACACACACACACACACACACACACACACACACACACATATCATGCAGAAAACCTCTAACAAACAACACTTCTGAAAAAATTGGAGACAAACAATTTCAAAGTGACAGCTCTTTCGTGTGCATTAGAAAATATGTGTGTTCCTCATTAGTAAACTATGGTGAATAAGTAGACAGTAAAAATAACATTTTCAGTAGAATTTACACTAGTCCGATCACTCTTCAGTTTGAAGATGTTCATAATTGCAGAGACTCTTGAATATTGTTGTCTGCCCAAACTGTCTGCAACTGACACAGCTTTATCACTCAATGGCAAACACCCACATACATTTTGTGATACATGCAAACAGACATGGACAAGCACACACATGCACACAGAGTTAAATTGACTGGCCTTGATGTGGCTCTGCTCCCTCTTCACATTGCTGTGATGTTTGAATACATTTCTGTTTGTCTTTGGTGGAAGAAAATTATGAGAAAATAACAAATATCTTCCTGTTGCCATGATGGCGTTCTGGGTTTGTCTCCAAATTCCATTTTTAAATTGTGATTAAATGACTGTCTGAATTTTTCAAAAAAAACAAGTTATAGAGCCCGAGTAGTCACCATCGCCCCGCTGCTTGGATAGAAATTTCCTCCTGAAACAAAATTTAAAGCAAGTTCTTAATCAAAACATTGATTCAGCTGTTAAATAACGAGTATGATGCCATCCACTTAGTTTTTAGATTGGACTTAACCCTCCCTAAATAGACAACATAGATTTCCTATGGAGATAATACCAGCTTGAACTAATCAAGGTGGATATTTTTGAAGCTTACAGACACACTGAGCAGGACGGGAAAAGGAACAGGAAGGTCGGGCGATGGAGGCAGTTCTGCTTCAGGGGCTTAATGTTATTGATCACTCAGATAGGGTATAAGTTTTACAAGCTGTGTGTGTGTGTGTGTGTGTGTGTGTGTGTGTGTGTGTGTGTGTGTGTGTGTGTGTGTGTGTGTGTGTGGAAAAATGTTTTGCTCTTTGCCTTTTGTTATCGAAGGGGAAGTTTTAATTCCCATCTAAAGCAGGAGTCAAATGAGAATCAGTTTGTATGAATAACAATCTTTGTAATATTTAAAAATCTTCATACCAGAGTGGGCACACGTCCAAAATATCAGTTCCTCAACAACTCTTAAAAAAAAACAGCCTTGTTGTTATGACTATATATATTTTATGTACATTTATTTGATTTGTTTAACTAAATGATTTTTTTTGTTACAACCTGAGAATCACTATATTTCACCTAAAAGTGATATTTCAAAGAAATGAATGATATAAATGTAATACAGTTAAAATTTAAATTTAAAAAGTATAACCAATTAAAACATTTATTTGTAAATGGTGTTAACATTTCCTGCTTACTTAAAAAACAGAAAACAACTAGCAGCTGTTTAGTTTGGTTTTCTAATTCAGGAAAATAAATTCAAATATGAAATAATTTTTGTTTTAATATAAGCGTTCCTTATGGAAAATTTAAAATACAGCATACATATACTGTGATTCTATTTCGGTACATTTCAAATAACCTATATTCTTATATCACAAAGTCAACATGCATTCAAATTAATCTGTATTTTTCTTTCGCTGCTGGCACTGTTTTTGCACCGACCCTTTGTGTGTAACTCTTTTCATCAATGGCATGAACTAAACTCTGATAAACTGTTGGTTTGGCCTCTTATCCAGCTGCTAAAAATCTTTCAGGAGCTCGTGCCCCCTGAGTCACAGCAGCCCTGCTTTGGGTATCAATTTTTCTGGTGCATATTACAAAGCGTTATAAATAGTATGTAGGCCCATGTCGTATTCGTATCTCTCTCTCTCTCTCTCTCTCTCTCTCTCTCTCTCTCTCTCTCTCTCTCTCGCTCTCCCTCCACCCCTCCCCTCCTGGCACAAAGATCTCTTGTTCCCCCAGTGAATGTGTGATGCCCTGAGCCATTCAGGCTTTTGTGGGGCTGAGGGGCCCTCCACCTCCCCCCTTCCTCTGCTGGGGTCAAAGGGGGCCAGGGGCAGGGCTTATCCCTGGTTAGTGGGCGAGCACAGGGGTGTGTGAGGGGAGGGAGGGGGAGGGAGGGAGAGAGCAGAGATAAGAGAATGTAGCATGGGTATGGGTGTGTGAAAATGGAGCAATATGTTTGTGTAGGTGATTTATAACTAGCATATGTTTTGTTATATAATATTCATGATTTTTTATAAGCTGAATAAAGTTGTTTTGTCTGAATTAGTTAAAAGAACACAGAGAATATATATGGAGGGAGAAAACGTGCCGATTGAATTTTATTATTTTTTTCCCCCCTTCTCTCTTCTGCCCTAATTTGTAAAAGCTTAATGTGAATGATTTGTGTCGTCAGATTTTTGCCGCTGTGGGTCACCAGCTCAGTGTGTGTGTTTCTGTACGTTTGAATTTGAGTTTATTATAATTGATGGAGATTTTACAATCATAAAGAAACCAAATTATCTGACCGCACACTCGAGCAGGCCTGCGTCCTTAATCATGCATTACATTTGTTGATTTTATTAATCATGCATTAAATTGGTTAAAGTCAACAGATCTAAGCCTTGTTTAAAACGTAATTTTAGATGTTCCATTATCTCTGTAAATGATTCATGCTCTAATATAGCAATTTGTCTACTTCTATCTCCAGTTATTTGCATTTGTGTTACTCAATTGTGAAAAGACCTAAGAAACAGAGAGATGATGGAGAAAATAGACGTTTAACCAGGGTGGTTGCAACATTTTTAAATAATGTTGTAGTTCAAATAATGAAAACAAATTTAATTGAGCTTGTATATGACAAGGACAACGTATGAAGCAACAATACATTTTACAAAGTAATGCATGGACCAAATACTAAGACCTGAGACAAGAATCCCAAGGAAATAAGACAAATGTCTGAGCTGCAACTATGTCAGTGACTCAACTTTTTCACTTGGCATGAAAGGAAAAGCTCGGGTAAAAACATTAATGAGTGTCTCAGTAAGCCCTGACAGTGGGACAGGAAACTAGCAGCCATTATTAATTTAATTATTTACCCTTGTGCTTTTATACTGTAATTATTGTTATCGTTGTAGCATCAACTGTCAAACACTATCTCTCTAAAATCAGTGTTTTATTGTATTATTCAAATATATTATTAGATAAAGATAACACTGTTGATGTCTGTTCATCTCTGATTTCTCCACAGGTGTTTTCTCTGGTGCGGATGGGTCATCGTCGGGCACGGGAGCTGTCGCCGTGGGCGTAGCCAGCTCTGATTTGTCCCAGCAGCAGCCCACGCCTTCTCTGGCCCCTCCCTCTCCATTCACTGCCACCGCACCGCTAACCAGCACAGCCTCCACACACGTGAGTCCAAACACAGGGTGCTAGAAACCCTCAGTGCCCTCCTCGCTTTCACATAACATGAAAATACATGCTCATTAAACATCTTTCTTTCTTTATTTCTTTCTTTCCTTCACCAACCCACACAGACACATACACACCCTCTCTCTTCATTCAGCACCTTCTACATCCGTCAATTCACCCACATCTCTCGCATCTGTGAGCTGAAGTGCAGATAAACTGTGGGAACACAAATAAACCAAAGCACACTAATTAAACGTCTTCCGCACCAAATCTCCCAGCACTATTATTAATCCACTGCATGTTAATTATTTGTGAAATGTGTGTGTGCTGACCTTGTGTGGATTGTGTTTTCTCAGCAAGTGATTCTATAGCTGATTTTATACGGTGCACCTTAAGAGGCTCTTTCTTGTGTATTCAGAGCACAAGAAAGTATTTTAAATTTTTTTTCACTACATTGAAATGATGTGATTCTCCAGCTTAATTTAATAACTGTTGGCCTTAGTGCGCATGGTCTGTATTATAATATTGAGTGATACATCTTTACTAGTATGAATCCGTAAATGTGTTGGGATTTTTCTTTGGGGAAAAAAGAGAAATTCAGTGTACTATCAAATCCTGGAAAAACCACAGACTGTGTGTTATTGTAATCAACACTCACTATTATTATATCCCTTAATGTGGAGAAAAAGAAGAAAAAAAAAAAACACTTGTGGGCAAAGCTGGGAAATAAGTCATTCACTATGCATAAGGACAGAAAGTGGATCCAGGGTGCATCTTTCAGGAAAATGCCTCCTATCTTGAAATTTATTATGCACAAGATAATTTTTTTGTCTTTTACTATTATTAAACATATTTCTATTTTTACGTTGGCTGTTGAAGCAACAGCTGAGCAGGTTTATCCAGATCAAAATGAATGATGGTGATTGACAGATGTAGTACTAGAACTTTTCTGCTTTTTTAAAAAGTGTAATAGTTTTTAGTGTGTCTTGTCGGCTTAAATATGCTTACATTCAAAGAGGAGGAGCCCCCCAAAAAAAAAAAAAATCTTCAATCACTGACCCCAGTGTCTGTCCTTTCAAACCCTCCCCAAAGACCACGCTCTGTCTCTGTCCACCCAACTCCATTTTTCTCCCGTGTCCACTTACCACCTCTCTTTCTCTTTTTCTCACACACACTTTCTCTCACCCTCGACCTTCCTTCTCTCTGTCCCCGTCCATTTCTCTTTTTCTCCCTCCGTTGTCCTGTGATGTAATGACATCTGACAAGCACCACAGTAGGGATGGAGGGATAGATGGAGGAAGGGAGGGATTGGGCCACTGTGTGTGTGTGTGTGTGTGTGTGTGTGTGTGTGTGTGTGTGTGTGTGTGTGTGGGGGGGGGGTTGAATTCGCTGGCCTGGCCTTCATCTTGCCCCGCTCCTCTCTGTTCAGCACATATTATAGAAGACGGGAGGCCCAGAGAAGCACAGGATATCACGCCTGTTTGCAGCATGTATAGATGAGTTTGGGCTTTAGCTGTGTGTGTGTGAGGAAAAATAGACGGAACGAGAGCAGTGGAAAGCCAGAGTGTGGACGGCTTTAATAGAGAAAGAAATGTTATTTTTTTCCCTTCATTTCCTTCAATCGCTCCAGATTGTTAAAAACGTGTGTGTGTGTACGTGTGTGTGTTTTTTTGTAGTGTAATGCACTGCTCTGGGCATCTGGGACACGCACACACACTCCGAATTCAGGCTGCTGAAATTACGCAACTGTAGAAGGACGCCAACAACAGGCTTTCCTCAGTCTGTGTATGTGAGTGTGTGTGTGTGTGTGTGTGTGTGTGTGTGTGTGTGTGTGTGTGTGTGTGTGTGTGTGTGTGTGTGAGTGTGTGAGAGTGAGTGACAGAGACCATTTGCTATTTTCAGTCCGCTAGCAGACTCCCGGCCTACTGTTATTGGCTATCAGCCCAGGATAGAGAAAGGGAGTGCGAGAGAGACTTTGAATGAAAAATGAATGAAAATGAAAAATGAATGTTGATGGGAAAGGGGGCAGGATTATGGCACCGAGGGGAGGAGGAGGAGGATGAAGAAGGGAGGAGGAAGGGGAGGAGGGTCTAGAAGGAAAGTCATTTCAGTGAGGGGGAAAAATGGACGGAGGGTACAGGTTCTTTTTTAACATTTAACAGTGGTGGGAATTTCCAGGATGTTTCCAGATTTTATTATTTCAGACAAACCACTTCCATGAAATCGTAATAGGAGATTATGACTTTCTAGGTTGTTTTTTTTTCCCCTGGGTGCAACGTAAATTTCAGCAAATGGATAAAAAAAAGACTTGAGAACAGAAAATAAGAGAAAGGCCGGCAAAGCTTCACAAATGCAAGATTTGCATGTACACACTTTGTTTTGTTTTTTAATTTTTCAGGTAATTTTCAGAGTGTTTTTCCGTTTAATGCTCATTTGCAAAATAATTTTTTCTAGCAGTCAAATTACTGAAGGTTTAGGAAACCAGACAATTTAAGCCCAGAAGCGTATCTTTCCCATGAGTTCATTATGAAGTTGTGTTTTGACAGCAAGTAACTTTTTCTTCAATAATGTTTAAAATAAATATCTCCTCATGCTTTTCAGCTTGACCTTAATTCACAACACTCATGTGACGTGAAAGAGCATCTTCCAGTGATATAAATACGTTTTTTGCTGTGTAACTTTTTCTGGAACTCCTCAACAACCAAAACAGTCAGCCATTTTGTTCTTTTAGATAGACATGATTCCACTCCTGACGCTCCACCCTCGCTCTCCTCCCTCTAACCTCACCCCACCCTTTACTCCACGGTCCTTATTTGGGAAATGCCTTAATTGGATTAAACTCTATGCATCAGAAACACTTTGTCAGCATGTCAGCGTACTGTCGGGGTGTCGAGGCACTCTGAGCCCTCTGTGTATTTGTGTGTGTAACAGAATAATGAGCTGTGGATCCATATTATATCCTGTTTTTTTGTACATGAAAAGATAGTCAAAGTGTTGTCAAATCCACATTCAGACGAGTTTCACTGGCATGAAATGACATGTAGATGCTTTGTGACAATGCAGAATCAATAGAAGAGACCAGAGAATTTAAATTCTCAAATCAGATTCATTCTCAGCTTTGGACTCAGGCTCATTAAATGTGTAACAGCCTGCCAGTCTGTCAGACCTCCAAAGAAAATTATACAACATGTGATTTGAATATCAGTTCACTAACTAAAATTGTAACTGATATGTAGATAACATTGCTTTGCTACTGTTCAAGAATTACATTTGTTTTTTGTTATTTTAAAGAAATACTTATTTATAAAACAATAGACATAAAATTAACAGAAAATAAATCAACAACACTTTAATGAATTAATCATTCAGGTCATGTATCAATAAAAAATACCAAAAGAATCAGCTGGTTTCAGCCTTGGAAATGTGAGCTTTTGTGTTTTAATTACTATTTGTATCATGGTAAATTCAATTAATGTGTCTTTTGGGCTCTGGGAAGTCCTAATGGGAATGGGAAGTATTTTTGTTATTTCATACACTTAAAATAAATGTGTTGTGTAAATGAACAATGTATGAATGAATGAAAATCATCATTGATTGTACCCCTAAAATTGAATTAAATGATAAATTCTTATATGGCTTTTCCATTATTTTATAGACACCGTTTCTATTTATAGACCACTTCATTGCTTGATGTTGATTTCTCAAGATTTAAAAACCTCCTAATAACCATGCAGTTAAGACACATACCATGTAACTGCATTGTGGGGGGATTTTTGTTGCATGTCACACTCTCTTGTCTCCCCCCCTTGTTTCCTGTCTCTGTTTCTATCATATGAGCTATCTAATAAATGCGGAAAAGGCAAAATAAAAATCCCTTTTTAAAAAATTGCTTCTAACGTGATTATAAGATTTCAATCACAGTGAAACATGGCTTCTTCTGGCTTCTTCTCATCTGTATCTGTGCCTCTGTCTATAGGTGAGCGGTCTGCCAGGGTCAGTCTTCAACCTCGCTCCCTCCCACATGTTTGGAAACAGGCTGAACCCCAACTCGGCCATGGCGGCACTCATTGCCCAGTCCGAGGCCTCACCAGCAGGTACAGCAACACACACCTAATGTGGCAACGTGTGTGTATGTGCACGTGACAAAATTGTGTGTGTGTGTGTGTGTGTGTGTGTGTGTGTGTGTGTGTTAGAGAGCGACATAGAGGGAGATAATGGATAGGTCACACCCCCACTATCCCACAGAAGGGTCAAGGGTCAACACTCGTGATATTTTCAAGCTCCTCCTACTCAACTCCAGTTACATGCTGTGACACCCCCCTCTCTCTCTGTCATACAAAAACACACACATTTGTTCTCACACTTACAGCATAATACACATATTAAACATAGAGCTCTCTCCTCTAAACTGTGGCCAGTGTGAGATAAAGGAGGTTTTTGTTAAGGTAGTGATATGATAGAGGAGCAGAGAAGGCCGAAAAAGAGTTGGTTTGGTTGTCTGTCTGGTTCAGAAGAGCTGATGAAGGAGTAGAACATGGCTTCAGTAATCAGAGTAGCCACTTCCTGATAGAAGACATCTGGTTGAACAGAGGAGAGAAGCAAATGAAAAGAAGGGAGAGGAGGACAGAGTTGAGAGCTAAGAGGAGGAAGGTAGGTAGTTCCTGCTGCCGGTCAGCAGTCATCAGAGCCAGATCCACTCTGACCCGCAGGTCAACTCACTAATCAGCCTGAATGACAGGGGGCCACAGGGCTCTGTGTGTGTGTGTGTGTGTGTGTGTGTGTGTGTGTGTGTGTGTGTGTGTGTGTGTGTGTGTGTGTGTGTGTGTGTGTGTGTGTGTGTGTGTGTGTGTGTGTGTGTGTGTGTGTGTGTGTGTGTGTGTGTGTGTGTGTGTGTGTGTGTGTGTGTGTGTGTGTGTGTGTGTGTGTGCCTGCCTGCCTGTGTGTGTGTGTGCCTGTGTGTGTGTGTGTGTGTGCCTGCCTGTGTGCCTGTGTGCCTGTGCGCCTGTGCAACAGACAGAGACAAGGCAGGTTCTGTGTGTACACAGAAGTGAGCTTTGTGTAATTCCTGAAACAAAAGTTTGGTAGCACCAGGAACAAACTGTTACACTTTTTTCACTTTTTCCTTTTATGTTTTTTATAAATATATTTAATTTACAGAGTAAAATTTTAAGATGTGTATACTAATTGATTACTTGATGTAAGAGTTTGGATTTATTGAGCCGTTTTTCAAGCACAAATGTCAACATTTTCCATTTTGTATTTTAATGTCTAGAATATCTTTAATATCAATATCATTATCTGTTAATCTCCCAATTACTTCCTGAACCATTGATTACCTGTCCAACAGAAGCAGCAGAAGACATTCAGTTTTCAGTGATTATAAAATATGGAAAAGCAGCAAATCCTCACATTTGAGAAGGTGCAACCAGAGAATTAATTATGAAAATGGACTAAAATTATTGATCATTTACCAAAACAGCTGATTTATTTTCAATAAAATTGATTAATGTCTAATCAATAATGAGAATTACTGTTACGCAGCCCTTCTGAACATTCCCGTGTGATATTTTCTTACCGTTACAGTCTGTGTATAGCACGTGTGTACAGCTACACAAGCGTGAAGCTCTGTTTGTGAACTAGTAAGGGTCATGTGAGCACAAACATGCAAGGTGTGCGCGTGTTTGTTTGCATGTAGGCTGTTTACTTTGGCAGCCGTTTCTCTTTGCTTTTGAGTGTCTGGAGGGAGGTGCCAGGACGGAAAGGGTTACGAGAGGAAAAAGGACTTGAAAAAGAAGGCGAGCGAGGGACTAGAGTGGTGACCTGGTGGGGGTAAAAGCTGGGATTGACTGTCTTAAGTAGAGGGGAGTTTCTGTGAGTGTGTAAATGCAAAAGTGTGCGTTTGCATGTGTGTGCATGTGTGATTCATTACTCTTACTGAAGAAAATGAAAAGAAGCGTCTGGCCAGGGGCCCAGAGGGAGGAGGTAAAGACTCTCACAGAAGGTAGAGGAAAAGAGGCAAATGCACAGGCAGTTTGAATGAAGGCTTGTGAAAGAGATATAAAGGAAGAGAGACAAAGTTTCATAGGCTGCAGATCCACAAGTATTACAATATGTCGTCTGCACTACGCTGACTAAATAGGAAAATGTGCGTTTTCTCATTGTTTTGGCACTCTGTATTGTTTTGTTTCATTTCTCACCCAAAAACTGAGCTTTTAAAAAACAAACTGCAGAGTGGATACATTTTGAGAACAACGGTAATGTATTTTAGTGTTGAGGACAACTGAGCTTTTGGAAAATAATGTACTGTAAGCCTGGTTATGGGCTGAGTGGCATTAAAGCTGCAGTAGGTAACTTTTATGAAAATAAATCTCTTGTCATATTTGCTGAACCTTTCACTATATACTGACAGTTGTATATAAGACGTGAGAAAGATGGTTGATTGTTCAGTCTCATTCCCAGGGACCAAAAGCCTTGATATTTGATGACTTGGGAATGAGACTAAACAATCAACTGTCCTTCTTGGGACTGATTGGTTGTTTTATCTTCACACACACTGGATTCTTGAAAATGCCAGGGAGCCCTAGGAAAAGTCCTCTGCCTTATGTCTCATGTACTACTGTCAGGATATAGTGAAATTTCACCAAATACGACAAAATGTTATATTTTATAGAAGTTATTTCCTGCAGCTTTAAAGTTAACCCTTGTGTTATGTTGACATTGGCTTTACTTTATCCTTGTTTATGGTCTGCTGTGTAAAAATAATACTATTAACTGACTAATCAACCAATTTTATTGTTTTTAAATCCTACATGAACAAATATATATGTATTCCTCTCGTTTGCCAAATAAAAGTACGGTAAAAGTGATCCTACATAGCGACATTACTTGTTATTTTATGTTAATTAGGTTAAGTAATCTATTGTATTTAGCCATGTTTTTAAGAAATATGTAGCGTAAATATGAGAACAATAAAAACATGAGCTGTATTAAAACACAGTGTAGGTGATCCCAGAGAGTAGGAAGGTACAGAACAGTGGTTTAACCGGAACAGACTCAGCAATAACCAGACTGTTTGTCTCACCCCTTACCAGATGTTGGCTGAGATGCACAGTTTTGTTGTTTGCCCACCAAAATAGAACGAAGAAGAGATTTAGCTGTTTTCCTCTTTATGGGCAAGAGATCTTCACAAAAATGGGCTGAAAATGATGCTGTGGATGCGCGTTGTTTTTACACATAAAGCGTTTTCAACTTCAGCCAGCTAAGTGCGGACTTGGTCTTAGATATACAATTGATTTTGTGTGTGTGTGTGTGTGTGTGTGTGTGTGTGTGTGTGTGTGTGTGTGTGTGTGTGTGTGTGTGTGTGTGTGTGTGTGTGTGTGTGTGTGTGTGTGTGTGTGTGTGTGTGTGTAGATCAGGAGGTGGGAGACGGCAGCAGCGGCGTCGGAGCTCAGGGCTTCTCCATAAGAGCTTCTCCCAAGACCACCCCGCGGTGAGTACACACACACACACACTCACTCAGATGCCCCCCCATCCCTCCCCATTTACATTCCTCACTGCCCCCCCTCCACCACCCTCCTTCACCCATCCCCCCTCTCTGCTTTTCCCTCTGCTGGCCCCTCATCTCCTCTCTCTTCCTCTCACTCCTCACACACACACATGCACACTCTCCCTTCGCTCGTACCCCTACAGGCAATTCTCGCTCTCTCAGCCAACGATAACTTGTGTTTTTGAAGGTGGTAACCATCCTTCAACTCCAGTTAGATTTTTTTCCCCCTTAGTTTAATCACACATGGAAGGACAGTCTGATGATTTTCGACATCTGCTTCATTTGGGAACATTTGTATGGATCTTTCAGGATGGGAATATTGATGGTACAAATCCATTTTTGTTTGATTCTACTTCTTTGTGGGTTGGATAATTTCACTTGATGAGGTCAGTCACAATTCTTATGATTTTGGATATTTATTTTTTAACACTCCACCTATATTATGTTGCATTTATGGGATGTAATTTGTGTGGGAAAGGTTGGCATTTAACTTTAAAAGAAAATATTGTGACATGGTGACAGGGGGAATGTTAGTAGCACTTTTTAGGTCATTGTAATTACCTTGAGGATGTTGTAGTTTGTTTAATGTATTAATATAAAAATAGGTCATACATTTTAAACATTATTTTGATAATTTTGTGATATTGACACTCAAAATCGGTGTATTTACGTTTGCGGTGTGATTCAAAAGTGGAAAAATCTTGCCATTAGTGTCTTTTTTTCACTTTTTCCTCACATTAAGTACCTCTCTGTCCCTTCTACTCTCTCCTGCTGTCCCTCATTTCCCCTCTTCCACACTCAACAGATTGTATTAGCACACACACCAAGATTTATCGCATCAAGACAGTCCACTTCCCTCTTTCTGTCTCCCTCACTCTTGCATGTCCTCTTTCTTCCCCTCTTTCTCTCTTGCTCCCTCTCTCTCACTCTCACACACAGACAGAAAGCCTGGCCCCTTTTCATTAGAGGCCACTGTAACAACAAATTGATGTAGTTTTATAGCCAGCAGTGTCTATGTTTGTCTGACGTTTATGTTGGGTCGTTAATCTCCCCATTGACCTCTCTATCTCTCCTTTTCTATCCATGCTCTCTCTCGTTCTCTCTCTCTCTCTCTCTTTCCCTTCATTCAGCTCTCCCATTGGTGGCCTGCAGATCCGCTATGACTCCTCGGGGTCGTTGCCGGGGCCGGGGTTGCTAGGGGCGGGGGGAGCCGGCGGGGAGACGATGCCCCCGGTGGCCACGAGCATAGAGCAGCTCCTGGAGAGGCAGTGGAACGAGGGGCAGAGCTTCTTGCTGCAGCAAGGAGCGCAGGGAGACGGTGAGAGGAGACACACACAAACACACACACACACACACACACACACACACACACACACACACACACACACACACACACACACACTAAAAAACACCTGACTCTCAAATACCAAAACAACACTGTTAGACTACTATTCTGTTAAAGTTTTCAAACATTCCTGAGCCAGAAGTTTGAGAAAATATCAATTGCATGCTCATGTAATTCTGTTTTTTTAGCTCTTGTCTTTTAAATGATCTCCATGTTGATAAAGGTTGAGAGACTAAAAACCAACTGGGCGCAGTGATGGAAATAAGTCAGAAACGTATCGTTCTACAAGTGACCATTTCTGATATGCTGTATTTTATTAATAAATTATAATGTTGTCAGCGAAACCAATTAAATTTGTCAAAATATAAGCAATCGTAGAAGTACTTAAGTACACAAAAATAGTCATAAAATAGCAAAATTGTGATTTAACTAGGGAACTATCTGACTTAAAAATAAGACGACAAGATTACAAATCTTACAAGACAATCAGTGCCAGCTTTCGGTACTTATCACATATTTCGGTCAAGAAAGTATTGAGGTTCGATACCCAGTCCTACACACTACTACTAATCATTATTTCCACCTTTTCCCTGTTTGCCACATTTCTCACTTCCTTTAAATTGATCCCTCGCCATTTTGCCTTTCAGCTGTTGCCATTTGCGCTACCTCATGCTCCGTCTCTCCAGTCACTTTCTCACATTATCTGTTATTGTAGTATCTGTCGATCTCTGTCAGTTATCTGCCTATCTGAACATCCCTTCAGGGATCTATAAAGTGATAATGAAAAAAGGAAGGTGGACCAGTTGTTAGAAAGGTCATCCTTCATCTGGATGAGTCAGGTTTAAGTTTCTCCTCTTTGTTGAGATGTCCTTGAGCTCTATACTGAGTCTGGACAGGCACCAGGGTCACTGTTCTGTAGCCGATCTTGACCTCTGACCTCCCTGTGGAGTATATCTGTCTAATCAGTCACTGAGTTGCATGGTTTTGCCGTAAGGAAGGAGTGGCCTTTACAGAAAGTCAGAGCATCATTGTTCTCGCTTGTGAAAATATCCCTCCAGTACAGCACTGCATTGACCGCACACTGTGGCAGGAGGATTATTCTTATTGTTGAACATTTGAGTTTGTATTTTCTCTCACACAATATATTGAAAACTTTTTCTCTCTCTCTTCCTGTCTTTCAGTGGTGGGCATGTTGAAGTCCCTCCACCAGCTGCAGGAGGAGAACCGGAGGCTGGAGGAGCAGATTAAAACTCTGACTATGAAGAAAGAGAGATTGCAGCTTCTCAGCGCTCAGCTATCAGTGCCTTTCACCCCCACCACGGCCTCCTCTGGTACACACCCACACCCACAATAACTGAAAGCATTTGTCAATTAATCGATCCATCTACTGCTTTGATAACTGAATAATTAGTACAGTTGTTGAATCAAGCAAGAAGAAATATTTTTTGGTTTCAACTTCTCAAATGTGAAGATTTGCTTTTTTCCTCTATTTATTACTTTAAACTGAATATCTCACAAAATGAAATATTAACTCAGGATGGACATTTTTCACTATTTTGTTTTTCATTTTAATAAACCAAACGATTAAAATATATATAACAGAAAAAATAATCAGCCGAACAATCAATTAAATGAAACCATGAATATCAGCATTAGTTGCAGCCCTGATACATATATATACATAGACACAGACAGAATATAAATTAATGCGTTAATTTGTGTTGCAGATGTGAAAGGAGCTCACCTGGGAGCCACTGACTCATCTTTACCCGTGGCAGCTCAGGTAAGAGCAAACACCTGACACATCGTAATCCGTTCAAATCCTGTATCACCACAAAGTCATCAGTGCTGCAGTAACATGTCATTAATATAATATCTGAATTAGCTGAGGTTCAGTGAAACAAGCATCAGATGGTTAGTTATGTCATAATTTTACACATTATTACACTTACACCATCAATTTATATTTGTGATGAAATCCATCATCAATTACAAATGGAAGAGTTAATGGTGTCTTTCTCTTTCTTTCTCTCTCTTTCTTTCTTTCTTTCTTTCTTTCTTTCTTTCTTTCTTTCTCTCTCTCTCTCTCTCTCTCTCTCTCTCTCTCTCTCTCTCTCTCTCTCTCTCTCTCTCTCTCTCTCTCAGGACAGTGCGTCATGTGGCGGCCACAGCAGTAGCGGCTCCACATCCTCTCTCTCCACCCCTCCTTCCATCTCCCAGAGCCCGCCCCAGCCGCAGCTGAACGGCGTCGCTGCTGTCGGATCGGCCTCAGCCGGGCTGGGCGGGGTGGCGGGGCTGATGGGGGCTCTGGGTGCAGGGAGCGCATTGGGTATGGGGGGAATTGTCGGGGCGCTGAACGGGGTGATCCAGACACCAGCAGGCATCGCCAGCCCTCACACACACACTACTGGAGCGGTTACGGGCGTCACGTTACCCGTTAATAATAGGTACGTCTGATGTTTATTGTCCCAAAAATCATTTTCTGATGTTCTTTTTTGGGCTACAACAGCAAGCTGAGCAAAACTGAAAAACAGGAGCAATTCATATCACCCACCTCAACAAATTCAGTCAGTGGATTAAAGGTTTCTAAATGCGTACGTTGTTTAGTACTGAAAAGTCATTCTTCATGTCAGTGAATGTACAACTTGTCTCTTACTTTCCCAAGATGTTTGAATGTGAACTTTATTGCGTCCCCTTCTTTTTGTCTCCTCTTGCTTGCGTGTTGGATTAAGCAGCTCAGCAACTAGTAAGAACAGGTGAGAAAGAAGTCGGTTCAGCATCGCAGCAACCTATTAGCTCAGCCTCCTTCATGTCTCTAAAGTCTGGAGATTTTGTGAACATGTTGCAGCAGTGTGTGTGCGTGTGTGTGTGCGTGTGCGTGTGTGTGTGTGTGTGTGTAGTTATGTAAAATCCCCTTTTAGCTATATCACATTCATCATGAATTTAGTTCTTTCTTAATATTTAAATAGCAGTACATGTAAAATGCTTGTTCTTCAGGCCTGTTCATATTTGGGTTGTGCGTGTTTTTCATTTTGCTGTAGTCAGCCATTCCTGGGGGTGTCCTCGGTATAAACTGCTAATGTTTTGAAGTTGTGTAATAAAATGTCTTGTCCTGATAGCTGCGTAAGGACACTGTGTTTGTCTGACTGCGAGTTGTGTTTTTGTCTCGTCAGCGCTGCGCGGCTCGGCCTGATGTCTGAGCAGCAGCGACTCCTCCTGCAGCATCATCAGCTCCAGCAGCTGCTGTCCTCACAGCCTTCAGCGGTACTACACACACACACACACACACACACACACACACACACACACACACACACTGGCAGGCAATCGCCACTATCACACACATTAAACACACACAAAGATATTGTTTCTTTGGATAATGTCTTAAATCACCAAGCTTATTAACTGTTCTCCCTCCCCCATTGTTTCCCTCCCTTTCTTGTCTGAAACTTTCACTTTACTCTAATTTTTTTCCTCTTGCCCGCTCCTTATTTCCTCCTCTCTCCCCTTCTGTCTCCATCTTTGCTTCCTCCCTCCAACCCTCCTTCTCTCCCCCAGGAGCATCAGCAGGTGTTGCTCTACCAACTATTGCAGCAGCAGCAGGACCTCCAGCAGCTGCAGTCCCTCTCCTCCTCTGCCCAGATTCCCTCCATCCCGCTCTCCTCCGCTCAGCTGCCCATCAGCAACCTGCTGCCCAGCGCCCAGAGCCAGGGCCAAGGCACCATCACCGCCAACCCCTTCCTGGCGCTGCAGCACGCACACGCTGACACGCACGCCTCGGGGGCACAGAAGCCGCGGCTAGCTGAGAAGGCCGTGGGCGTCGCAGGGCAGGAGAAGACATGACGGCAGATGCTCTTTTGCCTTTTTGGTTGTTTTCTTTTTTAAATAAATATGCAGAGTTTTCGGGAGATCAGCCTCTTGGTCACCTTTGTAGTTCAGTGCTGAGAACATTGGCAGCAGAGGAATCTGTGTCCTGTGGTAGATTATTCTTTCCAGTTGTCTATGCTAATTCATTAGCATAGAGTGATAGCATTTATTTGCTGTCACTAGCTCACTCTAGCTGATCTTTTCAGGTTTATTTTTGCAACTTTTTCAGGTTACAGTCTTAACACAGCATTTTTTGTTTTTTGTTCTATTTATTTCCATCCAGTTTTTTTTTTTTTTACTTTTTATCTTTAGTGCTGCTTCAGGTTTTATTTTATCACTGTTGTGATAATGATTTTCATTTGATATCACTGGAGGCAACTTAGTGCGTTAGTGTCAGTAAGTGAGCACATGCTGTGTCTGTTCTCTTCTCTCAACAGGCGAGTTGACTAACAGGTCAGCTTTTCCTTTAATTAGTTTTTCTTGATATTTTCTTCTCTAATCTCCTCATTCGGCGTCTTCTTCACGTTTCTTCTTTCTCTTGTCACTGTCATGTTTTTGCATCATTTCCTCTCTTTTCCTTTGTCTCCATCCTTTCTCCCACAGCTTCAAATCCTCCACACTCGCACCCCTCTCGGTCTGGTCTCTCTGCTGTCTCACTCTCTCAGGGGCCTCAGCTATCAGAGTTGTGCACTCAAGCTGGCGCACACACACACACAGAACTTCAAGCGTAAAAAGAAAAATAGCAGAAATACATGAATATAAAAAATAAACTACAATTCCCTACCACAGGACTTAACAGTAGCAGATGTATGTTTGACATCTGTCTCGCAGCGGTCCCGAGGGGAATACTGGGTGAGAGGCTTGTGAAAATATCCCACATGTTCTCACCGTTGCCTCTCTTCCCGTGTCTCTTTCACTCCGTTTGTGTAGATCCATTAATGTCAGTGAGCCAAGCCTCGTACAGTCACCGCAGAAGCCTTGCTTTTGACTGTCTCTTCTCTGGGCCAGATACAGGGGGCTCACTCAGGGAAGTGAAATGTAAAAAAAAAAAAGGGAAATAAATATATAAAAAACAGCAAGTTAAATGCTCAGAGGGATACATCAGTCCACATGGCACACACTCACAAAGATAAATGATTCAGTCGGTTGTCAGCGCGTGGAAGTCATTACATTTCATCTTCTTGATTGAGCCCCCCGCTGCACCTACCTCTTGAGCAGGACCAGCCTATCAGGACCTAAAAGGCCGACAGCAGCGGCCGCTCAAAACCCGCAACAGTCAGGACTGGCCAATCAGGGTCCAAACCCAAGTGCCTGAGGCCAACAGGGGTTTATTTTCCTTTTACCTGTGTCCCCGTCATTGAACAACGCTGCTGGTAATTAAGCTGCGTCGCATAGGCAACAGATTACAAAAAAGAAAAGTCAGGCTGGACATGCCGTCTCTTTAATAAAACCAGGAAATATTATTCTGCTGCATTCTCTAATATCAAAGCCAACTTTGTTGTTTGCTTTTTATTTATTGGGAGTTTGTGTAACGGGCAAAAGATGATATATTTTAAAAGCCTGCTGGTGTTGCAATTTAACATCATTTTGTACTACTGTGTAAAGTTTTGTTTGTTTTGTTTGTTTTTCTTTCTTCCTACAGTTGAATCATGCTGTAAACCCTTTTAATGACTTCTATTCTGTGTTGTGTTTGAAAGCTAGAAGCTACTTGATAGTTGGCTGATTGGGGGGTGTGGTTGTATATAGTTTGTAGGGGGGAGGAAGTGTGTCAGGGGGGTGTTCAGTGGCACAGTTTTTACCTCGTTAAGTGTACATAGACCTTTCTCATTGGCCGTTGGTGTACATAAGTGATTGTGATTGGCCGTGCTGGTGTGAAGGAAAGCCAATGAAGCCTCAGTTTGTGTGTGTGAATCTTTAGCACCAGACAAAAAGGTTGACAGTGACTGGACACACAAAGTATTAATTTATTTTTATATGTTCAGGGACATTGTGTTTCTTTTTTAAGTTTTGCACCATTTTCTTGATGAGAAGTCATTTTATACTTGGGGCACCGTGTTTTCATCTGTGCACACATTTCTTTGGATCAGTTTTGTACAAGTGGACAATAAGAAGGGGGCAGGGGATTTGACATTGTATTTCAAAACACCAAAATAAAGAAACACTATGGATAAAGTAACAGGCACATTCAGCCTTTGTGTCAGAGTTTTTTTAAATATGCATTGGACAGTGAGTTTATTGTAAAGGTTTCAAATGGAATTAATGTGCAATATTGAGCCATTTACACCTAAATTAATACTGAATATACTGACTTGTAAAGATATTTTTTAAACTCTCAATACTCTGAATATTGAACTTTTTCAGAACAGTACAATCCAAATTCTATTTTCAAAATGTTTATCTTGCTGACAGAAATATAGTGCAGATCTGATTCATTATAGCAACAATGCTGGCAGTATATTGTTCGGAAATGCATTTAATATAAAGTTTTAGACACCCATATATATACACTATATATGTATTAATTACATTTTTATTAGTTTATTCGATAGGGACAGTGCTCATAGATCAGTAGAAAAAAAAGCTAAAATAAGCCCAGAAGGCTAAAAAAAACACCCAAATTAGAATAACACATCTTTCAAAAAATTCATGTATACAACATATTAAAATAGTACAGAACACATCCATCAATAAATAAAACCTTGTTATGATACATGATAGTATTGTATTATTATAGGCCAAATAAAGAAGTAGCCTAAGTTTTCAAATGTATACAGCTCTGATTAAAGCTGTTTTTGTTTTGTTTTTCTGATCACGGATAAATAACGATTCATGAGGCGACTCCAGATAAGCTGCGGATAAATGTGAAAATATTAAGTATATTCTGTTTAAACTTGCAAATATTAAATGACATGGTATGTTGAAAAGAGTGAAATGGCATACCTGGTTTTTATATGACATTAATTACATTGAAAATTATGGAGGAGATGGCGGCAGCGAGATGTGATTTATTCAGTAACAAGGGGGAGGAAAATGAATAATCAAGAAGTGCCAATAGAAGCTGAACATCTTTAGATTTAAACAATGTGCTTCAAGGCTCCTGTCCTAACAAATATGCACATACACCCCCCAAAGCTGATGACTTCCAGCTGCCAAGAAACAACCAGTGTGTGTGTGTGTGTGTGTGTTTAGAGGTGGGGGCACCATTCTGCTACATCTGCTTCTGCCCTGGTAATTAAAAGCTCACTTTCCTCCTGCACTCCTGCTCCCCCAAAAATACCCCCCACCCCTTCAGGAGTTTTCAGTCCCCCCCCTCCCTGCACACACACACACACACACACACAATCTAACCTGCATTCAACAACACAACCCCCCTTTTCTCTTCCCTTTTCTCTTCCCTTTTCTCAAGCACTTGCTCACACACCCCTCCCTCTACCAAATATCCCTCACCATGCCCCCCCTCCCCCCCTCCACTCACTATCAGCCCTGTCAATCAAAGGCAGGCTGTTTAAACAGCATACACCCCCTCCCACCACCACCACCACCACCACCACCCAGGACTATCTCTTATAAGCCTCCACCATCAGAGCTGCCTCCCCTCCACTCCCTGTAATAGCAGCACCACCCTGCCACACACACACACACACACACACACAGACACACAGGGCAGAACTGCTGTGTCCATCATCGATCATACTCCCCCAGAAACCCACCCCAGGGGTGGGAGGGCTTACCAGCTGATGGAGGACCCCTGTGTGCTGCCCAACCAGGTGCCTGATCACAAAGTCAAAACACTACTAAGCCCTGGTGTTAGCAGACTGAAGAGCTCGCTGTTTCTCACACACACACACACACACACACACACACACACACACACACAGAGCAGATAAGCCAGCAGGAGGGTTAAACCCTGGATGATTAGACAAATGTTGGGCAGATATCTGTGGCTTCAGATGCGAGCTGAGCTGCTGTCAACGAGGAATGCATCAACATGGGCACCTGCCTCTGACTGAGCAGCCTCTGTAAGTTTCTGTCCCCTTGTTCTAGTGTTTGTTCTCCTGCTTCAAAATAAAGTATTTTAATTGTTTGGCATTTTTCAGAGACAACAAAAAGCCGGAGAACAAAACTGCAATCAAGACCGCTTGAAGCCGAGTGAAACCAAAGAGAGGAAAGCTTGATTTGATTCTGGATTTTATTTGTATTGTCTTGATTGTATCCATGAAAACCAAATTACACAGCTTGAAATGATTTGAAAAATTACAACTGTACAGTACACACACAAATTTCTACATTCATAATTCAGGCAAAGCAGCACATCTTAGTGTATGTGACTAGGTTGTTATACATAAAAATGTCTACTTCAATAAAAAACACAGTGAACAGAGAAATATGATTTTACCCAAGTAAAATGATGGAAGAGAGCAACTACCAAGAAGTACATCTGGAAGACTATTTAATTTATGTTTACTTGTATTAAATGTATCAACCACTACTTCCACTGTGACCTACAATTAAAGTCACACCTGTGTTTTTAGTCCACATCCAGTTCATCGCTGGGCAATGAAAACCATGTACCTCCAAGTTTGGTGATTTTGAATTTTGAAAAAAGTTGATAAACCATTTAAAGGCCACCCATTAGAAAAATGCACTGTCTCAAAGCTTAAAGTAAAGCTGTTTTACTTTGATCCTGTAAAGTGGGTAGTTTGGAGATTCATGGTTTTCCCAGGAGTTTTTACATCCAAGATTTGTTGCCATGATCTTTCCCATCCTGCATGAAGACGTCACACACTAGAAATGAAAGCGGAACCATAAAACAGGTTAACCAAGTGCCATGAGTAATTCCTACACAGGTTTTGGCATATGTCTGGTAATTCAGTTAAATTATTTAATTAGACCTCAGCCTCAAAGAGAGAGAGCAAAGAGCAATAAAGCTGAGAGAGGCTCCAATGTAATAAACCATTAGCAGGAGGAGGCAGCCGCTGGTGTGTACAGTAATGCAGTGTAAATCATCACAGAGTGGCTGCCATTAGGAGGCTTAATCCTAGCCAGAAACCTGCAGTCAGCTGCTAGGGGCCCTGATCCGGTGCCGAGTGGAACCAGATCCGGCAAACAGAGGTGTTTAGGGCCGGGGCAGGAGGAAGAGGAGGAGGAGGAGGAAGGGAACAGGGAGAGTGTAGGGGGAACAGCTGAGGAGATTCCCAGTGTGTGTGTGTGTGTGTGTGTGTGTGTGTGTGTGTGTGTGTGTGTGTGTGTGTGTGTGTGTGTGTGTGTGTGTGTGTGTTTGTGTGTTTGTGTGTTTGTGTGCCCCCCACAGGTCTCCCTCCTGTAGGATAATGGTGGTGAGGAGAAGCAGCAGGATTCAGCCTCATCCCTCTTCATTCTCAGATAGCCTGTATTCTTCTGCTAAGTGACACTCCTCTATCACCCCCCTGATACACTCACACACATACACACACATGCATATACACCCTTCCCTCTCTCTCTCTCTCTGCCTCCCAGTTCAATGACACCTTGGAGATTCTGGATGCAATAACAACGCACACGCAGAGACTGAAGGGGGGAAACAAAACTGGACAAATTACAGTAAAAGTATAAGTGCACTGTTATTTATTTTATTTTGAAGGTCCAGTCATGTCAGTTTTGTTTATTTAGCCTAAAATTTTAAATTATTATTAGTCAACACAGAAGGACTTTATTTGACACCCATTTCAGTTTATATCAATAAAATGAAACTATTTTACAATTATCATTTACACTAAAAACATCATAGAATACACAAGAAACCACTGCTGAATAATTGCAGCCAAAAACCAGTTACTGATAAATATAAAATAATTACAGAGAGAATAAAACTACAACACATTTTTATTTAAAAGGGGGGAAAAAGTAAATATTTTGCAGAATTAAAACAAAACTGAGTAAATAAAAGAAAGTTGGATTGGCTGTGAGGAACAAATGGATGATCAAATAAATATTTGGAAGATATTTCTGCATGGGAGAAGGAATGCAAAGAAAAATCTCCAAACCTCATTTCTATCTGCTCTCACAATCCCCACTGTGTGTGTGTGTGTGTGTGTGTGTGTGTGTGTGTGTGTGTGTGTGTGTGTGTCTGTGTCTGTGTCTGAAAGAGAGAGAGAGAGGTAGAAAATTACAACATCTATCTATCTATCTGTCTATCTGTCTGTCTGTCTGTCTGTCTATTCATATACGTTACACATTTCTTGTTCATTTGTCTCATGTTGGCAACCATCAGAGGAAAATTGCAAATTGCTAAAAAATAAATACAAATTCTCTCAATAAATCCCAGTAGGCTGCATAAAGCTGATTGTAGTATTTATGTATTTTGGATTTATTTTAGAGAAATTTAAACGTTTCGTTTTAAAGGTTTGAAAGACTTCTAAATACAAATAAATAATATAAACATCTTCTTGGGATTTAATAGGCTGTATAAATAAGTTGTATGCGGGTCACATGCGGGGCAGATGCTGTAATGGTTGCAGTGTACACAGTTGATCGCCCCGGCGTGTAGCAGCTTCTTCCCCGGACTCAGCGGTGCCTGGTATGCTCGCCTGCCCCCGTGCGACGCGTTGCGCGGCCAGCGAGCCGTTCCTGCTCCGCTGCCTGCGGCTCCCACTACCGGCGAGAAGAGAGGAGCTCCGAAAAAACCCGCACACGAGCGGTGAGGACAACTTCACTGTGCGCCAAGAGCATATAAATTCAGCGGCGAAGGGAGGGGGTTTACATAAGCGATTTTCTGTTGTCTGCTATTCCCCTTCGATAGGGGAAATGCAGCTCTGCAGCAGAGAGGAGTTCCCAGCAGCAGCTCTGCCGTCCACATTATCACCCTGCTTATTCTGTCCGAGGCTACTCGTCCTGTTGACTCATGTAAGATTTGCGCAATATTAAAAATCTTCTCAAATGTTTGATTAAAAGCAGCGAAATAATTTTCACACACTCTCCCGAAATTATTGTTAGAAAAAAAATATATTATGTTCACTTTCTGAAACAGAAAGCGACTACACGCCACTGGCTGTAGCCCATATTTTCATATATATTAATCTAGCAAGCAAGTAATGTAGCCTACATACAGTGTAATATTTATGTATAATGTAACAGACAATGAAGGTCTGGTGACGTTATGATATAGGCACTTTTTTATAGGCACATGTTTTTGTGACCTCATGCCCCTATTATATTTTATAATATTCTTAAATTGACTTGAAATTAGGTTTTGGTGACCTTAATCAATTAACCCTCCACTATATTACTATAATATAATTATATTCCAATAAGATAAAATAGTTTTGCTGTGATGTTTGTCTCTTTGTAAAATGTACAGCCTCCTGTCTGCGACCTCCACTGGGTTTTGTCTTGAAGACCATCGACCACAGCAGCCAACTGCAGAGAAGCCACATGACCCACACAGAAATGCACTAAATTATGTATAAATTCAATTAAACTCATCTAGAAACCTCCCTTTTTTCTTTGCAATGGCTTTTTTTCCCCCTTTGGCTTTTATGTGTTTTAAAAGCAGGTTTAGTCTTAATTTTATTTTGGTACAAATGTGACTTAATAATGTATTTATTTATATATTTATTTGCAGGAGACCAACAGTTAACATGCTGATTAGGCAGGGATGTTTTAGGCATCCTTACTGATATGTTAGACCTTGAATAAACATATAATAACACCAGAAATTAAAGACACACACACACACACACACACACACACACACACACACACACACATTCATAAACATAATAGATTTTATCTTCAAATGTTTACATCTTACCTTATTAGTCAAAAGCCATCACTGTATTTCCTGTATTTACCATCACTGTGAACGGGCTCCAGGTGAAGAATGAAACACCATTACAAGGACAGGTGGTGCTGGCAGAGATGAATGTAATCTTGTGGGGTTATAATGAATGTGACAGGATATAGATCTGAGATGAGATCTGGTTTTGATCATCAGGTAAAAATAGATCAGTCAGCGGCAGATTATTACTGATAATTACTTTCAAATGGTTGGCTATGTGAGAGGTCTATATTATTAAATAATTCCACCCCTGGTTAGTCGTGTGTGTGTGTGTGTGTGTGTGTGTGTGTGTGTGTGTGTGTGTGTGTGTGTGTGTGTGTGTGTGTGTGTGTGTGTGTCCATATATAATAATTACATTAAAGGTGATAGAGTAGAAGAAAAGGTGTGTTATTAATCGTTTCCTCTTTTTATACTTTTTTGATTTTAGTATTCATCAAGCAAGTTTAGTGTTTCAGCTCAAAAAGCTTCCACATGCATAACAAGTTACCAACCTCAAATCCTCTGACATTACAGGCTCCACCTGTATGTGTGTATTTTTATGATTAGCTAATAAACATCAGGGAAAAAGCTGCGGAAAGAGGGAGGGTTTCACACACACAAACACCTGGGGGCTGCCCTAAGCAGTTGATGGATAAGTGCCTTGCTCAAGGACACTGCAGTGGATTTTAAGGAACATATCCCTGTGGAGGCTTGAAGCTAATTTCCTGTATTGGAATCAGAACATCAGAGATTGAAGAGCAGTCGGACCGCTGCTGCAATCACGATAAATGAGTGAACAACAAGCATGTAAAGAGACCTGGGATTTCTCCAACGGCAACAGCTGTTAAATGGTAAAAGACCCAGGCTGCATAATGGTACAGGCTGGTGTGTGTGTGTGTGTGTGTGTGTGTGTGTGTGTGTGTGTGTGTGTGTGTGTGTGTGTGTGTGTGTGTGTGTGTGTGTGTGTGGAGAGAGAGAGAGAGAGAGAGAGAGAGAGAGAGAGAGAGAGAGAGAGAGCCCTCCCCCTCCCCTGCTCATCCACCTATCAGCAGGCCTCATTTATTATGCAGACTGGAGACCCCTGGGCTGGAGGGGAAGGCTAGTGTGTGTGTTTTGGAAATGGGGGGTGGTGGTGGTGGTGGGGTACATGTGATGCCCACAAGAGCACACACACACACAGCTGATTCAGTTTCTTTGCTCACAAATACGTGCTGTGGGAGTAAGGGGCAGAGAGAGAGAGAGAGAGAGAGAGAGAGAGAGAGAGAGAGATTTGTGTGTGCAAATGATTGTGTGCTGAACTTGTTGCTTAAACTCTGGTGGTGAATTTTTCAAGGGTTCATGACAGGTAAGTGTGTGTGTGTGTAGGTGCTATTTGAACACGTGTGTATGTGATCACACAGACCTTGAAATACACACACAAAGGAGCTGGCGTGTGTGTCTCTCTGCTAACTTGTGTCTGCTGCTGTAGAGCGGGAGAACACAAAAGGACACTCCTGGTGAACTGTAAATGCATTTCACCCTGAAAAGCATCTGTGGACACAGGTAGCCTTAATACAACATGTTTAATTCATTTGTTACAAAAATGACACATTGAAAACAGCTGTGGCATCTGTGTGTCCTAAAGCAGAAGACACAAAAGGCAGGGCATAACCTGTGAGGTTTTTTAAAGCAGACAAATTCATATTTTCGCTGCTGCAGGTCTGGAAATATGACCCATTAATCGACAAAAAACGTGGTTTGGAACTTCAACGCTACCACAAGCTAAACCCAAACATTCTAGTGTTACAAGTCTAATTGTCACATGTGGTAAAGCAGCCTGTGCTGGCAGAATAAGTGATGTAAAATTCTGTTTTATTACTGTAAAGTACTAATTTTGTGGTCCTTCCAGTTCCTTTTTAATGCTATTTTATACTTTTACTCCACTATATTTCAGGGAGTAATACTGTACTTTTCCCCCCACTATATTTATTTGACAGTAATAATGACTTTCAAATTAATATTATACATAAAACATATGATAAGCTTATAAAATAAAATGTAAGACCCCCTCCAGACATGTATTAAGAGAATTATATAATACATTTATAATTAGAATTTCCACATTAAAATCGACTCTCTACCTCATTACATATTACGCAAATTGTGTTCACTTCTAAAGTTTTCCTGCTGGACACAAGATCCACTCTCAGTGTATGTGCACTGGTGGCTTCAAGTTTCTACTTTCAGCAGATGAATGTGAAAACATCCTTTTAGTATCAAACACTGCACATACATCATTCTGCACAGTGAAGCTCAAACATCCAACTGTAGGAAAGAGAAGAAAAACATATTTTTGAGTGGAGGGGGGACTTTTGAGATTAAAGCAGTGGTTTCAAACATTTGTGGATTATGGCACTTTATGAGTTGTTAGACGCAGACAAAATGATCCAATATTTCACCAAAAAAAGAGAAAAGATTAGAGAAAAGTCCAAAATGTGACAACAAATTTGTGTAGCTGAACTTTGTTTTTCTTCTTTCCTGCCTCATTAATCATTGGATGACCCACTGGAGGGGGGCTTGACCCTCAGCTTGGGAAACACTAGACTAAACTACCTAACTGTATATAAAGTAGTTAAAGCTAGCTCCACCTTGACCAAACAGGCTTCAACAGTAAATTACTATTCCTGTGTTGCATAACAAGCTAATCATATCAATCACAGGGAGCCAGGGCAGTTGCAGTATTTAAGTGTGACTTTGAATGTCTAACTTTGACTTAAAACTGAGTTGTTTTTTTTTTCATTGGCACATAAGTTGAGGATCTAAATACTTCTTCCATAACTCAGTTATAAAAAACATTATCAGAAAAATGAGTGCTAGTCAGTTTGCAAGAGCGCCAACCACTGCATATAAATCAACAAGTAACAGGTCTCTTGATGCTGTTGTAACTATTGCACTGATACAAAAAACTGTAACTGAACACATGCATTTCTGTTTATCACTAGCTGCACAGAAACAGATCTGAGTTACATGGGGATAGGGCTCAATAATCTGCCCTGACATACATGATTATATTAGAGTATAAAATAACTAGAAAGCGTATTCCCACAACTGGGAGGTATTTCTGATATTGAAAAGTAGTATTCTCCATTAGTCTCCCTCATTTCAAGTTGTTGACACGCATTAGTGGCACAATTATAAAAGCTGCAGTCTAATCTTTTAAAAGTCCCAGGGTAATGTTGGAAATGGTCAGAGGAGAAGGGGAGAGGGGGATGGAAGAGGGATAAAGGGAGGAAGGGGAGGAGAGAAACTCAATCTAAAGCACCAGGTGCACCTTTTGTCGACATAATCTCCCAACCCTCGAGACCGTGCACACACTGGCCAACATATACAGCCTTTCATACGTACACATGCTGCCTTTTCGACCAGGGGATTTGGATCCTGGGTTGGCTCTGGTCATATGTAAAAAGGACTCTAAGGTCATTGCTCTGCTAGAACAGGGGTTGGTCCATTTATGATTTAACCACATTTATGTAATAATCAATAGAACATAACCTTTAACTTGGCATTGTAGTTACAATATGGATTCATCACAACAAGTTGTGTGTGTGTACAAAACTGTAATCAAAAGAATACCTGTGCAAATTAGCGGGAATCATGAGAAAGAAAAAGAGAGCCTACATGTCTTCAGGGGAAATGCTGTCACATGTGAAAACCCACATGTGAATTTAAAGCATATGCCCTCCTCAGACACAAGTGTTTTCATGTGTGGGCCAGTTTTCACATTCTAGTCCGACGTTTTCTTCTCAACACTGAAATTAAAATCTACCAGTGTTTTTCTGTTTCTTTCGTAGATGTGACCCTTAATTTGGCAACACTTTATTTTACTCCCCCATTTATGCCGTATTTAAATAGTTGAAATAGTTAGACTTTATACGTTTTCAACACATTTGTTAACAGTTTAAAACTATTTTAAACCCCCCTGTGAGTGTATGTATATAAACTGTTAACCAATGCTAAAATGTATATCATTATATAATATATCATTATATATGTTTATAGCTATTTTCTCCAAGTTGCAGAAAAAACACATTACCTTATAACACTTAATTGAGCCTAACCTTTGGAAGAATAAATTACACCGCCTTCCTCTTGCAAATAAAATGCTGAATTCATAAGCAATAAAACAAACCCTTTCTCAATTCAATCCACTCAGGAGTGTTGTTGTTACAGCCTGACTTTGTCTGGTATAACCAGTGTGGTGGCTAATGTTAGCTAATGTTAGCAAACTTCCAATAGGTGTGGTCAGCATTGCTGAGTCTAAATGACTTCATATCTCCTAGCTCTCTACTTGTGCAACTGTTAAATTTTTAGCATCTATCATTATCCTGTAATTGTCCTATAACAACTACATTATAGTGTGTTGTAAAATGTTCATATACAGCTTATAAATGCTAAATAGGTCATACGCAAAAAAAAAAAGAAAATGCACTGGCTACAAATTTCGTGATCATGTAACCCAAGAGTACCTGGGACTATTTTTCCAGGAGTATTTGCAGACAGAGAGGGGGTAAACACAAATTCTTGAACAGAAGGATATGCAGAGCAGCCATGGTTGAATGAGCTCATGTGTGTCTGTGCGTGTGTGCGTGTCCATTGTGAGCCTACAGACATGTATTGATGCCTGTCAATCAGTCTACTACATTGTACATGGAGGACAAGGGAGGCAAAACAAAGATCTGTCTTTAGAATAGAAGCAGTTGTTGTTGTGCATCTAAAAGCTTGAAATGTTGAAAACCTTGGATTGCACAAAAACACACCCTTGAATAACATTGCAGTGCATGTTAATCAATGGCTCTTACCACAGTGGATTTAAGCAGACCGGCGCCCCTTGTCCACAATCCCTCACCCGTCATCCTTTAAGCTCGACCCCTAAACTCCTGTAAAGCCTCAAGTGGGGACGAAGCCAAGGACGGAGCAGGCTGCTCATTGTGATTTAATCTCTCTCTGCCTCTCTCTCTACTGCCAGAACAAACATCAAATATGGCCTCCTTATCAGGCCCGCCCTGCTCTATCTATCTATCACCAATCAATATCTCCTATGTTGTGTGTACAGCCTTGTGTGTGTGTGTGTGTGTGTGTGTGTGTGTGTGTGAATCAGGTCTCAAGGGCTGCGCTAACTAAGGTCAAAGATCAGGTATAACCCTCCAGCGTGGAATGACAGATGTGGCCGGAGGAAAACAAGATAAAAGAAAGGGAGGGGGGGGAGAAGGGAGAGATTTATACCAGTTGCGTGTGTCCTGAACAACAGATCATAAATAAGTGTTGTTATTATTGCTTCTGTTGTTTCTGCAGAAGGTAAAACTTGGCCTCAGGCCGCAGGCAGACACCAGATCAGTTTACCTGAGTGAATGTCGGCCTCGAACAATGGACTGGAAGTCTCCAAAAAGTACCAACAGCTAAACGAGTAACTGTAGTGAACACAGCTCTCTATTAAATGCCTCCCTCGGTCCCGGGGAATAGAAATGAATATCAAAAGGCGTTGGCTTTCTTGTGCTTCCTGTTTGCAACCAGGAAGGAGAACCCAAATGTTAGGCTGAAGCCTTTGACCACTTGGTCCAATGCACACACACATAAGAGTAAATCCAACGGTTGCGTACATGCATAAAAGCCATTTTCACCCCTGCATGCACATGGATTTACATAGGAAAGAAAGTAAGTGTATGCATATGCATTGAGGGGGGGCTCCTGAGGTGATATGACACTCTATCTGAGCTTCTATTCACCATGAAACAGCTCCATAAAGCTACAGAAATGCTGCCAGAGCTGTAGCCGGGCTGCAATGGCTGTTAGAGATAGATGGGGGGAGAGAGAGAGAGAGAGAGAGAGAGAGAGAGGGGAAATCCTTTGTTCTGTCAAGGACTTAACACAATCAGAGTGTACAGTGTGTCAGGAGCGCACAGGCATATATCAACTTCAATCTCTTTTTAATGAAAAATCCTGCCCTCTCTAATATGTGCAAATTAACCTCTTCTCCTCCCTCCTTCCCTCCCTCCCTCCCTCCCTCCTCCCCTCCTGCCGTTTCCCCTCCTCTCTCCCTTACTGAGGCCCCTCACTCCCTTTCTCCTCTCTCGCTCTCCACCCTCTTTTTTGGTCCCTCGTCTTCCTCCTTTTCCACTGTTTCGCTTCACTTTCACCAATTTTTCCGCGTCTGTCTTATTCAGGGGAGGAGTGGGAGTCAGATAGCAAGAGAAGAAGAGAGATATTGACAGATACACTCCTGCTGTGCATTAGCTTGTTGCTTTAACTAACCAAACCCCACCACAGCAATTACCGAGATCACTTAGCTGAAAAAATAATACATAAAAAAAGCAGCAAAACATCCCAAAGTCAGTGTCCAGCAGCAGCAGAATTAAAATTCACCCTCCATCCTCCTCTGCCCTCTTTGGTTTTCATCTCTGTCTCTCTCTGCTCCAACACACACGCCGAATCATGCTATTACCCTGATTATCCTGATGAGTTGGTCAGATCCTCGCTTTTTCATTCTGCCCATGCTGATTGTAATTTAGAAATTACACCTAATGAGGAATTTTTTAAAAACACGGCGGCCGCTCTGTGCTGCCAGCTCCACGCCGCTCCCTGCCCTAATGGATTTCCTGGTATGGAATCCATTTTTCCCCCCTTTCTGCCCTGCAGGGGGTCCGGCTAGCCAGGCCCTCACTCCCTCCCTCCCTCCCTCCCTCCTCTGCTCTCACCCCCTCTCATATCCCCTACCCTCCACTGCCCCCCCCCCTCACTTCTCTAATTGGGGGCGACTGGTTTTGGTGAAAAGAAGTCATAATCATTGTTTCTGCTGCTAATTTAAGTGGTTAAGTGTACGGGATCAGCTCGCAGAATGAGGAAATGAGTATGATTAAATTTACATTTTTTAATCTTTACAGCTAAAGTGCCAATTTCCTTTCTATGGTTTTGTTAAAGTTAAACTCCATATGGCAGTTTGCACAAGATAAATGCACATGTTGGTGTTTTTGTAGCTTCTCAAGAGAGTTATTTGCTTAAATTTTTTCATTTAAGTGGTATAGACTTAAAACTGGTGATTGAGATGGAAAAATAACTGCATATCCTGACCTTGAGCTTGATCCTATAAAGACAAATGTGACTTTAAAGACGACAAAAGAAGAAACATCAGAGAAGATAGCTTTTTCACATAACTTCTCTTTATTTTATGGAGGAAAGTGAGTGTCTGTGTGAATTATAGCTTTAACCTGCCATATTAGTCTCACAAACACCTGTATGATGTGTATGTGAGTGTGTTTTAGGGAGTATTCTGTTTTGCAGAAATGGGAGGGGGGGGGGGGGGGCACAAACACACGCACACACTCGCTCACACACACATAGGCACGCATGCAAATCAAAGCCATCAACAGCTTGTGATGAAGTGAGACGTCGTGGCATAAACAGAGTGTGCCGTTACCATGGAAGCCACTTTCACCTCACAGGCCGAGAGAGACAGGCCGAGAGGCAGAAAAACACAAAGAGCCAACGAGACAGGGAGGGAGTGACAGAAAAACAGTAACAGACAGACAGGCAGTGTGTTACAAGCTCTCCTTCAGCTACATTTAATAGCTTTTCAAACCCTCCTTTCCTTTCCCTGGGAAAGAAACACCATATTTGTACAGTAAGCAAAGAAAAGTTCATTGAAACGTTTAATAGCTGGTTGAACATTCACAGGTTTAATGAGCACATCACAAAGCTACAGAAGTAGACACACAGTGGCTGTTGGAGGGGTTTTGTGGTTTTGGAGCCACATCTGTCCCTGTTTTGGTCCCTTTTTTTTCTCTTTTCTGGTTCTACTGCAGGTCACAGCCTTTTAGACTCTTAACTTCACATGGCTTGTGGCAACATGAGGCAACAGATTTGAACTCACTATCATTTATTTAAAAAGCGAAGCTGTCACACATGCTCTAACTGGGACAAATGTTGCTCCATCGGTTTATACAAAGTTTTACATCAAAAAATCTTAGATTTATTGCTCCCTTTTTCCAGGCATCAGTTTGGTAATTTTCCAGTAAATTTTCTACCATCGTACATTCATTTTACTTTATGAGGAGAGCCATAAACAAGATTTAACATTCACTCAGTTAGAACTGGAACAAATCACTGCCTGCATTTTCTGCATTGCACTAAATGTCCACTTCACTTACCAATTTATAATAATCAAGCCTGTAGCAGGAAATTGAACATAGCGACCTGGTCATATGACTTCAGAGAGGCCGCTGTAGCAGAGAATCACAAGCAAAGGGGTACTCTAGATATCTCCCTTCATTTGGCAGAGACACTAATGACAAATTTCCTTCCTTTATATTTTATAAATGATTCATCTCAGCCAAATGGAAACCTTTATCCCTTTAATCCAGTTCATTTTCTCCCTCCGAAATATAGGGGTTACATAACTTCTACAAAGGGCAGTTTAGAGATTGAAAAAGGAGAAATTAACTTAGATGTGGCTTCAAAATGTTCTACCATTGTTGAGAATTCAGAGTAAAGAGAAAAATGTGCATTTCTGCTCATGAAGACATGATCTACTTTCAGTTTGATTGACTTCCTTGTCATTTTGCATGTTGGGATGTTTTTAGCTGCAGTGTGTGTGTCCTCCACCTCAAAGCCTGACTGCTGCCGAGTGGAATAAGCAACTAGACTCCATACCTTCTGTGAAAAAAGGTCGGATGAGCGAGGCCGCTGTAGCGATGCTAGCTTTCAAGGTTTGCCAGGGAGGCTATACAGGAGGTAATCAGAGGAAAATATGTCCTCTCCTCCTCCTCTTCTTTTAGACCTCCATTAGACCAGCCTGCCTCTGTCTGGGAAAATTGATTTTCTCCCTCCCCTCCTCCTTTCCTCTCCTCTCCTGTTTCTCCTCTTTTTTTTCCTCTTCTCAGGTTCCATTTGAGGCTTGTTCATCCACTCTCAAGAGCAGTTCTGCGAGACAGAGAGAGAAAAGAGAATAGTTAGGCTACGACAGGTTGTTCACACATATAGTTACCCACCCCCAACAGCAGCCACCGGGGCTGAAGCCTCATCTCTGTTATCCACAGACTCACAGAGGCCTGCAGTGGTTTGAACTTCTTTCTTTCCCTGTTTTTTTTCTCTTTACTCATTCTCATCTGCCTAATCCTTTCCTTCCTCTGCTGTTCTTTCGCCATCTCTTCCTCTTTCTATTGCTCTTCCACCAGTGCCCCTCACCACCCCACTCTCTCTCTCTCTCAGAGCCAAGTCTTGGATCAATGCACCATTGATTTTCCTATCAATGAACATTAGTATGGATCAGACTGCTGCTTGCACTCCCCTGCCTTGAAAACCACACACACACACACACACACACACACACACACACACACACACACACGCACACACACGCACACGCACTAAAAGCGCCTGTTGCCACAGGGACCCCAGATTTCATCACTGCTCAGCCACAAGCACAAAAAAAAGAGGACGAGCTGGGTGCTGTGGACAAAAGGGGGAACAGCAAGGAAAGACAGCAGTAGAAATAAAGGAGGGTGGGACTGCTAAAAGAGAGGTTCTAGTTGAAAGCACAGGAGCCAATCAATGAAAGGAGTGACAGAAAGGGTAGGAAATGAAATCAGACCGAGCAGAGTTAGTGTTTGTTTCTGCGTAAAGGAAACAGTCATTGGTCAGCTGCCTGCGAGTCGATTCACTGCAGAATAATTCAGTATGATTGGCAACCAGCTCAGGCTGTTGATAATAGCTGCTGATCATGACAGTGAATGGATGCATGCGCTTTATACACCTTTGGGTGTCTTTCTCTTTACCTCTCCCACTCACACATACACAAGCACAAACACACACACAGGCTCACAAACACACACACGCACGCACGCACGCACACACGCACACACGCACACACGCACACACGCACACACACACATCTCTGTCTCCTCTCTCACCCTATAATGGGCTCTGAGTCAGGTGGAGATTGACACTTTTCTTTCTGCTGTGCTCCTTTTGTGTCCAACATTGTATTCATTCCACACAAACCAATGGCGGCCTCTCGGAGAGCACATTTCTGCACACATCAGCCACATTTTGCATCACCAAACAATGAATCTGTGCTTATACACTCGGCATTACTATCTTCAATTAACCCTGCATTTCGGGGGGGGGGGGACAGCACAGTAAATATTTTCTATTTATTGTGTGGCCACACTGGACCTGCACGTTGACAGTCAATCTACACTGTTACTTTAATAAATGAATGACTGACTGCATAAAGGATGTTTACAATCAACTCTCCTTTCGTGCACAGTACGAGAGGCCCTGCATGTCTTTGCGGTATGTCACGGTGTATAAATGGTGTTCTTTCTGCCTTTTTTAGAGTAATGTTGTATCTTTTAAAATTACATTTCCTCATATCCTCATCTCTTTCACTTGTCAAACACAGAGAGAGAGAGAGAGAGAGAGAGAGAGAGAGAGAGAGAGAGAGAGAGAGAGAGAGAGAGACTGGTCCTGATAGAACAAAGAAACATCCTTCTTTGGGAGTGCTCACATGAAAGTTGATCCTTGGTTCAGACCCCCTGTACAAGGAAACTGAGACGCCTCAGGGCCGTCCTTCGCCCTGCCTGATTGTAAAGCGTTTTAATTTGGACTGCAGTGGACGCCTGCCTGCCTCTGTGTCTGTCTGTCTGACCGTCTGTATTTCCTGTTCAGATAACATGTGTGTGTGTGGGTTAACTATAACATAATTAATCAACTTTACCAAAGTATCATAATTTTTTTACTTAGCATAATAAATTACTTAGCTAGTTTATTTATGTGATTATTTTATAATTAAAAAATATATTTATTTACAAATATTTATTTACTGTGTGCAGAATATTACATCATTTAAAAATGTTATAAAGATGATATCCATAGTGAATAGTAATATCTCTCTCTAATGCTCTAACACTTGAATAGGAGTATTTCTTCTACAAAAATGTTGATATTCCTACATTTCTTCTGATTTTCACAAAATATGTTACAGCTCAGGTCTGTGCATGCCTGAAGGAAAATTCAGTTTGCAGGATAAAGAGGTTTTAAGAAACGCAGGTTTTGAAGGACTATGGTAGGTTCTTGAATGTGCAAACAGCCTTCAGTCTGTGAGCTGACTGTCGCAAAAAAAGAAAACAGCTTTTTTAGCACTTTTTCAAAGCATCAAAAAACATCTTTACAGATTCTTTCCGCTACATTGTCACACTCATAATCACAACAATCCACTTACACTCAGTTGTCATTCAGACTTCTGTTGCAGCTATCAAACTGGCCTTGGGTTTAAATGTCTGTATTTCTCATGGACTGTAGCACAAATGTGCTGATAGAAAACAGTTAGATTTGCTGGTGTAACAACTTCACTTCTGGGCTTCAAAGCCTGCCCGCCCCCCTCTCCCATTCCTCATGGACCCAACACAGATGGCCAGCCATGAGAGTGGGCTGCTGTGGACTTTTAGAAGATGGACATGGCAGGTGAAAGGATGAATATTCATTGAAACTACTGCAGAACTGTTCCTCCATGACCAACATTTAGCTTAAAATCCTCCTCTCCTCTGCACCCACTGCAAACTTCACTGGGATCCACACAACCACACACACTCATACAGAAACAGTCATGCTGTGGGAGCTGAGGAGAAAGGGAGAGCCCGCAGATTTTTCTGGCAACATGTCAAACCAGACTGTAACCTTTGTAACCGCAGAGTTCAATTACTCACTTAACTCACTTTGATCCAGACTTCTGCCTCTGATTGAGGCTTTAACATGTGGACTGACTAAAATGAGGCTTCAACAAGCTCAATCCTGAATAAAACATTGAACAACACACAGAACTTTGGCAAATCCTTGTCTGATGGGCTCATCATAAGGAAAATGTACCACTTCCAAACCAGCAGCAACAATGTTGAAAAACTAACCAAGCAGTGATTAACTTCAGGGTTTTTATAGCGCTGTAAAACAGATGTGAGTCCGGATAGGTTTGTTTTAGGTTAAGATACGTTTGTTTAACATATTTAGAGAAAAACAATGCCCCTAATTTGTCTCTAAGTGGAGCAATGCAGAGCCAAATGTGTTAAACTGTAAAAGCCCCATACTGCCTGCCGTGCTCTGTCAGAGGCAGGGTAAATATGGCGGGTGCACCGTGAGAATAAGTCTGAGGGAAAAAAACAACACTCGTTTTAAATTCCTTTTTTAAAACCATAAATACGTTTCGTGACTGAGACATAATCGCTAAACTACTCTCTCACTTTGTACGACTTGCCTGTTGTGCTCGGCGCGAAGCCGCGCCGCCGGGGAGCCGAGCAGGACGTGAGGGGAAACCGAACTCCTGACAGCGGCTGCAGCAGCGGCAGCGGCCGGCAGGAAGCTGCTATTCACCGGCAGGCAGGAGGAGGAACAGCTGCCCCTCCGCACTCAGGGAAACACCGGTTCTCTCGACATTTACGTAGCCTGAAAGATTAAATATATTTTTTTTAAATTATAAAATTAAAATTAAAATATATGACGATAGGCATAGTTCAGTATTTTTGCCAATATAATAGGCTAAAGGTTACAGACACAATGAGATTTGTTTTTTTTTGGTTTTTTTTTAAATGTGAAAAGTCAGTAAAGTTAATAATAATAATAATAATAATAATAATAATAATAATAATAATAATAATGGATCATAATTATTTTGTTATAGCCTATTTTCTTTTATATATTATAGAATATTCATATATATCAACAAAAACTATTCATGAGACATGAGATTACTTAGTTATATTTTATACATAGTCCATGTGTTTTATCCTGTATTTGCGGATTAGCCTATTGTTATATTAGAATATTTGCTTGTACATTTTCATATATTTTTAATATGCAGTCGCAGCGCGACACATATGAAAAGGTGAACAGCAGGTTAAAGACTGTGTACCCTGTTATTGAATTTTACGTCAGGTGATATTTGCATTTAATATCCCTCCGCCACACATTGGCCTGCCATATTGTAACTGTGATAGACAGGCTTAAAGAGCTGTAATTGCAATCACATTGAACCCCAAAAGCTTTTATTGTCAGAGTATGAGCCAGCGCGCGCACACACATACATACACGCACACAAACACACACATACACACACACACACACACACACACAGATACTCCGCTCTTGAGGGGTAAGCTTATTTTAGGATATATATATATATATATACATATGTATATATATATATATATCACCACGGTGCCTCTCTCACCGACACATCTGTCACATTTAGGACTTTAACCGGTGACGCTGGCTGGCGCGCGCTCCAAGTCATAATGGGAGGTGATGGTGGTGATGGTGCTGACTATAGAGATGGTGAATTAGAGCAGGCATGCGCGCTCTGGTAGAGGTGAATGTGAGCCATTCAGATTTCCATATATGTCCTGTCACAAGGGAGACCTCCTCTCCTCCCCCTCCTCTTTTCCTCACATACCCCCTCAAACACACACACACACACACACAGCCTCCCCCTCTCTCTCTCCCTCCTCTCTTTGTTCCCCTACGATGATTCCCTCTATGAGCTCCCCACAGCAGAGAGAGAGAGAGAGAGAGAGAGAGAGAGAGAGAGAGAGAGAAACCACACCACTGCCACCAAGCGGCCGCGGAGGCGCGCGTGACCGTGCGCGCGTGCTCTTTGTTATCCCCCCGACCTCCATGAATTTCCATCAGCGGTTATAAGAGGAAGGGGGAAAAAAGCCGTCGGCACCTTTACAACTTCGCAACATTTTACAAGCATATTCATGCACAAGGCCGCTCTCCCGCCATTTTGCGTTTTAGGGTGTGGGCTCGAGCTGCTGGTGCGCCGACACACACCCACGCGCCCTGCTGAAGTGTCAGTGAGCAAGACACTGACCCCATGCTGACCTCTGGGGACGTGGAGGGGCATTTGTCCTCCTGCCATTATCATATTAGCATCAGAGGGACGTATCCGCGCTGCTTTCTTATTCCTTTTCACCACCATATCTGACGGATTACACATTCAAATGATTCAATAAAGAAGAGAATATATAGGCTCTGCAGGACAACAATTTAATTAGCTCTATATATAACCTAGTTAATGAGGTACTTAACAGGGAGACGTTAATTACAGATTCTATATGGCCCTGTTTTTTTCTGCAGGGCATCCTCTCTCTTCTCTGAGACTTTAAATGGGATTAATCAATCATATTTTTGCACATTTAATTCATCGGCGCCAACGTGCTGCTACAAACGGTTTCATATATCTCCTATTTATTTATTTAGCCTATTTATGGTGGTTATTTGCCATCACTTGTGGTGTAGCCTATACATACACTTCTGTCACATACAAAAAAAAAAAAACAAGTAGCCTAATCTTCCAATAAAAACAACAGAATATGTCCGGAAATATGACGATCAGCCTGTTAGTTAAAAGAATGAATAATTTAAAGGCAGACAGTGCATTGAAAGCAGGAGAGAGGGGAGGAGGGGATGGGGAGTTTATTTTCCAACAGGGGGCAGAATCACTCTGCAAAATCTCCCTCTCTGTCTCTCTCCCTCTCGCTCATTCTTTCTGATCCTCTCTTTCTCTGTCACGTAGCCTACACACAGAAACACACACACACACACACACACACACACACACACACACACACACACACACACACACACACACACACACACACACACAATCTGGGCCCAGCAGGATATGTCTTTTTAACAAATAAACTTTTGAGCCAGATCAGAGAAGTGTAGATTAGTTCCAGGGTGTCTGATATATTTTAGCTAATGAAGCCGAAAGGTTGCTGGGACCCCAACGTTTACAACGTGCTAAAATCATTAAACAGACTTGATTTTTGACAAAGTGCAAAAGAAAGTTTTCTTCCCTCCCCGGAGCTGAAATGAAGTTCTCCTCTAAGGTTACAGTTTGGGATTAGTCTAAGGTTTTAAAAAAATAATATGAATCACAGTGAATTTAAGTCTTCTCTCCTAAGGGCCTCATGGTTACATCGGGGTCCTGACCCCGGAGCTGGTTGGTGAGAGTTGTGGTTTCATGCTTTTTCATGCTTAATTAAGTTTTAATTAAAGCAAAATATGGATGTTTGGAGCTTATAAATGATAGAATGAAACATGGCAAAGCAAAGGCATTGGATAGTTGATATTTTGCCACGTTGCTTTTATGTCTGCTGCTCATTCAATCAATAAATATTAAATGCATATTTCAAGTTAAGATTGAGACTCTCAGAGATCATGATGATCACCATAAAGCAGACCTTTCTCCTTTTATATCAAACAACAAAACCGAACTTATGTGGTATTTGTAAGTTATCTGCACGTTTAACGTATTCATAAGACACGTTCATGTTGAATGTATAAGTTCAGACTGCAGTTTTTATTTAGTTTTTCTACAATATCCGCACATGGCAAGTAGAATATAGAATATATGATTAATGGCAACGATACAAAAAAAAACAGTTACTAATTACGTTACTTGGAAAATAAAGTCTTATAATGAACTGATGATTAAACAGATCAGTAAACGTTACAGTTGATGGGTTACTCTTACTCTAAATTAAGGAAAAGTGAATTTTTCTTTGGATGTGAGAACCTTGAATCAGACAGACAACTTAAGAGATTCATACTTTCCGCAATGAATTAACTCAGCAAATAACCTTTTTTTCTATCATCACAGCACACTGTAGACATTAACAGCCAGGAGCTACTTATGTTGAAATCCTTAAACAAATGTTAACAAGAGAAATGTCACAAGCAACTGGACCATGCTGAGAGTTATTGGAATTTATGAATAGCCTACAGAACCTTTGATATGTCGTCGAAGGAGGATTTGGAGATCACTTTACTCATTTGGCCGTTTTACTGCAGACATCTTTTGTCAGTGTCAGATAAGCACAGCTCGAACAAATTCAGAAATCACAGAGACCTGAACCCAGAGCTTGTATCTCTCTGCAGTGATGCTCATAACTAACTGTATTTCTGCTGTATGGTGACAGTATGACATACGAATATAATTAACGTTAAAGGGCGGGTGACCCCTGGGATCGCCAGTCACCTCTGTATAACTCCTTCTCAAAGATGGAGAAATGTTAGAGTGCAGTATGCTGCATCAATGCAGCACAACAGGAACCCATCCACACTCTGAAAGGACAGAGGCTTTGGTAAAATATTCGTTGATTTTACTGTTATCATATGCAGCTGTGTAAAAGGAAAACAAGCCACCAAGCCAGACCACAGAAACAGGCCTTGACTGTCAGCTTATTTTACAAATCCTCACTCCTTTCAGAGATCTGATAACTTTTACTCTTTGGATGTGTATTTATTATGATTTTGAAAATAAAAAACATAGCAAGCAAAAAATATAGGCTATATAAAAAATAAAAAAAGTAGAAATGTGACAATCTGCCAATGTCTTCTCGGCTTATAACTCTTGTTGCAATACATTGATCATACATACAGTCAGTCGTATTAAAACAGCCCCGCTGATAGATCTCCGCTTTAACAAGCTGGCTTTGAAAATTTGTCTCTTTGTTGACAATGCACACATCTCCCAAGGTCAAATTACCGCAGCGTCCTCTTAAAGGGGACGTTTGCCATTGTTAGACAGTCAGTGGAGGGATATGATAATAACCAAAGGGACTGTGGTGACCTCCAGTCAACCAAGGATTATCAATAAAACACAAAATCCAAATAAAATAAAGCAGGGGAGATTTTATTAGAGGTGCAGATCAGCGTGCCCTTTACAGGTTTCTGCATCAAAACTTTATTCAAACAACTTCTCATTTAATTTGACCTGCAAATATCAGCAGGCTGTATATGAGACTTTCTGCTCAGTTGAACTAAACTTTATTTCTCCACAAGTCAAACGTGTTTGTCTTTTGCAAAGGTCCTAAAGTTTAAAGGTTAAAGCTGATCCAATCACATTGATTTGGAGACATCAGCGCTCTTTTACCTTCCATAGGACAGTTTTCATATTGACGTAAAGAGCACTCATGTCAGCTGATTATATGTGGGCAAATCATGCAGTTTTTCTTAATACAGCTGTGTCAGAAACGACTTAAAGGGGTAAAAAAAAAAAAGACACAGGCTCAGCAGCCTGATTTTCAATCTGACAACACAAAGATGTATTTCTGTTAAACTTGTGCGCTTTAAACTGATTGGGTTGAGGATGACGCTGAAAAGACTAGTATATAGAAAGTGTTTATTTAATAGGGTCGTATCACTTCTAATACATCGCTATTCACCTCGTCGGTTAGTGGATTTTAGGGTTGCATTATACTGGGCGAGACTTTTATTTTGAAGGAATTAGATAAACCTATTAAGAACACATACAATTTGTTAAAACATACACTGCAGCACAGGAGCAAGGAGGTTTGGGGCATCATGCAGTATGTGTGAATGGGGAAACTGTGACAGATCAATTCTGACATCAGCCTTGTGACGCCTAAAATATGATGATGTAATGTGATGTAAGAGACGTCGAGAGGGGACATATCTTGGAGGAAAAGCGAAGCACCAGGGGAGAGAGTGGAGGCTAATCTATTTCACAACCAGACCCGGAGCCAAAATGGACTTTGGACAAAGCGCGGAGTCAGAGGTCACCGCGATAGCTGCAGCGTGTGTGGCCGTGCACTAGACCGCAGTCCTCCTCCGATTCTGCATCATGAAGGATCAGACTGACGACCCCCCCCAAATGATGCAGCCTGAAATTATCGGAATTTGTAAAAGCTGTGCATACCGCAGCGACAGGCAACATTTAAGCTGAATAAATAGTTTTCCCCCCCTCAAGAGTTTAACCCGTTGACTGCTGTTGGTGGTCATAAACATGTGGAAGAACCGCGCAGAATCTTATGGCGCCAGACTCAATAGACAGACGGGGGTGTAACTGTACTGAGTTACAATGTAAAAATGTTTTAAAAAAAATAAATAAATACAAGGAAATGATAAATCAGAGAGGCGAGTGTTGCTGAAACTTTCTTCAGCACTGCTTCTCTGAAAGATGCACTTCTCCAGGTATTTTATGCCATAGAGGAACAATCCTGTGTCACATGATAACTATAGCCTGAGGGGTTTTTTTCTGATAGTTTTATAGTTAATTTTGGCAACACTGTAAGGAGCAGTTTGCACCATTAAGACCCATCTGCACGCAGCCCAATCAGAGTTAGTAATACACTTGTCTGGTTTTTTTTTTTTTTTATGCACTTCCTTTGCAGAGTTAGTTGTCATGTGGTTCCGACTGCAATGCACTCTGATTACACATGTTTTTGCTGACATCGTGGAAATGTAGAAGTGACCTACTCACTCACACTGTAGCCTACCTGTTGACTGCCTCGAGACTCTTCCTCACATGAAAAACAGCAACATATTCACGATGACTGGCTGAATTAACTAAAATATTTACATGTTGTGCATCATTTCAGTCCTTTCCATCTGTTCATCTTTTTCTTTTAAAGAGAAAATCAATAAGGCACATTAGGTTTATGCTGGATTAAAGTCTTCAGGGTACTTAATGAATAGAGTAAGTGAAAATAATGTCAACATGATGTAATAATAATAATGATAATATATGCTTGTCTCATCAGTTTTACTTAATGTCCTCTCATATGGTGTGATTAAACAGGAAAAAAACAGAGTGATATATGTGCTATTTCCTGGTTTCAGCTCTTCAGTGTCCTACTTATTAATAGAGTGCCCTAACAGTTTAGCCACAGAAGTTACAATGTTCAACATCCCATAAACCAAAAGTGTTACTTTTTTATAGGAAAGGAGTCCAATTGGTTGTAGGCAGATCTGTGTGTGAATCTTTGTGCGGGTAAAAGCTGTCAATCTGTAAAAGAGATAATAGGAGTCCATTAGATCTCCAGTTTTCGGTAAGATCATCTGTGAAGAATATTTTTGTTTCAGTTTATTCAAACAATGAAGCAGAAAATTACATTTCATCTCATTTTGTTCGCCCCCCCACCCCCAAAACTTTAGTGCACAAGTTTGTCTTTAGCCTCTTTGGTGCAAACTGCACTCATTGAGTCTCCTACAGCAACAAGGAGGTGGTAAAAAACACCACATGCGAGCATTTCCCCAACAAAATCATGCTTCCTATAACATCTAGGACGACCCTCCTGCAGTGATTCCTCGACATTTGCCAGCCCCATACTCTGGGGTGTAATCGCCTCAGCTCAGCCCTGCTGCTCCACACGCTATACATCAGCTGATCCGTCACGTGGTCTGGTGTCGTGGGTCACCTCTTTGCAAAATGGAGTTGTCTGATTCTGTGCAGAGAGGGCTGCAGTCTCTCGCCGACCCCTCCGCCTTCGCCCACACCAGCTTCCAGGTGCTGGTGGACGTGTCTTTCCGGAGCCTGCTCTCGTCTCACGCCGACGCTGCAGTCCTCGGTGAGCCGCCGCCGCCGCTTTGTCTCCGCCGCTGCTTCCGGTTTCTCTCCGTGTGGATGTTGAAGAGGAGCTGCCTCGGTGTTTCTCGGTGCTTTTGACGGCGCCGCAGCGGTTCCGCGAGTTGCTCTGAACCCGTTTTCCAAGCGTTCATGTTAAGATCTTAAACGAGGCGGCGAGGTTGGATCCGCAGACAGCCGCCCGTCAGCTGGGCTTTCAGCGATCTTCGCCCCCTTTTTCTGCTGCCTGCTTTACATTCAGCAGCAGTCACACAATCACACGGCCACTCGGGATGCCTTTTGTCATTTAAACTGGCATCAAGTCTACTCAGCACATTAGAAACACTATGTTAGGCTATTTCAATCGCCATTAGTCAAAGCTGATGATGGATACACACCCGATTGTCCGCTTTAACCAGCAGGTCTTTGAACGCAGCAGACCTCTGGATAGCCTATTGCTAATTTTGATCGGGTTTAAGCAGTAAATTTAAATGATGCAAAATGACACCAGACCTCTCTCCTTCGTGTAATGGTCACAGCTCCTACTGTGTCATGGCTACTTCTCGTGTTTTCGACGACCACGCGTTGTCCAACTTTCTGCAGCTCTTTTTAATGGCAGAATTATTTAGAAAGTGAAATGTTCAGTATACAAACAAACAAAGGACCCCTGGCTGATGCAGCTGAGGGGTCCATTCACATGCAAATCGTCATTGATTTCCATTCTACACGTCAATCTGGAGAGCACGAGTATGGATCGCCAATCCTACACCATTTAAAGCAATCAAACTTCTGTGCGTATGGAGGAATAAAAAGCTGCGTGATCTAACTGCGTGTGTGTGTGTTTTGCTTGTGGTTACAGATCAACCCGAACTGAAGCAGATCGACCAGATCCTGCTCAAACAGAGTCACGCTGCAGCGACCACCTTCATACTGGAGGCGGTCAAACAAAACGCAGACAAGTCGACCATAAGGTAGGCGACGTTAGAGAGAAGAAGGTTTCCTGTTAACGTGTAGTCAATACATGCTGCACACGCTCATAGTGAACTTCTAAAAATAGGCTCATTAGGTTGTCTGTTCACGGGTGAACAATAGTGCTCATATCAGACATTGTGGCAGGAAATATGTGGCTCTAGAGCCTGTTGTTTGCTCGGTATTTACATGTAAAGGACAGTATAATGTGACCTGCGGATTGCATCTCCCAAGAGACCATAGATTAGAGACCCAAGATTACAGCAATGAGTTTAAATCTTTAAATCTGCCCCGTACAACTGGAAGAAAACACCATAGCCTGCTTTTAAAATACTGCAGAGCAATGTGACTCTCAGGAGCTGTTGTTACTGAAATGAGTTAATTAGCCATGTCCCAGATGTGCAACTGGGATGTCTTGCTTGTGTACTAGCAGCAGTGTTCCCACAGATAAACAATCAATTAACATTATTAAGCAACGTTTGGAATCGACAGTGAAGCCATGCTCAAGTTTTATGGAACTTGCAAATGGACGCAAATCAATTGGAGTAATAAGTGCTGTAGTTAAATTTGTTATAGGCCTATGGGTAAGGGCAGCTTATTATTAAAATTCAGTTTCCCACAGTGGACCATCTGCGTTGCCTTTGCTTTGTAGTCATTCTTTGGGTGTTTATAATAAGAGAGGGAAGGTGTAGCTAGTCATCATCAGAGTTGGATGAAGATGAACATGTGATTGTCCAAAACAAGCACCAAGACATAGCTAAAGAATCTCTCAGACTTCTAGGAAAGTATTTTTTACTTTTGTTTTCTTTTTTACGCCCTTTAAAAAAAAAAAAATTCACTTAGACAATGGAAACATCAACCTTTAAACTACTGAAGCACTAACACATGTTTCTCTGTAAGTTCTTTTTATTATAAAGGGAAAAAAATGCATGGGTTACAATTAAAATCCAAAAACGTGTCCAAGAATTTGACCACCTTAAAAAAAAAAAAAAAAAGACTGTAAAGTAAACAGAGTTTGGTGGTTTTTTTTTTTCTTGCAGCTCCAGCCTCGAAGAACTCACACTCAGTGCAGAGAGAATAGAAATATTCTACAGCACATATCAGGTGACAGTTTAAAACACTGTTACATTCATTAAATCAGTTTTTCTCTCATGAATTCTTGTAACTGTGGCGGACTTCCCCATAACTCATCGACGTGTTTTGTTTTACAGAAACATAAAAAAGAATTGGAACACCTATTAGCCAGGTAAGCCTGAGCTGTGAGAGATTTCTGGAGGTGAAGTTGTTATTTCTAAGAATCATTTGTTGGCAGAATTATAACGGTTCTGCTAATGGATGATTACACACTGAAGGTCAATTTTATTCGACTCCACATCACTATGAATGACATCAGAAGTGGGGGAATTACGCACGGATCCTCCTGAGTGAATATCTGAGTTTTGACACTCTGGCTTTGGAAACTGAGAGAAGAGCAACCCGGTTGTTGCTTCGGCCCAGTCAGGGAACAGAGAGGGTCTTTTGCGTGTCAGGACGAAAAGGTCAAGGAGTGTGATTAATTGCAATGTAAATGCTGCTTTATGGCGCACCATAAACAAACGCTCTTTGTGTAAGAGCCACATTGTCTGCAAACAAATTGTCAATTCATATAAAACACGGAGAGTCTTTTAATCACACACTAAAATGTTATGGTACGCAAAAACCTTGGGACATATGGTTAAATAACCTCAAACGGCCCACTCATTGAATACTGAAAGGCTAAAGAGAATCTGCTAAAGAAATGATGACATGAGATACTTTTTCAGAACACATAGGCTGACACTTTGATCCTGACTGCCTGATGCAACAGCATCGTTAAATTACTGTATGTTCATGAAGGTAAACCCCCCACAGTCCCTGCTTATTTTCTGTGTAATGTCCTACATTAAAGGTCTTTTCTGTCATCCTCTATAGCATAGGAAGGCGTCCGCCTCAGATTAACGACGTGTCTTGGCGTCTCCAGTACCACATGAAGGTACACAAAACACGAGTTTTTGGAGCACATTATGTCTTCTTGTTGCGCAGTGTCTTGCGCCAAACTTAAAATGTTGTTTCCCCAACAGAACGAACAGGTCGATAAGGTCAACGAGCCTTTCTACTCGATTTCATTGAACACGGAGGTGAGACTCGGAGCACGTTTTTAAGCCTCCACGTTCATGCGTTTTGCTGTTGTGATTCTGTGGGTAAAATTGTTCCTTTTTGTTAGAATGAAGGATGCTCGGAAGATATCGACTTCACCTGCACAATGGAGCAACTGCAGGTAGAGGAAGGAGTTTGTTTCTTGTTGCTTTTTACTGGACCTAAACTTCTAAACTTGCTCTCCTTGTGGCATTTTTATTCCAGAGTTGCAGTTGAACCATGCCATATTCAGCCTCCCTATCAATAAAACAAAAATAAAAGAAGTAGATTAATTTGGCTGGTTGGCGTACGGAGAGTTTTCCACTTCAAACAGGGCAACTTCCAAAGAAAATACATGTGTTTTAATTGTATCGTTACATCTTTGCGCTTTCGTGGGTTTCATTGCTGCAGATAAACCTTTTAAATATGAAATAGGCCTACATGTAAACACTAAGAGATTATATTGGTGGTGATACATTAAGTTCATCTAATATGATAAGAAAGGTTATATGGACATAAAGTTCCTGTATGACTTCGGCTGTTTGATATTTTTCTGACCTTTTATTTAAATAATGTAAGCTGCAGTCAGATTCACGATGCAAAATATTTGATGAATTCAGTTCGGACATACAGTCTGCTGTCATTCAGTGTCCAGTCAGACTTACTCAGAAAAAAAATCTGATTGTTTAATTCTTTGTATAAGGAGTATTATTCATGGCGTAAATATTATTTTTTTCACTGGATATTTTAGGTTATGCCCGACACTTTTATTCCTATTAAATGATCAATGGTTGCTTGTTTTCAGGATTTGGTGGGGAAGCTCAAAGACGCTGCCAAGAGTGTGGAGAAAGCCAGTCAGATGTGATGTGCCGGTGTCCTGTTTCCTCGCCTTTTCTGCGCCACAAAGCACTGAACTTCAGCAGATTCCAGCGGCATTACCCGTCTCTTAATAGCTTCTTTTGTACCTGACATTGACGTGCCGTGTATGCTATACGAGACAATTACCATTCCAACTTGTGTTTCAATAAAACAAACAAAAATAAAAAAGTCCACCTTGCGCTTTGAATAATTCCAGGGCTTGATGTGCTCACACTGATCCAGCAGTGTTACTTGTCTTTGTAAGAACACTGCAATTTGGTGGGGGAAAATATTTTTTAATAAATACAATTGATGGCACTCTGAAATTGTAGGTTTTGTGTCAGAGAGATGTTTAAAAAAATTTGAACATGGAGCCAGCGGAGTGACTGGTAGACATGTGTTTTGTCAACCCTTACCAACGCTGAATAGGATTTTTGCCATAGTTGCATGACAGCAGTGTATTTTCTCTCCTGCAAAGGGGATCAGACCAGCTTTTTTTTTTCCTGGATGGCTCCGGCCGATGGGAGCTATTTATATATATATGTATAAAAAACCTACTAACAAAGATCTATGACTTTACAGACTTATGCGAATATTTGGTCCCCTTTTAGACTTTCTGCACCTCCGCTGAAAGTTCAAAGCTCCTCATGCAGCTGAAGCGCCACGGCGGCTCAGATTCCATAAACATCCGAGATGCCTTCATTTTCTGCGGCGCTGGCTGAGGGATAAAGGATCCAATTCATCAAGTTGGAAGTTGCGGCGCATTTCTTGCAGATGTCAGAACAGCCTGTGACAAAGGTTTGACACCAGAGCCATTTGTCACACGGACGTATTTTAACCAAGTGCGTGGGTCTCTTTTTTAAAAAAAAAAAAAAAAAAGGTAGCTGTCTAATCCTCCAATAGACTGCATGTTTTCTAATGAGGGGATTGAGGCGTTTTTTCACGGTCAAAACGACATGAACGTGTGTGAGTGCGTGTTGCTGCAGTTATTTTTAACATCAGAGGCGAGGGAACACCATCAGCAGCCTACTTTCTAGACGCCCCTATCACATTGCCCATTTGAGCGAAAAAGTAGGATGCATATTTTGTGCATGTGCGGTGTCTTTTCGTGCTGAAAAGTGCATCCAACTGTATGAATGTGTATTATGGGTTATTTTAAACCATGCGTCATACATTACAAAGACCAGAATACACCGACAGTATAGCCTACATTTTATGCGCTCTTAAGCAGCTGCCGGGTGTCATTTCAGCTCGAGAAAAGCGCAAACTCTTCTGTTCTTTGTGATATTTTGCGGTTAAAAGGCTATTCGAGTGTACATGTGTGTGTTTTGTGTGTTATTTTATATCATGCGTAGTAGATTGAGAGAAACAGCGTACACCGACAGTAATTCCTGGGCACCCTTAAGCACCGGGACCACGTGACCAAAGCGGGGCGGTCGAACTACAAGCCATTTTGGGGACGGTGTCAGTTTCCACGGAGTACACACACACTGCTGCATTTCACTGGGGGTGAAGCGGATATTTTGGAGGCAAAGTTATCGGTACTGAAGTGGGAGCCTCCCCGAACCGAAGCCGGAGGACTGGGTCGTTTTCTCGCCGCGGATCGGATACGCACACAGCGCGCAAGCGGCGAGGAAAAGAGGAGTTTTTATTCGCACATCTGAAATGCGCTCCGGTCCGCCGTGCGCTCTCCGCCACTGACAGCGTCTGCAGCCTGCTTCAAGATGGCGGCTCCGCTCCTATTCATTTTCTGCTGATCGCCTCCCAACTTTCATTGTCTATTCGCCTCAAGACCCACCGATTCCCAGCCGAGCCTCCAGGTACGTCTTATTCGATATCGTCTCTAACTAACGGGGGCAGAAGGCGAGGTTTGGGCTCGGTGCTTTTGTGTTTTTCTACGTACCGATCCAGCGGTGGATGTGGAGCTTGCAACGGTGGCTGCAGCGATCAGCGACGTGGAGCTCCGTGTGTGTCTGCGCACCACTTTTTTTTTGGTAAAAGATGTTCCCCACTCGGGCACAAACGTGAATTAAGAGTCAGGCACACCCGGTGCTGAATGATCTAGTGTCCAGTAATCTGTCCGTATAAGTTGATCGCGGTCGGGGTTCGCCTTGAGTCGTTTGGATTTATGTAAAGTGGAAGATCTCGGGCGAAGCAGGCTGTGTTGGCTGAGATGTTAACAGCAGCAAGTGCTCCAAACGGTCCTTCTGTGCCCATATTTCCACACAGCGTCTTTATTTTATAGAGTCGGGATGTTTGGGGTGTTGGGAACCGAGTGTGATGTTGGTTTCAGGCGTATATGACCGAATTTTGGATTTATTAACTTAACTTGGATGGCTCCCATAAACGTGACACGGAGACAAACCGTTTCAATTGTGCATAAATGTTTCATGACGGCTGCTTTGGTAAACACTGGTTCATCGTTTATCAAGCACTGTGGCCGTTTGTCTCCTCCTGTGTGATTCTCTTAATTAAGAAGGATGGTTGGATTTTAGGGAAATTTAAAAAAAAATGTAGGCGACACCTCGGCCAGGGTACAAAAGGCTGCGTCTCGGCAGCAGCCAAAGCTTCGGTAAATTCCCTTGATTTCATATGAGCTATGGCCAGCACAGTTTGTTTGTTGACATTTAAGCTCATTATGGATTTCCATATTTTCCCCAACCTTCATACGGCTAAATGCTGGCGCACTGTGTGGCTCTCAATGTGGTGATACAGGACAGACAGACAGACGTGAGCCAGAGCCTCTTTTTTGGGGGGGAGATAAAAAAATTATCATTTTACTCATGAATGCTGTTGGGGAGCCTGTGTGTGCTTAATGGGTTAAAATGGATGTATTTTCCCCCACCCGGGTGTGCAGGTAGACAGCCTCTCAGGTGGGTGGATGGATGTGATCATGCAGCCGAACTGACTGGAGGCTTTTACAGCGGGCGATGAGCACAATTTAAGACACGAAATGCAAGTTCTTCTTGTTTGTATTGACTTTAGGTTTATGGTCATGTGGCCAGTTGGGGAATCTCCCGTTTATTCATTTCAAGATTTTTCTAAATTGACCTACAGCGGTTAATATGAGGTCTTGGTTTTTCCCATTGACGATTTTAATTGGGTTATTTCCAGCTGCTGTTGATTTAAGTGTAAGGGGAACCTTTACAGGGGGAACTGTTCTCGTTTGGGAATAAATGAGGTTGGCACGACTCTGGGTCACTGCAAGAACCGAGGGGAAATCTCTCCATTTGTTGTTGCTTTATTGAGGAAATTAAAGGTTGAGTAGCAGCTCTAAATTAATTGAGTGGCTAGGCTATGTGTTATCAACGCCAACTCCAATTAAACCTGGCTGTCCACATAAAATGATGTAGACACTGCATCTCCTATGTGCAGCCTGTATTAGTAGCTGTATCCATAATGCGGGTCTTGAACAACCTTCATTTAGTCCAGCGTGTGTTGGTTGGTGCCGCATTCGTTCCCACTATGAATGAACTTTCTCCACGTTTGGATTTGTGGAGTGATTGAGCTGAAAGTCTTAGAAAGTGAGCAGCTCCCACAGGACCGAGGGACAGCAGTTGTCCAAACACCAGCCAATCGATTAATGGCGCAACAGGCTCCCTGCTTATATGTAGCTCGACGTTATCCATCATTATCCATGTGTAAGGCATCCTTTGAGCGGACTGAGTCGCTGTCCAAACTCGCCTACAGTGGTCTGTTCAGAGACGGCCAGGAGAGGTCGGTTGGAGCATTGAGACCGGCCGGGACTCGGGCATGGTGCCCCGGCTGTGGCTCCATAAAGTAACAGTGGGTTCCGAGCTGGACTGGCTGGCTGTCCTCCAGTGTTTTTAAAGAGGGTCACCTCCCCGTGTCCAGTCTATAGGCGAGGAGACATTTAGACTTTAAATGATGCTGGTTTTTTTATTTCTTCAAGCGACAGCAAAGGGAGAGTCATCCCATCCCAGCTTTTAATTAGAACCACTTTCCCACCATTTTAAAAGATACATTCGCCTCATGGCTCTTAAATATTGGATAAAATGTATAAACGATGATATTTTGGCTCTGCCTGACTTATTCCGCCGCCTGGGCTCGTGGTGGTTTGTGTCAGAACCGGTTTGGAAAGTTAAAACGCGCGTTGGCACAAAGTAGGCTACAGGCAGTGTTTACGTTTTATGAAGTGTTCCGTAATGGCGCAGAATAAATAAGTATGATCCAGTGTGCGCTTCAACTTCGGCGCAATCGCTTACTGTCTGGCCATGTTGGTGCTGCACGGCGCTGCTTATCGCGCACACGCCGTGGAAAAACACGGCGCAAAAAGCGAAGCGGAATAAAGCCGAGGTTATTCACCGAGTTGGACACTTATACTCCTCCCCGTGGGTCCGTAAAGATTTGAGAAGCCCGTGTAAACGCTTCGGATACTGGTTTTATTCGACCCCTTTCGAAGGAAACCCCGCAGCCCGTTGAACCGATACGGGCTTTTTTTTTTTTTCTTCCACAAAATGGCAGCCGTGCTCTCGGCAGCCTGGCAGTCCAGCGGCTGTCTGTGAGCGCGGAGGGACGGGGAGCCTACCGGTCCCTCCTTGTTCCCGCACACCGGCGAGCTCGACGTGCTGTTGTTGTTTTGGTTGGAGAATCCTGCCTCGTTCTGGTGACTGGCGAGCAGCCATGTGGGCTAAAAAGCAAAAGGAGTTGCCATAGAAACGCTCAGGTTTCCCCCATAGCTGTGTGTGGCACACCTGACGCAGTGAATGGGTGTCTCCTATCACCCCCCCTCCCTTTTCACCCACACTCACCCCGGGGCACCGCAGACCCCGTGCCTAATATTATTTTCCACCAGAACGTCCCGGTTTGGGATTGATGTGTGGGTGTAAAGTGGAGCGGCCGCAACCTGAATGTGTCCGGTTTTATTGGGGAAAAATCCATTATGAAGCGCAGACGCCCGGTTTATGTTGGAGGGTAGCCGACATCAGTCCGCGGGGCTTGGTTGGTCCGATTTGTTTTATAAGTCTGGCAATTCTGTCTCCATATTTGTTTTTTAATTCCAAACCTTTTTAGTTGATTCAAGCGAAGTTAAAGTGTCGCATTAAACTCCAGATTTTGCAGAATATTTCCACATGTCCACAGTTGTCGGTGCCATCGTTGCTCTCTCTTTTAAATTTTTTTTTTTTTTTAAACAAAATGTTTTGGATTCCAGCTCGTTTGCGGTTAGCTCC